ATCTCAGAAATGTGCAAGATTTAACTGGATTAAATTTTGTGGCGGAAATAATCGGTAAAAGTTTGTGTTTGGAGGCATCAAGACGCTATCCCGTAGCCAATCAGATGCAAGCATCATGACGTCAGGTCAGGTAAATCGGAAGGTTGTTTGATCGTACGATTAACAATCAATTTCTTGTGTAAACAAGTGTAAAGAGCACAAAAAATTTTAAAGGTGGAATTGTGTAATATTCGAATTACTTTGTGACGTTGCGAATGACGGGATTACGCAAACAAAGGCTTTTTACCTTAAGTGTTACGAAATGGGTTTTTGTAGATCCTGCCGTTTTTGAGGAAATTATTACAATAACGAGTCAGTCTTAGCCAAGCTCCCGTACGAGTTACTTAAATTGTAATAATTGTCCGGATAAATTATTAGTTAGGTATTATTTGGTGGTTCAGTGCGAAATTTGTGTTGAAATGAGAGTTGTACACGTGTGCCTATTAGTGAGTGTCTAATAAATTAGCTATACTTTTTAAATTTTATTTTTTTTTAACTAATTTAATAACACGTTGTACTGATTTTCTGTTTCTTTATTTTCAGTAGGTCCGTGTAAGAAGCAGAGGCGAATTGCTACAAAAGGTAGCCATAAAGGTAAGTGTATTTTATTTCTTTATTTTTGTTTGTTTATTGCAGTGAAGTGAGTAAATTTGTGATTTTGTGATTTGAGTGCAACAGTAAATATTTATTAAATTAAGAATAGAAATTAATTGTGTTTTAGATAAAATGTATTATTTCTCAAATTCTATTTGAGAAGATTTGTAGAAAACGAATGCAAATTTATTTTTACAATAATTTTAACTAAAAACTTGGACCTTTTGTCCATATTAAAGGTACATCAGCCATCTAAAAATTTTTAGAATGATGAGGGTATACAGTGAGCGACAAAATTATAGAATTCTTCTAAGTCTTATTTATTAAAACTGAAAATATTTTGTTTTGGAAAAATGCTCGAACAGGTCAATTTTTTTAATACAAAATTTTTAACTTGATTTAAAATTCTATCTTTGTTTTTTATTGATATTATTTCACTTTTTGGATATATTTTTTTTTTGAAAACTAGGGGATATGCGGGCAAAACGGGGTAGGTGCCTAAAACGGGGTACCATGTTTTTTTTCTATACCACTAGCTTTATCTACCCAACGTTTTCAAAATTATATTACACACGCGGGCATACGATCTTTGTCATAAAGCAGAAATCTGTAGTTGTTAGCCGATCGTTGTAGTTAGCACATGTGCCTTTATAGTAAACACAGTTTCAATATCGCCGGAGAATAAATTCATCGTAGTAGGACTAAACCAATTTATTATTAAAAAATATTAATGCCAACTAAAAGATTTTCTTTGTTATTGTGTTAAAAAAAATTACTTCTAATAAAATAAATACGTCATAACCTAAAAGTCTTCGCATTTGGGCAAAATGGGGTACCAGCAGGTACGGTAAAACGGGGTACCCCATTTTGCCCTATTTTTATGCAACTTTCCAGTAAATATTTTTGGTTTTGTCTCTACATAGATGGTGTCTAAGTACAAAAGAAAGAGATACTCCAGGTTATTCCGTTTCAAAAGTTTTGGGCAGTAAAAGGCCCGTTTTTACTACCCAACAAGAACAAGAACTTGTTAATTATCTTAAAGATATGGATGCGAGATTATTTGGACTGACTATTACAGAATGCAGGCAACTTGCCTTTCAACTTGCTGAACAAAATCGGATTGAATACCCCTTTAACAAAAATCTTAAAATGGCTGGAACGGGATGGATACGGGMTTTTTTTAATAGACKTAAAYACTTGACCATCAGAAAGCCCGAGACTAAGTCAGGTGCCCGTGCAATGGGCTTTAACAAGGTGGCTGTACAACAGTTCTTTAAACTGTTAGAAGAAACTGTCAATGAGATTTTTTCAGTTTAGACATATTACCCCATTTTGCCCTATGCGACGGGCATAATGGGGCAAATTGCATTACTATTTTTTTTATTCAATATAAAATAAATGTTTTGTTTTTTATAAGTTAAAATGTTAGTAATAAATAATTAATACTGTAACAATAATATTGCCTCATTTACAGACTCTCATAGTTTTAAGTTTTTTTAAAATTCGACTTCAAACATTAAGTACCCCATTTTGCCCGCCTCTCCCCTATGTAATACATAATATTTTGGTGTTGCCATTTCGACAATTAAAAAATCTATCGAATTCGCTAAAAAAATTAGTGGTTTCCATAAAAAAATGTCAATGCTGTGATTACCCAAAAACCAAAAAGTGTAGAATTTTAAAACAAGTTGAAAATTGTGTATAAGGTGTTCTAGCGAGTTGATAAAGTTCATTATTCAAAAAGATATAAACTTAATTTAATTAGATACCTAAGATGTGGCCCAAAGAAAATTACAATTGATGATTTCTTTTTAAATTAGTAAAAACTAAGTAAGTATCGAGAGATCAAGATAATTTGTCCTTGTATCCGGAAACGTATGTCCTGTGCGTAAGTCTGTGAAACGTCAAATAAAATGACATGTGGAAAAGTTAAATCCCATGATCAAAAAGATAACTAAATTTATGATTTACCTTCAAAAAAGTACGGTCTTATTATTATACGTCGGCGACTAATTACAGCCCATTTTGCCGTTTTCGACTTGTCATTTTATTTGACGTTTCACGTGACGTTAGTTCAAAAACAGACATACCTACAGTTGCGGAATTAAAAATTCGAGCAGTACCTGTTTTTCTGTCACTTTAAAAAGTTCACTGTAAACTACCTTTTACTGTCATCATGACTGACATTTGACAATTAAACTTATTTTTATTTGTTGTTAAATTTGTTACTTAAACAATTTGTCTGTCTTAGGAAATTTATTAATTGAACTAAGTGTTATTAAATCATCGCTTTGATATGCTGACTACCCTTTATTATGCCACAAATCACTATTTTTGAAAGTAAATAAGTCAAAATGACATAAATATAACAAGAGTCCAAAATGAAGTTATTAATATAAAGGTTCTTTTAGAGTTTACATTATAAAAATGACAGTACTGCCCGAAATTTTAATTGCGCAACTGTACGTTTTCGGATCCAAAAATGACTCGATTACAAATTATTTTGATCTCTCGGTATATGTATGATTTGTCTTAATAAGTGTGATTTAAAAAGAATTCTAATGTTTTTATTTAAAAAACTTTAAGTCATAAGGTTTTTATATTAAAATTTAAATATAAAAAATTGAAGCTTATGGCGGCAATTGGGGGGGGGGGATCCTGCCCCCCTGGGCCCCTCCCTTGGATCCGCCCTTGACATCAGCATCAGCAAGAACAATTCTAATAAGTATTGCACAAACCTAATTTTATTTCAGGATAAATGGTTAATTTTACTTTTGTTTCAGAAACTCCAATGACCAGTGAGTGAGTGTTGTGTTTTTTAACTGTAATGGGAATAAACATTTCGTAGTGCACGATTTTTAAAATTTCGAGTTATTAAACTTGGAGCTTTTGTCTATATTATTAAAGAAACTTTAGCAAGAACAAGACAAGTATTGTACGAATTTTTTTTCTAGAATAAGTGATTATTCTTTTTGTTTCAGAAACTTCAGTGACCAGGGAGTGCGTGTTGTGTAATTTCAAGTGCCTTCGGGAGAATGGAGGAAGTAATTGTGCTACAAGGATCCGGATTAAAGAGTATAAATCAGCAATACCTTTTATTTTTTTAGAAAAATTACACTTATTAAATTTTATTTAATATTTTCAACTTATTTAATAACCAATTAAACTGATTTTCTGTGTTTTTTTTTATTACAGTAGGTCCGTTCTTTGAAGACGAGGGGAACTGCTACAAAAGGTAGCATTAGAAGATGCCACATAAAATCAGTGCATTTTAATTTTAATTTTTTGTGTATTGCAAAGTGAAGTGTGAGAATTTGTGATTTTTGAGTGCAACAGTAGGTAAGTGTTTATTAAATTATGAATAGGAATTGTCTTTTAAATAAAATGTATTATTTTTCAAAATCTTTTTCAAAATTTGTAGAAGACATGCGTGCAAATTTACGTTTAAAATAATTTTATATGATATCTATACTCGTATGATATCTACAGCTGTTGTCTAGTTCTTTGAAAAGCCTAAAAGCTTTTATTTCAAATTTTGTATTTTTGTTAATAATAATCATTTCATTTATTTCATTTGATCAATTAAATTTACTATTGTAAAATTTTCATCACTCCAACAAATAGTTTTAATCAAAATATTATTATTACTCTGATCCAAAGAATATTTATTTACTATCTAAATTAAATAGGTTTAAAAAACCACGGCCTCCATTTTCTTTTGATAAAAAAATCTTATTTATTATTATTATTGTTTTTGAATTACCTATGTCATTCCCATAATGATTACAAAAAGGTCAGAGATGATTCAACAGATTACCCTTCACATTTTTAAACGACAAATAAACTTGCCTACTCGTAAGTAGAGTTACATTAGTTTAAGGCCCAATTATTTTCATTTTTTATAAACAAATTTTTTCGTATAAACCAAACACTGTTTAAGCTATATATCAGACGATAATTTTTGTGTATTGTCTCTTAATTTTGAAGTCTTTGAGGTAAGCAAATTGCTATTGCGTGAGTGCTTTGAAACGGGAGCGGTTCGCTAATCTCGATGAACGCTACGCAATAAATAAATTCCGTGTCGGGCATTTTATGACTGGATCTGGTTATAAAACAACACCGGCCTCTTTGAAGGAATCTGAGATCGTGTAATTATTTTTGTGGCATATAACAGAGACTGATCGGTTCTATATCCGTCACGGATTTGCATACACAGACGTAAAATTGAAATTGCATTTTGTATTAAAGGTAAACTTATCCGCAAGGTTAAAGTTTAATATAAAAGTTATTTCTATATTATGTGCTTGTCGTCACGTTCGTGAATTATAGCCCTTTATGCATCAACGAATTCAAAATCGACAGTTGGATTTTTAAGAGTTTTATTTTCAGCCAGTCAATAACAAACTTGATACACTTATTTATACATTATACAAACTTATTTCTATATTTAATAAAAATTTACAATCAAAGACTTTCATCATTATCCACTTGCATTTGCTCCTCCTGTGCTGCACTTTTTTCGGGCTCCTTGTTTTCTGGGATTCTTTCACCATCCCAATTTTCTTCCTGCGTACTCAACTCGTCATTCTTTCCTTCAATTGCTTCAGTTCCATTACTTTCCAGCTGATCAGGAAGTGAAATTTTTTCCTCAGTTGGGTTCTCATGCGCTTCCTCTTGTTCAACATTCTCAGGTTTCTCTTCTGTTGAAGTTTCTAAATCGCCATTCTCTTCAGTTTTCTCGTGTTCATCCTGAGGCTCCTCTTTTGCTTCTTTAGACTTCCTCAACTCAAAATTTTTCTTCATTCTTTCCTCTATGTGTTGAAGCTCATCAAACACCTCTTGTCTCTTCTTGTCAATCATTTCTAAGACAAAATAATTAACTTATATTACTTATATTTAAGCACAACTTACTTTCAATATCTGTTTTACAACCATCTAACAACGCTTTGCTAGCATCATTCATTTTTCTGGGTAAATAATGAATGTGTGGTTTTGCTTTTGTTTGAATAAAATTCATTCTTGGTTTCTGTCTTTCCTCCCACGCTGCGTATTCCTTCATCCGCATCATTTTCAACTCAATCATTTTTATTTCTGCTTGTTTTTTCTTTCTGTTGTAGAATAATTCTTGTCTTTCTTTTTTAATTTCTTCTTTTTCTTTTATCTCATGTTCTTCAATTTTTTTCTCAAGTTGAGCCCTTTTTTCCTCCTGCAAAATATTATAACAAGCCGGACTCACCCAAAACCTCCCACCTTTTGTTTAAGTTTAGTTTCCTCTTGTTGGAACTTCTGTAGAGTACCCAATAAAGCCCCAAACATCCTCCTGTTCCTCTCTTTGGACTTTTCATCCTTACTTTGCGCTGCTAACGCCTCTTGCCGACTCGGCAACTCCTTTGGGGTCACTATAACTTTACTGATCATTTGCTTTTGAGGCTGTTGATGTAAATCCTCTTCGTAGTGAACAGGTCTCTCAGACAGACGTTTAAACACAGAAATTCCACTAGTTCTTCTTTTCGTGGGCGGTTCGTCGTTTTCGTGGTTAAAATTACGATTCCGGCCAACTCTTTGCCGGTTTCTGTCATCATTTTGTGGCCCTCGTTTCAAGTTAGCCCTTGGGGGCAACTCTGAAGGGTCTCTTCCTATTAGCCGTTTTATGTTCTCGTCGACGCCCTTTAAACTATTTTTGGCTTGTTCCAATTCAGATTGAAGGGTGCCAAACGATTTTAAAATTTCCGTACCCATTATTGTTAAATAAATCGATTTTCCAACACAAACACTAACTAACCTGTCATAATGCTTTCGTTAACGTCAGTTGTCAAACTTTCATATTGGCAACACTGAAAAATGCTACTTGTGACGGGAAATTGAAGCTTGATGTTTACCAATAAATAAAATAAACATAATAATAAACGTTAATAATTACTTTATTATCACGTGACAATTTAGCATTCACTTCATCATACGGTGTTTAATTTCTTCGATTCAACGCTTAACCTATAAACTGCCAAATGAAACACAATGCCAATCATGAAACACAAAACTGTTCAATAGCAATTATTGAATTTGGAGTTTTAGAATAAAAAAATAAGCTTAAAGGCAATTCTAAACATGTTTGAAACTTAATAAATCACCATAAATACTGTACATTTGAATCAGAAAGTCAAATGACTCCTATATACATTTTTATAAATATGATTTAAAGCCGTTGAAATTATACCCTCCTTTCTTTCACAGTTAGAATCAAAGAAAAAGTTGTTTTCTACGTCACTAATTGCTTTGAATATGACTCCTTTCAGGGGTTCATTTTTATAACTTTCTATCAAGTCTAAATTTGCTACTTTTTCCTGATCTAGAACTATATTTTCATTGTTTGGTTTATAGTGTGAAGGATCTTCTGGCGGTGGCTCCTTTGGTGGGCTATTTTTTGGTAAAGAAGACTTGGTACCAACTCTTGTTTCTACGAATTAACAATGAAACAGTAGATTTTTTGTTATAACAGTGGAAAATTACCTAATTCTCCAACTTTTCTTGTCAATTCTCTTATGTAAGCTCCTTGTTCTTCTGTTTGAATGAATAAGTCTCTTAAAGCCGTTTGTAGTTCACGCATTTCAAGTTTTCTTGCTTCTTCTTTAGCAGCTTCTTTTTTACTACTCCTGTAAATACAAAGTTTTATCAATCTAAAACAAAGCCAAGAACTAGAAAATTTCTTACCTATTATATTCAGCCAGTAAAACACCGGCAGCTATGAGAAAAATGACAGTTTCACCTAAAAGATTTGCACCTAATTCAATTGAAGCAGCTTCATTTAAGACTGTGATATTCACAGGTTGTCCTAGATGAAGTAGCCACATTTTCGCCTTGACTTCGCACCAGTTGTAGACTATAACATTTCACATTATTTTTAATATTATAAATTGATTAAACTTACACTGTGCAGGAGGAAGACATACGTATTTCCTAAAAATTGGCGAACTTTTTGCACCCTGTTTGACAGCATTAGCGATTGGTTTACTAATCTGTTTTATTAAGAGAGCTCCAAGTTTTGCAGCAGGGAAAGCATGAATTACCATTCTTCCTTAATAATTAATTAAAAATTAAAAATGTTAAATTTCAATGTGCCATTTAAACGTCAAAAAACTGTCAAACTCTTTTATGTAACGTTTCGCCAACATACAAAAGCCAAATGTGTCAATAGTGCCAACATGAACATTTTTGAGAAATTTTTCCATTTTTCACTTTTATAATTATTCGAAAGTGTCTAAATTTAAGAAAGTAAATTAAAAGCTCTCAGTTATCCTTTGAAAACAACTTAAATTTCCTGAAGTCTAAAAAAAATAGTGAATCAATAAACTATGATCGGAAAATGTTGGAAAAAAATTAAGAACGACAAATACTTGTAAAGTTTATTAATAAAGCTTTTCAGGTATAAGTACAATTTTTAAAAATATTATCTACATGTTTACAAAACCATTCCATGGTTGCAAAAAGTGGAAAGAAGTAAAATAAAAATTAATACTGAAGTAAATTCAAACACATGTTACAATCATTTTTTGTCCTTCACAAAATCAAAATTTGAAAATTTCACAGTAAAAAATACTGTTTACAATAAAGAAAAATAAACAAAATACTAAAAAATGGAATTTCTGAAATCTAAAAATGATTGCAATACTGAAAACCCAACAATAACAAACACAACAAGAAAATATTCACAGTTTGATAAATGCAGAGATTATATTCAATAGATAAAAAGGAAATAAATAACGTTAATAAATACATGTCGTGTACACATCTAATTAATTAATTAATACCGTTATTTCACATTAATAAAACAAAACTAATTTACAGATTCATAAAAATAAGTTAAAATCTACAACTACTGAATATTATTATAACCTAAATCATTTTCAGGCCTTTTTCTTCGATTTGTTCGCTTTCACCCTTTTATTCAGTAGTTATAAAAATATATTTGAGATTAAATTTTGGTGTTTTTCTTAATTCCAAATGAGAAACACTCACTATTATTACACAACTAATTTAAGTACTGTGCACAAAAACCAGTTAGTACTTAGCCTAATATACGACATCAAGCACTTTTTACAGGTAGATCTATTTTTTTCTCGTAGTCTGTTGGGGACTTTCGGGTGGAGATTCTTGAACTTCTTGCCTCAGCGACCTCCTTGGAACGCTTTTCAAACTTGAGGAAATTTTTTTCAACGGACGCGGTGATATACTTGTTGATTCCACATTTTGAGACACGTCATGGTTGTTATTGAACCAAACACCGCGCGCGGCATCAGATGCTGAAACTAAAAAAAATTAACACTACAATTTTGTTTACTAGGAAATAATACTTCTAAATTTGGAATCGCTTCTTTGATTAGGTTTGTGAGAATGTCCGTGGGAGTCTAAGAGAGCTGCTGCCAACATGGATGGATTTCCCGTACAAGCCGGCCCATCGCCGGCCCCACTTGAGGTTGAGCCACTAACACAGAAGGGGCTGGGAGTCGCAATGGGGCTGTACACTCGCGAAATAAAATCTTCATACGTTGTGCTGTGTTTGTGTTTTGTCACAACAGTTTCAAGTGACATTGCCCGTTCTTCATAGCTATAAATACAGAAGTTATTAAAAAAAGTCTATAAAAATTGTCAATTTTTACTATTGTTGGTAGAAAGGTAAAGTAGTTCTTTTGGCACGACTAGCACAAATTGCAGTTGCCCTAACCAAACCGGCCAAAACATTACTTTCAACAATAGCTTCATGAAACAGAATACCAAAATGAGGAACCTGCAATTGAAAAATTCAAACAAATGCGAATCGGGTGTCACATGTGACTCACGTCGGGTTTACAGTTGACAGTCACCCTATTTAGATTACTTCCTAATGGGTAGATTGTTATCAAAATATCACAGAACTCAGTGGGAATGATATCACGCCTATAATCCCGACAATGCTCTGACCACACAATATGAACTTCATCGTTTCCCAAATGTCTGGTCTGAAAAAACATCCGTTTAAGCACCAAATATACATTAAAAATTGTCTTACTTTATTGAGAACAGTCTCAGGTGTATCCCCTGGCATCCTCGTTGCCACATGAAAAATAGTTTCCGAAAAACTCGTCGCCACATATGGCGCTGTCAATCCCGTCGACCCTTGTCTTTGGAGACCTCCCAAGAAACCTGTATGACCCTCCAACTCAACCTCCCAAGCTAAAGCCGCAAGAAATTGTTCATAAGCAGCGCTGCCTCCTTGATTTGATAAAATCGAGTTTTTGTCTTCTTGACCAGGCGCAACGTAAATCACGGCCACCTAAATCACATTACTATAAATATACAAAAACAAATGAATAGTAAGTTACTTTGTGCGTCTCTCTACATCTCTGACTGTCCAAATTCCGCAGTTCACGCAATAAACGTTCAGTCTTGTTGAGGAGATGCAACTGTTGGCGACGCTCCCAACCCGCAAGCCCTAACTGAGAAAATAGTAATCTGCATTGTTGGAATGCGTTCTGTTCAACAACACCAGATGAAACTGTAAAACAAGACCTTGGATTAATCGCTACCGAAAAAATACAAGTTGGCCATGTAAATTATAAGTTACAATAATTATCATTTAATTATGTAAAACAACGTACCCTGCTGAATGCTGTTGTCATAACCCGGACTCGAAGCCCCCTCATTCCGGCTACTAGGCCTCGAAATAGGTTGTCCTAGCATAGAGTTCGCAAATTGCATAACTCTATTTTCCTCCACTTCTAAATTCCTCTGGTTAATAACAGACGCTATAGCTTCTTGTTCGATTTCAATCGACAAAGGTGGCAGCGCTGGTTCATTCAACTTGCGATCAAAATTTTCCAAACATTCAGGACTAGTATGGCCCAAATATTGCAACAACTGGAAACAAAACAAGAACGTAAATTTTAAAAAAAAAAACTAAATATAATTAATTACATCGTCTAATTGGTCGAGATCCGGTGCAGAATTTGAGATATCCGGTAAAACATTCGGCGATCGATGTCTCATAGCTCTCTGTGGCAAATTACTAGGACTTCCCATAAAACTTTCGGGTTGTATACTTGCATGCCCCCATTTACCCTGATTCGCATTAGTTTCAATTTCGACTTGACCAATTTGGAACTCCTCACTGTCATTATCGGGAGTGCGATACAAAATTGACGCATCCCAGCTTGCCTTGCCCGACAAATCCCTCAATAACACTCTCACTTGTTTGTCAGCTGTTGACAAGCCAGCTGTAACACCACCCCCAGGTAAATCGAGCACAGGCAACTCGATTAAGCTTGCGATAACGTTTTCAGTAAGCATAAAAAGCTAAAATAACACAGTTATCAAGTGTGAAATATGTTAATAATATTAAAATTACTTGAATATTAGGTGCTGAAAATATATTAGCCGATAATTCATCTGAACTTAAATTAGGAACATCATCGTGTTCCACAACCAAAGAACTAAGTCTCGCAGCTCCGATTGCCATTGGAAAGTGTCCCAAGTGGGTTACAAGATGTGATAGAACTGTTTTAGCACATAAAGTAATGGCTTTTTGACATTGGTGATTTTTGGAGGGTGATAATGAGGGCGATGACTTGTCTACGAGGTCGTCAGAGAGGATATTAGGGTCAAAATCTTCGTTCAGGCTAGGTTGAGACAAACCACCCGAGTGTTCAGACGATGTTTTCCCGACGGCAATTTTATACAAAACCTGTGAACAAGAATTTAGAAGTTGCTTAGTACAATTCTGAAATTGCCGCACTTCGGGGTGTCATAGCAACGGTGTAAATAAACACTTCCGGGCTTGTAAATAAGGCATTATCGTGAGGTAATACATTTTTCTTCAATTGAATAATGTCAATAATGTAATTACTAATTTTTACTCAATTATTTTTTCATTAATGAATTAAAATATTTTATCATCTTGAAATAATTACATTAGAAAAAATGTGACAAATATATAGAACTTTTAACGGAATTCAAGTTTCTAGCACTAGAGGAATAAAAATTAATTGCTATTAAAAAGTCATTTATCAAAAATGTCAATTAACTGTCAAAAACGTAACTAAAGAATATATTTTTTCGTAGATTTTACAATATTCGATTAGTAAGTAATAAAATTTCATATTATTTACTTTCATTATCTCATAATATGCTGACAAAAGAGAAAAAAAGCACAACTAGTTGTTTTATTGAACATCTCCTTTTTCCAGCAACACCTGATAACTTACTGCCCATAAATGATGGAAATTCATTTACCCATTAAAAACAGTTCGAAAACCACCAACACCTTGAAAGAAAACCTGAAAAAAGAAACCCAAGAACGCAAACGAAACATTCTCCATTTGATCTTCAAATACCTCGTCGATAATAACTTGCTCTCAGTCGCTGAAGTTCTCCAAAACGAAACCCAAACTGGAATTTACTACCAAGTTTGCGACAACATTGACTTGGAAATAATTCTTCAAGAATACCAAAGTTACTATTATACAAAATTCCAAAAACAACCAAAAATATTACGAAAAACTACCGAAAATGAAAAAGTCATACCTTTAAAGAAAGAACGCAAATCCGCAGCTAAAGAAAAACAACCCCTAAAACAAGAAAAAAGTAACGATACTTTCCAATTCGAAATTGTCACATTGTCAAAAGAATCTAGCTTGAGTGACATCCAATCAAAACCCTTGATCGACTTTGAAAACTACTCATCAGAATGGCGTGAAATGGCCGATCAAATAATTAAACAAATCGTAACGAAAACATTGGGAATAACCTTTAAGGATTGTATTAGTCTCAGCTCCACTATTGAGACGCTGAAAGAAGCGATAATTTACCCTTTGAGCTATCCTCAACTGTTTGAGAAAGCCTGCACTTGGCGAGGTGTCCTGCTCTACGGCCCTCCAGGCACCGGAAAAACTTTACTAGCCAAAGCTTTAGCATGCGAATCCCCATCTACGTTCATCAACGTCACCAGTAGCGCTTTCATTAGCAAATGGCGTGGAGAATCGGAGAAAATGGTCAAAGTATTATTCGACGTTGCCAAATTCTATTCACCCACGACGATTTTCATCGACGAAATCGACGCTTTAGCCTCGAAATCACACGATTCGGATCACGAAGCTTCGCGTCGTTTCAAAAGCGAGCTTTTAACACAAATCGATGGTATTGTTAAAAATGAGGAAGTGTTTGTTTTGGCTACAACAAACAATCCATGGACCATAGATAATGCCCTTCTGAGACGATTTGAGAAACGAATTTTGGTGCCTCTACCAGATAAAGATTCAAGAAGTGAATTGTTCCAGTATTACTTTTCAAAAAACGGATACGATTTTAAGAATGAAGACTTGACGGCGTTTGTTAATCTGACTGAAAGTTTCTCAGGCTCTGATGTGAAAAACGTGTGCAAAGAAGTTGAAATGATTTTAATAAGGGAAAAATTAGATCAAATTAGAAGAGGTGATAGGAAAAAGTGTGGAACTAGACAAGTGAAAAGTGATGACGTATTAAACGCACTCAAGAAAATCAAACCGTGTATTGAACAAACCGACTATAAGAAGTATTTAGAGTGGGGCCGAAAATATGGGGCCACGTAACACTGATCTTAATGTAATTATTTAAATATTCTTATAAACATAATGACTAAAATAAAACAAATAATTATTCTACTTAAATACCACACATTTGAGTGTTGAACCAGTAATTAAGCCATTGATATTTTTTTAGATACTAACTGTAGAAACTACTGAATTTACTAATGACACTAAAGATTCTCTATTATTATTTTTTTACATAGCGTTTCTGAAAATTGAATTTTCTTAACGAAAAATGCAAAAAAATATCGTGTACGACACGTTTAAAAAATGCCTTTTTTCACTCATTTGCTTGATAAACTCCGACTGCGCCTTCGTTAATCCAATTGCAAATTTAGGAAAAAAAAGTATGACTACTTTCTAACCGCAGGCTCAGGCGTCACCTTAATTAAACATCCTGACATAGCAAATTAGAAGAATTACCAATAATTCAGTGTTAGTAATTGATTTTTTTTTGTCTCAACCAATAATAATCACTAACTTGGTATTAGGTATGAGTAATTATTTCTTAAATTTTTACTTGATTTTAATACAGGGGTTGTGTAAATCACTATGTTTTAAATTATTACCTCCAAAACACTTGCTTTTTTCAACTCATGTCCCACATACGTACCGTAAAAACTTGTAGCAAGAGACACGTTCCCCTCTCTTCTCCATACTCCGACACTTCTAAGAGCCTCCTAGGTCCTAACCGCATACACCACTCGCCCAAACACAGCAACAGCGCCGTCCCCAAAGCTTTATCACTCTCACCCGCCGTAGAACCCAAAGGTGCGTGTCGAAACAAGGCCGCACACAATGTCCGAACTACGGCATTCCCAAGTCTTGGATATTGTGTCCATAACAGAGACGCATGATCGCACAACAAAAACAATATATTGCTTGCCAGTTGTGCAATAATTTTATTATTAAACTGAAAACAAACAAGTACAATCAATCATGTACAAAAAATTAAAATTTTCTCTACCTTGAGCGCCAATAAGAGCACGTTGATGGCGTCAGTGACTTTGGGATGAAACGTCTGATTGGTCAACTCCTTGTACACAAACATTCCCAATGCCGAAAGTGCAATACACCGAGCTTTGCCTTTAGGTTCCCGTCTCCCAGCCCGAAGTAAAATACTAACAACGTGTTCTTTCACATCTGGACATGACCTCACGTGAATATTATCCTCCGGTTGAAGCACAGAAATACTGTTTAGATCGTCAGGTAAACTTAACAAATTCGCAATAATCGAGATCGCCTCGGTTCGTGGCGCCCCTTCGAGATTTTCCTTCGAGTTCAAGACGGTATTACACGCGTGTATAAGATCCAATAACAGCAACGAAAACCCCGGCAACTGCAACGATAAGAATCTAGGCCCGAGAAACTTCAACGTTGTATTAAGAAACGGCTTTGAATTCCCAGCGAGCGACATATGCAAAAATCTATAGAACTGAGGTAAATAATTCCTACGTTTATAATCACAGTTTACGGTGATAGTACACAAGAGCCTCAACGCGTTTAACTTCCCCGCTTCATAATCATCCGGGAGCATTAAAGCCCCGAAACACCAAGGCAAAATCAAAGTTAAAGGCGGTATCAACTCTGGAGCTGGCGGCGTATTCTGATTATCAGCCGAAATACCCTGATTTTGCTTTATTTTGATCAAAGTTTCGCTCAGTTTGACCAAATATTCGAAAACTTGCGCATGCAACTTGGGATCGGCGATGGTATTGACATCACCAAGAGCACCCAACATACGTCTCCAAAGTATCACAGCGACATCTGGAAGCCAACCGCGGATTGAGCCTCCACACACCACTCCTCGGTGTTCACCGGCCGACTCAGAATTCGAATTTTCAGCCGAGAGTACGTCCAACTGAATCGGCGAGTCTTTGATCGAGTTGCTTTCGAGTCCGCTAGAAGGCGCCGGACTTGGAGAGCGAGTTCGGTCTGTCGATTCGGTGTCGGGTTGAGGAATATTGTCCAGTGATAAAGACCGACGGTGTTTTGTCTTAGGAAAAATAAAAATATAGAGCAAATCTAGCCAACATTTAGATAAATACATGTCTTTGTCGTTGCGAGGAGCGCCGTTTTACGTTCAAACTCGTCTCACTGTGACTTCTGGTTAAGCCATGTTTGGCTTTTTTTCGCAAAACGTTGCCGTCGGGTAGGGAAGAGTCTTGACGACACACTGAGATGTGGCTATGGTCGTTTATATTGCACTGAGTCGTACTTTCGGGTCGGTTTGCTGATCGGCGACCGCGTTTTGATTTTTGCTCCATAAGACGGTCCAAAGGCAGGTCGGTTAAGTCTAAATTATACACATGTCGTGCTAAGACTCGTGTTAAAGTTTCCATTGTTTTCTATTTAAATTAAAAAAAAATGTTATGAAATGTTCATTAAAACACTCTTCAAGCACACCTACCGCCCATTCTTTTATAAGCTCTTCCCAGTTGGTCAAAGAAGTCAAAACTAGTAAAAACCGGTCCCACAATTCCCTCGAAATCATAACATTCAAATTAGCTTTGATCCATGTAACGATCAATGTTTGAAAAATCGCTGGTGCTAATTTTCCCCCAAGGGTGTTAATTTTTTTCTTTGGAGGATTTTCCCCCAAAACAAGTGAAGTAATCTGTAGAAGTACCAACAACAATTGTTCCCTAAAAACACCAAATTCACTCAAAATTCAAACAAGTGATAAATCGCACCAAGTGCTACTATCCATCCGCGTATTCATAACCATATATCTGTAAATATTAAGTACTCTTTTACAAGCATCAGTCTGTTCTTCCAACATTTTAGGAATGTGTGGATTTACTTCTAATAAAAACACGTTGGCAGCATGTGTCATAAATAGTTGCAATATGTTCTGCATTCCCGCTCTCACTAACAGATTTTCCCTATGTATAGCCCCCAAATACGAGTCATTTCGTAATCGTGGAGGTCTCATACCTTCGAATATGCCCTCATCCACAAATCTAGGAGCATCTTCGGGAGGTTCTAGCATGTATGAGGGCATCTCAGGTACGTTGAGCTGAATTAGGTCCTTGTAGACTGCTATAATTTTTCTAATTGCAACTACATGACTAAAATTAATTAGGAATGCTTGGCGATATATCTCGTGGATGAAATTAACATTGTCTCGGGAACTACAAAGAACCTCTCGTACGATTTGATTTGCTAGTTCCTCATCGCTTGCAGTTTTGTTCGTCTGAATCGATATCGCTAGAAATTCAAATAAAAAATCGCCATCACATTTTTTTATTCACTCACTCGATTCGAGGCTTGCATGTGCCGACTCGTGTCCCTCCTCGTCATGTGGGGCGGCACCCGCACTAGTGGAATGTGTAATTGAACTAGGTCCCCCATCCGCATTCTTCTTAGGATGGTGCAAATGATTGGCCACCCACATTATCAAAGCAACACGACACAATATAAACTCACTCTCGGCTTCAGGTTTTCTCAAAACCGGCAACTCTAAACAAACATTTTAACTCCCACTTTACATCCAACAAAAATTTACCTAAATTTGGAGTATACAAAGACGTGTCAGAACTAAAACTTGGACAGATCTTTATCAAATAATACGACTTGAATTTTTCCAATAAAAAATTGAAACACCGGTGATGGTGAGCGGCTTTATCGTGCCACTCTAATTTAATAACGGTGTGCACCATATGCTCTAAAAGAGCCTCCAAGAAAAACTTGCTTTGGTGTTCTGGAGCTTTTTCGCCCCCCGAAGGGGGCAGCACTGGGAGCAACTCTGCCGGCGTGACGGGATTTTGGGCGCTGGTGTCGTGAAAAACGCTGCCGCTGATTTGCATCAGAGCTGATGAGGAACTGTTGAAACCTGGTACCAAAGTTTGGAACATGTTATGGACGTAATCAGGGGCATTGTCGTTTAATGCTTGGTACCACATGAGGAAATAACGTATGGCTTGCCGTCGCAGTTTTACGGAGTTTCCGGGGTGTAAAAGTTTGGATAAAATGCGGCCAAGGGAGTGGAGTTGCCATCTTTTGTAGATTAGCTCTGGGAGCAGACACAACACTTGTTCCAGAATCCAGAGAGTACATTCTAGTTCTTCTTTGTGTGCTTTGTGAACTGGAATAATGGGAAATAATAAATAAGGATTTTTAAGTAGGTATAGCACCCAATCCAGACTTACCCAAATGAAAAGAGAGCTCTGAGGCAACAAAAACAGACAATTAGTACAGTTACACAAACAATGAAAATTATTTCAATTGAATCTGTTTACGTAAAAGAAGAAGAGTTATTTTTGAAGGAAACGACAATAATTATCACAAAAGCAAACAGATTCAGGCCAAGTTGAAACAAGCAAAAAACGGTAATTACCTCGTTGTCTTAGATTCCCTTCAGCTTGGATAAAACTGTCGTATAGTATGTTATAAACGTGACTAAAATTGGCTTCAAACAACCCTTTAGCTTCAGCAATATCCACATTATCTGCAAAGACAGGTGAGTTAATTGTCATAACCTAATTCCAGGTGGGGCAAACCCACCGACGATTTATGATAAAACAGAGTACCACCTACCTAAAATGATCTTCAAGTGTTTGATTCTTGTCGCCAAATCTTTTTTCGGATCTTGTATTTTCGAAGTGGATTTTTTAACGTCGACAAGATTTCTTTTACTAAACATTTTAACTAAATTAAAACCATAACATCAAAGGTTTGCACTTAGATTTATTGCTCGTGTTTTTAAGAAGCATCGTAAACAAATAGAATTAATTGTAAAGGTAAATATCACATTTTAAAAGAAATTTCTGTGTTGACGTACATTGACATCTGAAATTTTTTAGTACAGCGCGTTCTGGAGGATGACCGATGAAACCACATTGTAAATAAATCGTGGCGGGACATACAAAAAATTAAATCTTTTGAAACAATAAATTTATTCTGGTAATCATAATACATACATAGAAAAATATAATTACATTTAACTAAACAAAGGTAGTAACACAAAATATATTCACATAAAACAATAACTAATATCATACATACTTTAAAATATTTATAAAATTATTTACATAAACACAACCAGCATGCAAATGTTACAATATTTTTTATATAAAACGTTAATAAATGCCGAGGAAGAATCATGACAAAAATGAAACAATTACTGACATCGTCGATATCATATATTTTAGACTTTAAAAATTGCATATTATGTACACAAAAAGCTTTGTTATTGGTATATGTTTAGAATTCCTTTGAAGAATCAAGACCAACATAATGTAAAAAAATAATTACACTACATTAAAACACTAATATTCTCATTATATATATTTAATGCCGGTTCCGCTATACCTAATCAAAATTGGGAAACAATGCATCAAGATATGTTTGTATCAAGTTTGGTGTATAATGAAGTCCGTATAATTCCATTTAATTCGTTATTTGACATTTTCCCTCTATAATTTTTTAGCCCCCAATTTCATTGGTCCACCTGTCGTCCGACTAGCTCGCCGGGCTTCTAGCTCCTTTTGCCTCATTAATTTCCTTTCTTCGCGCTTCTTCTTGGCTTCTTCTAACTTTGGATTTGTAGTAGATGGTTGCTCTTCTAAAGGTTCAAACTCAGAGTCCCCCCAATTATTCACCGACTTCCTATTACTCAATCCGTGCTCATACGATTCAGGAATAATAGGAGTGGTATCACTGGGACTCCACGCCTCTGAGGGACTCGTGAGTTCAGCTTCGACCTCCTTTAAAATAAAAAAACAACACTGTAATAATCATTAAAAATAAAGAAATCTGACTTACCGGCTCTTCTTCAAGACTGCCCCACTCTTCGTTATCCCACCCGTCTGTAATTTTATTAGTGCCAGACCCCGAGGGGGGGCTCGCGGCGTCGCTAGTGCCTCCACCGCCCCCGCTGCCACTACTGCTAGCCATCTGACCGACAGTCTTCAAACAAATGAAGTTAATTAACAAATAATCGAGACTAGATTACTAAAATTACCTCCATGTCTCCCCAGTTGTCGTTGTCGCCCCAGTGGTCATAATCATAATCAGAAACTGATTCATTCCCTCGACTTCCTTCCTCATGTTCTAAAGACGTCATAGAAGTAACACTAGAAGTGGTCGTTGAAATGCTACTACTCGATGGTTGCTCTAGAAAATTACTTCAAACTTTAAGTCAAATCAAGTTAGATAATCACCTAGTGAAGCCGGTTTCGTCAACATTTTACTAGCCATAGGATTCATTGATTTAACTGTATCTGATTGACTTCTGTAGAATTTCGCTGTTACTGCTGTAACCGCCCACCCGGCCCACGTGGCGGCTGCGTTGCTCAGACTTGGGGTTGCAGTATTGACATCAGCCTCTAAACCACCATTCCCCTCATTATTACAGCAAGAAAATATAAAAAAAAACTTACCCATACTCTCCCTCAAACTGGGATCCTCTGACACCTTCTCCAACTTCCCCAAAAACCCCTTAATCGTCCTAAACACCGAATCACGGACCGACTTCTCCGGATCCATCGTTAACTGACACAAAGCGGGCAAAATTCTCGACGAAACCTCGTTCAAAAGATAATACTGTTGCGTCGCAGCCAAGGCCAAAATCCCCGCATTTCGTGCCGGAGGAAACGGATCCCTCATCGCTCGTATAAATGCCGAAATGAGAACTTTCTGTCGGATTTGTGGATGCAAATGCTGTGCTATTTTCCCCAAACACACTGTAGTGTTGGTGCGAATGCCACCTTGATCATCTTTTGACTGGAGTCGGGCGAAATGCCGCAAAACTTCCACGTTTAAATTGTTGTAACTTAGTTTAGGTGCTAGATGTATCACAGACTGGAAGTTTAAACATAAAAAAAAATCAAGTTGGGGGAGAAAGTTACTTTGACAGTCTGTTCGCGAATTGTGGGGTTGGTATCCATAAACCCGTGAGCAATTTGAGGGAAAATTTGTTCGTTTACGGTCGCAGCTTGCAAGTGACCGATGAAATGTTCGAGTTGTTGCAAAAGTCTAGATCTTGTTGCTCTGTCGTTGCTTACAAATAGTTTGACGACGCACGGGACGATTTTCTTCTGGTAATCGGCTTCGTCGAGCAGTTGGCCCAACTGTGATAAAATCATCGGTATTTTAGGGATAAAATATCGGAAAAAATACCTTAAACATAGGAGCCAAAACTGCAGATCCGGCGTCTCCGTAGTCAAAGGCTGTTATTAATTGAGGCAAAATTTTGTGTTTGCACACACTTTCGGGAAAATTATCTAAATGTGGTGTTAGGTTTGAGAAAAATCGATTTTTCTCATTTTTATCTTTGATCTGAATCTCTTCTAAAAATAGTAAAGTGTCTACAAGATCGTTTTTAAAGTAGCCGCCGAGCTTTCGGCATCTAGTTATAATATCGGCAGGATTAGGCCTTGATGACGGATTTGCTCCAACTAATTCGCAATATAATGGACCCAACTGTTTAGGAATCTTGTCTAGGAGTTTTAAAGAAGACTGTTGATATAAAGGACCATTGAATACTTCCCATATTAAACAACCTAACCCCCACATATCTGCAGAGCTATTAACACAAGCAATAAATAGTCAAATTAAAAAAAAATATATTTGAACAAACCATTTCGTAATTGACCTTTGTTTAGTTGGGTCATTTTTTTCTGGAGGGTCGTACATTTCCAATGATGGTATAATTTTAATAGTAACATTAGAGTTGTCTTGAGCACTTGAGACATATTCAACGCCTCCCAACTTCCACTCTCCAGAAGAATTAACAAAAACTGACCAAATGTTAACATTGTTGTGCCTCAAATTACCATCATTATTCAAAAAAGACAAAGCACGCTAAAAATACAAATTGAGAAACAGAAGCTAGACGTTATAAAAATAATACCGTAATTTGAAAAAGTCCCCAAGCAATATACAGATCTTTTTGGGCACCTTCTATCGTCAACTTTTCTAAATGGCTAGCCAACGGTTCAACATACTCTGTCGCTAAATACAAAACCTTATCCGATTCGTAACTATCTAAATATGTTAAAATACTAGGATGTCTCAATGTTTTTAGTCGTTTAATTGCCGCTTTAGCGATTTCCAATTGTGTTTCTGATCCACCCTTTATATCAAAAACAAACACCGATACTTCTTCGGTTGTGCCCTTAAACATAAGGGTCTTGTTACAACTTAAAGATTTTCAGAAATTTTAACAGAAATACCTTTCTTTTGCCCTTATGCAAACTCCAAACACTCCTTTCGTCAAGTCCCTTGACTAACTCTCCGATTTCAAAACTGAAATCTTTGGAAGGATCGCGCGAGAAAAATGACCACATGACACTAATTTTTCAATAAAATACTGGATTTATATTGTATTATAAGAAATTTGTACAAACTTTTAAAAACCTAACCTAAATGTCACAAATTTTGACGTCGTACATAATTGGCCGATAAAAGAGAAAACTATTAAATTCGTTTATCATTTTCATTTATTTTCAAAATATCATTGTAGTAGAAAGAACTAAAAGAACCACAAAATAATCACTTTCTAAAGTGCAAAAGTATAATTTCAAAATATTTAAATATATTGCAATAACCAATTTATAAAGCATTGGTTACACAATCTTTATACTTTTTATTTAACTTTTACATTAGATTATTGAAGAACGATTTTAATTTTTTTTTAATTTTTCGATTTTAAATATTTCAGAAACTTTGATTACTTATTTGAGGTCTAGGTGGTGCTTTATGCTGTTTTACACTGTTTTACCGGCTGAATTAAACGTCATACTTGTCAAAGTAAAAAAATCAAAATATGGTGATAGTCGCACAAAGGTTTTGTTAACTGTTCTCAAACATTTTACTACAATATAAAGAGCTTCAGGTGCATTTAGTTGAGCTTTTTGTTTAATTCTTCCATATCCAATTATCCAATAGTGAAATTTCAATAGTGGAAACTTTTAACGTGATGTTCCATTTGTTCCTTCTGTAATTAATTCTATAAAAGCTTAGAACTAGTGCAGTTAAAATGCTCTAAACCGTCTAAATAAAACTGAGTTATTAGGCTTAAGTTTGAATTATATTTCAAGTTTTTAGGTATTATATCTGGCAATATGGTAAGTCAATAATCATAGATTTTGGTATGAAAGGGGCAAAACAATGAGATCTTACACTTTCAGTCTGTCGCGGAGTTTCTTAAAGGTCTCCCATCGTATGATGAAAACAATTTTACTAAATTCCATGTTGACAACAACAGTAGGTCCCCCCTAAAACGACCTTCAGTGTATGTACCAACTAAAGATTTTCCATCTGAACAAAGTATGTATATTTTCTCGAAAATTGCTTAATTTGTTGCTTCCTTTTATTTCTAGTAATAGTTACTGAAAAAACTAGTATTGTATTGAAATATATGCAGACACATTGGGACAAAAAAGCAAGTAATTCTGAATTTCAAGAATTCAAATTCAGTTATTTTTGTTTTGTAGAATACAACAAAAAAACGGGACCACATACAAGAAAACGAAGAACCGTTACGAAAAAGGCCACGATTGGAATAATCTGCATCGTTCATAATATAAAACCAAGGGGTAACTGATTTTATATAATTTTTATATAGCCACTGAGTTTTGAGATTTAAGTTTAGAAATATAGTAATTATGCCTAGGCATGTTTAGTTTCATTGCCAATCCAAAGCCATCATTATTTTGCAATTTTGAGGATAAAGTAAAACTTCTATGACTTTTTTTTACAACTAAAACATTTGGGGTATGGATACTAAAAAAATAACATTTCACAAATTAATCTTTATTAATAAACACTCTGAGTACAATAAATACTTAACGACGGTCAGTTTTGCCAATACCACGTTTTCCAGTAAAGAGATGTTTTGGCATTTTGTTACCAATAAACCTATCCGCTTCACCTTTAAGACCGTATTTCTTGACCTTCTTACTAATCGCACGGTGTGCGATTTTCGCCAATTTCTTTCTCATCTGCAAAATAAACAATTATGTAAGAAAAGAAAAACAAATCATCAAAACCGTTACATAATTAGCAAACCTCTTGATAAAAATGTTCCATATTAAAAAAGTCAAAAGTAGTACCATATATATTGTTTAAGACTTACCGCCGGATCCTTGACTCCCATCTCATTTCTCGAGGGCACCACCGCCCTTGTCGACCTCGTCGCAACGCTCGTCGACGCCTCCTTATCCACCTCCATCCTCACCTTCTTCAACGGGGGTCCCATCGACGCACTCCTCTTAGTCTTCGTAAAGTGCGCCCCCTTCGTATCGCTCATATCCACTCCCAACTCCTCCATATTCGCCCTCAACTTCGACACTGATCGATCCCTAGCCTTAGCCCTTGTATTTCTAGGCATAGCCGGCTTCCTGCATTGTTTATTAACCCTGGCCTCATCCTTAAGTATCGCCTTCTTGTGTCTGATTTGCAAAGCAAGGGCTTTAATTTCACGCATGGTGTCTGTAAGCTCGATCTTCGGCACGACATACATCCCCGTCTCCTCTCGAATTTCCTCCTCGCGTTCGAGAGCCTCAAGCTTATCGAATATTTCGGGGTCAATGTAGTCGGCAATATTGTGGCCTTCCCAGATTTCAGGGATGATATCCCAGCGTTCCTTCTCGGGAATCTCCGTGTAGGATTTTTTAAGGTCAAGGACGTAGTCGTCGCCTTCTTCAAGCTCGATATCGCGTTCGAGTTTGCGTTTGCGGGACTGCTGGGCCTCGCGTTTGGCCAAAATTGACTCAGGGATGCACGGAGAGCGAGGTTTATCGTCTCTGGGTTTGGGTACAGCGACATGAAGGCGATTCAATATCCCATCGACTTTTTTCGAGCGCATTTTCTGATCAACTCTGAAGCTGAGAAGCGTCTCGCAAGCCTCGGTTTTCACCTCCATGACTCCAGTATCGGTCACAGTCGACATTTCCATGATTGGGACATTTGAATCCTCTTTCAAGCTTTTGAGAGTGTCTTGTTTATCAGCCGGAAGTTCGCTGAGTGGCACAATATCGACTTTATTTGCCACAACAATCAATGGTTTATTTGCGAATAAGGGTTTGATTGACTCAAATAATCGCACTTGTTCCTCCAAAGTATGTCCGCATTGCTCAGAAGGGTCAATGAAGTACAACACACAGGCTCGTAAGTGTGCAAGGGCTGTCACGGCCTGCATTTCAATCACGTTTCTTTCCTCCAAAGAGTGGTCCAAAATTCCGGGAGTATCAATCACTTGCCAGCGCAAATACTTGTAATCCATGTGACCAACATACAAAGATTTTGTTGTGAAAGCATAAGGTTGGACTTCAACATCAGCTCTTGTTATTTTATTCATAAATGATGATTTTCCAACGTTTGGAAACCCGCAAATAATGATTGTTCTGGTATAGGGGTCTATTGACGGGAGACGCGCCAAGTGTTGCCTCACTTGTTCCAAATAAGTCAAATTGGAGGCTTGTCTCTTCATTATAGTGGCCATTCGGCCCAAAGCAGCCCTTTTTAATTGCTTACAACGGTAAAGCGAGTCTCCAAACTTCATCAAACGAACATAATCTTTTGCTACATTATCTATTAAATGTTTGGCTGTATTTATCTGGCCTAAAGCCAGTTTGTAATGGTCCTTATCGTAGAGAACGTTAATTAAATCGGCGTAAAAGGGATGGACATCGTCAAGTTTAGGAAATTCAGTCAGGATTTGAGTCAAACGGTCGTGGAAACTTTGTTGCGAAAATTTAATTTTTCGCATATAGAAATTCCTGATTCTTGTTATTTTGTATTGCTTGTGGATGACGGTGGGTGTTTTGCGTTGGGTTTTCGATAGGATAATATCGATAAAGTCCTAAATATGACGAAATGAGAAGCATTTACAAAAAAATATTGAAAAAATACCTTTGCAGAGGGGACAACTGCAATCTTCTTAAAATTGTACAGTGCCATTATAGGTGTTGTGTCAATGCAAAACTTTCACAATAAATTAAGATTAAATATGTTTTTATTTAATTTATCCTCAAATCTAACCTAGACTTAAAGTGACACAACACGTGGAAAGAAAATTTCAACTTTTCAGAAGCGCATGCGCAGTATTTCCGATAACTGCGAAATTCTTTAGCTTGTTTTAAAATAACAATATTAAAGCAAAATCACATAAAATTAAAACAAAATGTCTTGTTATCTTTACTATTAATTAAAAATAAATTTGAGATGCTTAACAATAATATTTGTGTCCAAGTTCTTTTATTTATGACGGGTTGGCGAATGTTGTTTTAGCACTTGTGCGACTTATATGCAAAATTTCACATTTACGATTGTTGTTTTCGGCAGTGAATTGCTGTTTGATATAAAAAAATATGTTAAATCTTGCTAATTTAAACAATTTTTAAGTAAAAGTGTGTAAACTTTGATAATAAGTGTAATCATAGTCTCTGTGTACACCTCAATTGCAGTCTCAGGTTTTTTTATTTGTTGCAACCAAGACTGAAAAATTGTAAGCATTTCTTACTTATTTTACTCCAAATTGGAATGATTTTGATATTTTTTCAGGAAAATGGCTGATGTTCGAGATATTATGGAGTTGGACCATCCAACAAGCCAAGAAGTAACTCGAGAGTCAATCATTGGTTCAGACAAACAAAGAAAGCGACCCCCAACAACGACAAAAACTCAGAAAAGACCTGAGGGAATGCACCGTGAAGTTTTTGCTTTGTTATACAATGATAATAAAGACGTGTCTCCGCTTTTTCCATCTGATACGGGACATGGATATAAACAAACAAAAATTAAGCTGGGGATGAGGAAACCAAGAAAGTGGAAATGGGTGCCATTTACAAACCCGGCAAGGACTGACGGGGCGGTGTTTCATCACTGGAGGAGACCTTCTGATGAGCCTAAAGAATATCCTTTTGCCAAGTTTAACAAGGTGCTTTTTATCACAATAATTCCTGTTATTTACAAATTTATTTACTACTTATTGTTTTAGAAAGTTGATGTTTGTACTTACACTGATGCTGAATATCAACAGCATTTAAAAGTTGATGGATGGACGAAGGAAGAAACTGATCATATGATGCAACTGGCACAAAGATTTGATCTTAGATTTATACTAATGGCTGATAGATATGACACTGAAAAATTTCCAAAAAGATCAGTAGAGGATATTAAAGATCGTTATTACAAAATCTGCGGCATTATGAGCAGAGTAAAAGTGACTTATACCTACAGTTTACTTTAAATTTCTTGATTTCATTTTAGTTGAGAGGTGAGAAAAAGATTTATACTTATGATGTAGACCATGAAAAACGACGGAAAGAGCAATTGAAAAAACTGTATGATAGGACACAAGAACAGGTGATGAATATTGTTATTGGAGTTACTTGAGAAATAACAATTATAAATATTTTAGATTGAAGAGGAACAGTTCTTGCTCTTAGAACTGAAAAAGATAGAAGCTAGAAAGAAGGAACGTGAGAGAAAGACTCAAGATTTACAAAAATTAATAAGTCAGGCAGACAGCCAGAGTGAAACTCCCAGAAAAACAGACAAAAAACTGCCCAAGAAAAAAATTGCAAATCCTTCAAGACCTTCACGCGTTGATACAGCAGTGAGTATATTAATTTCTACTTTATCTTTGTACAAATTTTGTCAAGTATTTAATTTGCAAATATTTTTTCACAGGTTTTTGTGTTGCAATTTAAACTAAATAAATCCATTTTAATAGCATATTTTACAGGCTGTTGAGACTGCAGGTATTAAATTCCCTGATTACAAAAACAGTGGAGTTTCTCTGAGGTCACAAAGAATGAAACTGCCTGCAAATGTAGGCCAGAAGAAATCAAAAGGAATAGAACAAATGTTGCAAGAAATAGGTTTAGGTAAGTTTCATATAAAAAACCTGTAATTACGTACATGTTTTAAATGTTTGTTTTTGCAGAGTTAAATCCTATTCCTACTGAAGAAATCTGTCAAAATTTCAATGAGCTTAGGAGTGATATGGTCCTCTTGATGGAAATTAAATCAGCTCTAAGTACCTGTGAATTTGAATTACAATCATTGAGACATCAGTATGAGGCATTAAATCCAGGGAAAACTTTGACGATACCGCCACAGTTAATCTCTAATTTGGATCTCGAAAATAAAGTTGGGACGGGAGAAATCATAGATGTCGTGGGGTCTCCAAGCACCCCTACATCCTAGTATAATATTGTACAATTATGATTCCAATAAATATTTAATTCTAATTCTCTGGTTTTTCTCTATATTATGGAATGTGATTCAAAAATAACAAATTTGTACATAAAATTGGAGAATTCCAATTTACATTTTTCCGTGGTTTATGAAACGGGAGGTTTAAAACTACAATGTGGGTCTGTTTAAAACAGACCCTAATTGAGGCGTTTGAAATTAGAGTGGCCTAATCCACAGAATTTATAAACTTAGTTTTACTCTCAGACCAACTGCTTTTTGTTAAAATTTTCTGTAAAATACAGGCCTAACGTTTTAAAAAAAAAATATTAACGGTAAATTGACTGTATTTAAAACAAAATAATATTTTTATAAATGAAAATTTTACCTTTTATTAGGATAATGTGGGCAAGGCCACTCTAATTCTCAACGCCTCAATTGTAGTAGCAAACAACCAAGGTAGTGATATAAATTAATACAATAATTAAGAAATCAATAAACCTACAAATATTAAAATAAATGATAATTAAATGATTTTTACGTACGAAATCAATAATTTTTATAATCATTAAAATTAGTCATACTTAGATGAATTATTGACAAAAAAATATTTGTCGTAATAAAAATTATCTGATGCTTTATAACTTTCGGGATGTGCCATTCAGAAAAAAAGGAAAGTCCGTTTTAAGTCCCATAGTTTGTATAGCTATAGTTATTAAAATTAGTCAAATAAACTAATTCTATACAAAAAAATATGCCTTAATAAAGATTTATCTTATGTAGATTATTATAATTAATTAGTAGGTATAGACCTAAGTTAAGTAAAAAAAACATTTCTCATATCGCATACCCACTTAAGTAAAACTCTTAACATTTTTATTGATTTTATTTTAAGTAAATTAAATAGTATAAGTAAATCATTTTTTTTAGTTCATTATCCCATTGGGAGCAAGAAAGAGTAAAGACAACTTTTTAAGCAAAATGCAAATTCTCTTTAATAGGTTTCACAAGCATACCGATATTAATTAAAAAGGTAATTAATTAATTAAAATTAATTAATTAAAAAGGTAATTCCGTTTAAATTTATTTTTGAAAAAATAATTCTGTATAACTTTTCTAAGAGATTTTCATTTTAACTTTTTCGCTGATTCAGTCTGAACATTTTATCTAATCTGCGACTCCCACCAAACTCTTTGTCCTTTTATTGCTTTCAATTCAGGATTTCATTAAAACTGTAACCAAACTGCGTCCCTTCAAAGCTCCTTTAAACCGAAATGCAAAATTCCCTTGATTAGAAAGCAGAACCCCAACTAAATGAATTAGTCACTAATGAATATGCTCTTTTGCCAGATGAAACGATATTTTTACGAAATCTTACGGTGTTAGAAAAAATCACCACCAAAGCGTGCGCATATATCCACCACCGACGTCATATAAGCGCAGACGCCGCCACCAGTGTTGTTGGGGTAGCTGTCGTCGAGGTTTCTATGCATTATATATTTTTGAATACATAGTGTAACACACGGTCGGCTTTGTGGTGGCTCCTGAACATACCAGAGTGACAACGTTCAAAATTTAAATTTCTCAAATTGTCAAACTTTACAATGTGAAAAATGATTTTAAGCAATTTTCGAATAAAAAAACACTAAGTTATTGAAAAGAAATGTATTGCAAAATCGTCGTACTTTTCTATTGCGTCCTGACCATTGGATTACTTCCAGGTAAAGATAAAATTGATACAATTTATTAAATCATTTCATATCTTACTATAAAATATGCCTACTCCATTACGCTGTTTTAAAAATATCATATCGACAATTCATGAGGTAATGTATACGAAACTAATCAATAATTGGTTGAGAAGTCAATTGACAAGAAATTTTATACCGGGTGTGTGGAACACGAATAATATTTTTTCTGATAATTGTATTGCGATATAAAAAAATCACCATCAACACCCAATATTGAATTAAATTTGATCAGCTGTTTGGCAATGTATTAAATAAATATAAAATTATTCTACCCGCTCTAAATTTACGACATATTATTTCATAAATAAACCAAATTAAATGTTTCATTTAATGGTTAAAATGAATGTAATAGAAGCTAAATGCTATCCGAACATTATTTATGTTTTGAGCTTTTCTCCATTTAATGAAAAAGAACTTTTTAATCAGATTTCAGTCTTTTCAGATACGTTCTTTGAAATTTTTACTTTATATTCGTTAAAACTTCTGTATCAAGTTTTACCAAATCCTTATAATTATCCTAACAGTAACTATCCTTTTATCTCAAGAACTTTGTACTTATATTTTGATCAACTGCCTCCAAGCTTAAATTTAACAAAGTTATGAAGTAGATTATTAGGAAATTTTGAAATGATTGAAACAACAAAGTTTCAGTACTTTCAGTAACGACTGTTCTTTCTTCTTTGCAAATAAATTTACATTAAATTGCGATTTTTCCGAATGGTATCTTTAAAGGTATTTTTGCATTGTTCAACTGAATTCTATTGTGTACCAGCCATTCTCATTTCCATTTTCAAATCATCTAACAATTCAGCTTTGCAACTTTACAAAGGGCGGAATTTATCAGTGACGAATTGCTACAATTTACTGAATGCACTGGAATAGACAAATTTGAGATAAAAATCGATTTATTTTAATTACTTGAACTATGTTGGTTTAGGTATTCTAACAGCAAGGAACAGTCTAAGATGAAGTGAGTAAAGTGGTTCATACATTTACATACTGTCTGCTCCAAGCACCATAATGCTTGACATTATGAAGGCACCCATCTTTTATAATCCATTTCCGTATCAAATGTCAAGTGCTGTTTTAGCAATTGAGTTTTATATTACCTGGAAAGCATTAGCGAAACGAAGTCGTGAAAAATAAATTCGGACATAATGAGATTATTTTGCTTTGTGAAATTCAAAACATACAATTCTCGAATGTATAACAAGAGCTGTCTTTTGTTATTTGTAAATTTATATAAAAATAAGAAATTATATTACAGCACGGTGGAATATTTCTTGATTGATGTTACTTGATGTGTTTTTTCTTGAATTATTAATTCTCTATTCGTTTCAGTTACGTTCGCTGACATGGAAGATACGAGCGATGAGGTAAGTCTTTATGCACAAATAAATCAATTAATTTTTTCGAACTGTATACAAACAGTATAACTGTATACTATACAGTTTCCCAAACTAGTATAATCTGAAACGCCGAAAGACAAATTTAATTAAAAATTTTCATGCAAAGTAATAGGATTAATAATTATTCTGCCGTTTGTTTTCGTTTACATTTCATTTGAAATACAAATGGAAATTGATTATTAAAGCATTGTTAGTAAAATCTGAGTGACGTAATAATTTTCCGAACAGTTATAGACCGTTCCAATTATCAGTTCGTTATGAGGAGATTAATTGTTGATTATTAGGAAATAACGGACTAGGATGGACTAATCTACAGTTCCGCAAACCCTTTTGGTCATTTGTATTTCGTAAAAAGCTTGAATATGCATTGTGTGTGTATGCAAATTGCGATATAATTAGAGTTTTATCCCTGTCGTAAATAAGGATAAAATGGTGGAGGCGCCGGGTCAGCAACACGAACTTATCCTCGTTCTTTGTATGAAACAAAAAGTAGAGTATCTAGTAAATTAAATTATTTCCAGTAATTAAGTACTTTCTAAGATAAACCAGAAAGCTTCTGGCAAGACCGCAAAACGGAACAAGTTTCCAAGTTTATTAACAAACAATAATTTTAAAAGCAAACAGAGCTCGGGTATTTTAAAGTTTTTCTCCTTATTAAAACGTGCCTTAGAATGAAACATTACCTTATTTCAACGCTTAAAAAAATCCTTCTGTATGCTAGTACGGAATATTGGAAGGACCTGTACAAAAACGTTTATTTTTCCTGTTTACTATTTTAGGGTGGAAGATATCAAGAAAGTAAATCTTCCCAACAGAATGAATCCATAAGTGCAGGTCCTCCAGATTCCCACGAAGCCATGAACTATCGTGAAACCGATTTATTGACAAGGAACAAAAGAGATAATTTGTTAAATGACGACAACACGGATTATGCAAAATTAATCAAGACTCGACATTTAGATCAGGTAACTAAATTAGAAACAGTTTGTTACGGAAAAATCACCCAATTATCCACTTTAACAAAAATGTGTTTTCAGGACGATTCTTCGAACGTTACAGCAAGCGAACTTCTTCTCGAGCTGATGATTAAAATTGCCGCTCATCCTGAGCAGTGGAACAAAGTCCATAATTTATTAGGTTTGTATGAGGAGTGTAATTAATATTCTAGTATAGTGTTAATTACATTGTCATTAGTTAAACACTATTTTATATTTGTTTCAGGAAATATTAACAATGACATATTAATGTCTGAAAAGCTGTTAGAAAACCTACAGAAGGCCAAGACCAAACCAGAACCGGATGCAAAATCGGTTGAAAAGAAGCTAAAAGAGAAAATGATAAACAAGACAGAGAATCGTGAAACCGGCGAATGGACCGATTTCCAGACTAAAATGAAAGATAAGTTAGGGTTTTTAAACACAATTCCGCCTGATAGTTATCATTTGCGAAATAACCAATACAAGCCCATTCCCAAAACATTTGCATATCAAAGAGTCACGGGAAGACCGATGTATCTTCAGAAGAATCCCAAAGCTTATATCGCTGTTTCGGTCATAGCACCCAAATATATCAATTCGGGGACGAAAGACGAAGATTTGATTTTAGAGAAAGAGTTGCGGCAATTGAAACCGTGGACACATGACCAGAATTTGAAAAATATGGCTTCGATCAGATCTAGATGGGTCATCCAGAGGGAGGATACGAAGAAACCAGTTGTACCATAGATTAAAATGTAATTAAAAACTAATAATAGAAATAAAATATTTTGTGAAAAATAACAATACTTAAACTTGTGACAATTTTCGAATTTAAACTCGCTGTTAATAATTTAATTGCAAATTTTATAACGTGCTAAACAAAACCCTATTATCAATAATTTTCAAGTTCGTCCATTGCGATTATTTATGATAACACTTCAAATTTCCTCTCTGTGTACTTATGATTTGGGTCAATACTACGAGTATTACAAACAGTTCCAATAGGGTAAAAAGTGCCCTAACTATTTTGGCGGTTGGCTTTTGCCACTTTCAGCCACAAAATTTCAGTTATTCACAAAAAAGAGGTCTCTTGCGTTTTTTCGATACAACTTACCGTTTTTGAGTAAAATCATTTTACAATTTGTCTTAAAGACCATAAAGAGGAAAAAAATTAAAAATTAAATTTGTTTAACCGTTTAAGACACCCGCGATTAAATTTTTCGACAATTGATCTTTGAATTCGTTCAGGTGTTGAAAAGTAATTAGCTGTACCAACTTTTGTTGTTCTGTAATAGTGGGAAAACCCCATTAAAAACGCATCTCGTTCGGGGGTGTAGCTCGCTTACGTAACATTTTTTTTATATATGTTCGTAGGAAACTTTTGTCCTAAAATTGAATATTCTATCACCTGTTTAAGTTTGTAACAAAAAGAACGGAACACCCTGTATATTGGTATAGTACAGCACACTCATTATATTCTGTACACACGAGCCGTTTTTTAATGAGTGAAACTTGAAAGGACAAAGGAACTACTCCAGCTTTTTCATTATTTTCAAGATATTTGTAAAGAAGTAAAAAGCGAAGCTTAGAGGGTTGGTTGTCACCAATTACTGAAACGACTATACACTATAAGTAAATGGAACTGAAAATAAAACACGTGCAATTACACATGGCCACTCAAAGAGTAAATTCTTCCACCCGCAAAAAGCAGTTCTTTTTTAATTAGAAAAAACTATTTTCGTAATTTACGTCACTAACATGTTTTTGTAATTCTAGAGGCGAAAGAACAAGAATACCTATTTGTTTGGTGCAAAATAAACGTTATTTTTTTAATAAAGTAATTGCTTGGGAAAAAGGGCTAATACACAGTTGTGTTTTTATTGTTCCAAATTTAAACAGGTGATGGAATATTCATTTTAAGACAAAAGTTTCCTATAAACATCTATTGAAAAATACTTGAGCTACATCCAAATTTTAACTAATTTTATCTACAATGGTTTCTGAAATATTATTGACATAGTATTTTTCGATACGTATTCTTAGGAACTTTTTGTCTTAAAACTGAATATTTTATTATATTATTATTATTTAAATTTGTAACAATAAAAACGGGACACCATATATCTTTTTTAAAGGTAAGCATAATGTCAAAAGTTTTGTATGTCAACTCCATTACTTTTAAAATTAAAAATATTTATATATAACAATAGTACTGAACGTATCTTGCCAAAATTTTTCACGTTGGTCTGGAAACAAATTCTACGAATTATTGAACAAAACATGGCGCTATTAGATTATAAGTAGTGTCCAGCTTGACTGACAAGTTTAATATCGATTGATTTTCGGGTTGTCGGTTGCAATTAAATACTGCAGTGTATTCTAAGTGCTTGTTTATTTATGAAAAAAATGTAAATTATTCTACGTTTTACAACTTGAAATATGATCCTATCCAAGTAGCACAATTTAATAGAATGGTATCTACATAGTTGTGTCCAATGTTCATAATTTTCACTGTCAATAAGACTAGTCCCGCAATGTTTTTTCCAATACTTGGATTATTGCCAGTAAACAAATTGTACAATATACAGTTCTTCACCACCTAGCTTTACCTATTAGAATAAATACCTGATACAACGAACTGTATAAATATTATATACACAACATAACGCATTTGTAAAATTATTATAAAAGACACTTCATGATTTCAAAAACACAATTACCAAGTTAAAAACAATTTGCTTAATAAAAGGTTGCTAGAGGTGTTCAACAGTTTTGTGTACACTGAGCACTTGATGATGACAACACGAACGTCTATACACAAATCTATTGTCAATCAAGTACCACAATCGGATGTTCTTCCATTTTGGTTTTCAATTGTCTCCACGGTTTACGAGCTGCTCTCCTCAATTCTGCTAGCGTAACTTGTCTTCTCATCCTCCTATTTTAAAAACAAAACATAATAGATATTCAAGCAAATAAAATCAAAACAAATCTACTCACTTGCTCCCTTCCGTCGCTCTGAAATACACATCATCGGGTGCATCCATCCAACTTATGACCTGCTTTCGACCGGAACCCGCCCTAGTCATATGTGCGATTTTTGGTTTACCGTTTATCTGAGATATATGTCTTGGCAACACTTGCCCGGAGACTATTGACGACGATATCATCGAATACTGATCGGGACGCACCATCGAAATTGAATCTTTGTTTAATCGTTTCGGGGGCGGCGCACTCAACGCGGAACCTAAAATTACATTCACAGTGTCACCAGTTAGAGCTATTTTTTCTTATAATTCAAATAAGCAACAAAGCTTGGATTTGTAGATTTTTGAAAGTTAAATTTGATCCAGAAAATACTCGGTTATTAATTCTATTCCAACCAAAAAATGCATTCCAAGGAAATCAAACTAAATTTAGTATTACAGAACCCGAAACTCACCGTCATCCCAATCCAGATCGGAATAGAAGCCAATAAAAAGAAACGAGAAATAGTTTTAAAATGCAAACAACAGTAATAGTAATACAAACACAAACAACACTTACTGTCAATTCCGTTCATTTCATCATACGCACGCCTCTTTAGCGACGGAGACATGTTATTGAGTGGTATTTTGTCGGCCTCCGGTTTATTGGGTACTCTCTCGTAGACTAAACTCCCATCGGGTGCTTTCGGGGGCTTCGGAAACGCCACTTTCTCCGGTTTTGGCAAACTATCTTTATCAGTCAAAATGAGCCATTGCGGTGTTATAGAACCGGGATTCCCCAATCTCGTTGCAATGGCCGTGACGCTTCCTCGATTTTTCTTCCGATACACCAACAACTGCTTGAGATCGGCGAGCGATTTGCCTATCATTTGAGCGGCGCATTCCTGTTTGACGGCTTGGATGTTGATAGCGAAGAATGGGGCTCGTGCCGCATGTCGAGGTTTCATTATGTGCCTGCACAACCTCCTAGAGATCCTTGTCAATGGCGTTGTAAACAGATAGAACGCTGTACGGGTTTTCATTATAGGTCGTGGCGAGCCCGAACGCACCATTATGCCATGCGACGTGGCATAATGTCGTCCGAGATGGGCCTTAAGTTTGAACTCTTTGCCGCATCCACCGATGTTGCAACGATGTGGTCGGTGAGGCATGGCTGACGTGCGGTCGTCGTCGACATCGCTTCCCGATTTTTTCTTGCCACCGTTATCGAAATCGCCGTCTCCGAAACGAGTCGGTATTTTCAAGCCGCCGTATTTTTTCCAATATTGCCAACATTGGTGACATAAACGACACTGCATATGAGAGGGGCCCCAAGCGTACCACTGGGTGGATACCGTCACTATAAAAATCAAAGATTTCGTAATTTATTCAATTAAGTCAAGTTAGCTGTTAATAACATGTATGTTGTTATTGGTTGACATTTGGAATAACCATGTCAAATGTCACTTTGCTGTCAAAATACTGTTTATTAATAAATTTAAAACATATTTCGGAATAAAGATAACAAATTAAATCATTTTTCTACCGACCACTATTTTAAATTTTGCAAAAAAAAAACAAGACACTATAATATTGACAATTTCGGACAATTAACGTATAACATTCTTGAGAAAACAATTTGTCCCAACAATAGACAAATAACCACCAATAAGACATATTTTGTTTATCACCAGAAATCACATAGCCTCCAAACTAACCAAATACGAATACTCGTATTTGGCATAGGAGCCTAAACTGGAGCCGCGAATACTTTTTATCTGCCCCGCCCATTCGGTTTTCTTAGTAACCAATGAAATATGTCTCTAAGGCGGTGTGATTTAAAATAAAAAAAATTGATAAATGCTTGATTTTTGCACTCTGACACTTGTAAAGATAGACTTATGGGGGATGTTTTGAGAGACTTAATTATTAATATTTTTTTTTGATTTGTTTTTAATTTTGTATGTTATACATACAGGGTGATTCACGAGGAATAATGAGCCTGACCAAATTCTCGATGCAACCAACATTACATTTTCATAGGTCTGGTACATTTCAAAGATTTTTTTGTAATAAATATGAAATCATAGCGAGCACACTTACAATTTGTCAGTTCTGACATTAAAATAATGAAAAACAGAAGTAATTGAAATACTTTCTTCCAATTGTACAAATGGAAAAGAATTCCTGGTGTACAAAATTAGACAAACATTATTTAACTGTAAATTGTTGGGGACGTAATAACTAGTTTTGGTGACTTGTATTAAATAATATTTTTCAATATTAAAATTCAAAGACCGAATTTATTAAATTCAAGGTTTACCTTTAGTGTTCATATATAAAAGTTGTGACATAAAAATTGTTTTTCCTTTTTATCAGTAAGTAAGATTATTATATATTAGAACCGTGAATAAGTTTAAATACGTTATCAGCTAATGAATAAACGCAAGCACATATAATTCGTATATGTAAATCGTCACAAGTAATTTATGAAATTTCAGTTTTAATCGATTAAGCCATTAGATAGTGAATATTATTTACTAAATGTAAAGTTAATACTAGAAAAAATGGAAGCATTTATTTTAAATCATTATTTAAAAACAATGACCATAAACATTTTGCTTCGTATTTATTTTATTAATTGCATAATCAAATGTTGGAATCCTTATACCCGTAGATTCAGATGATTTTTTTTGAAAATGAGAAACTAAATAATTTACGGATCAACATTGTATGTAACATATACATACATAATAGTCATTTACATTGACAGAAAAGTGACATCTGGATGCACAATAACAATAAACATCACTACATAATTTGTAGTACAATAATCAATGTCATACATACCATTACAAGATTCGCACGATTTACCCCCCAACGAGACAGCTGGATCTGAATTGCCATTGCTGTTACCATTGACAACACCTTTATTATTATTAAGTGCGGCCGGATTTGGTTTATTGCTGTAAAAAACAATCGACAAGCGATTTCAATTAAACTACTAACACTCAAAATACAAACTCACTAGTTGGGAATGTAGACTTGCTTCAATTTGGATTCAGCTTCAACGGCTTTAACGCGTTTCTGTTGTACATATCGGTCCGTAGTTTTCCACATGTAATAATATTCGATGATATTTTTCAATGTTTTCCATGGTAGAAAGTCCTGACGTATATCGTTGAAATCCTTGCCGTACTTGTCGAGCGCCTCTTCGAACAGATTAGCCTCTGACGCACTCCACTCTTCCATCTCGTCCCGGCACAGCACCGGCCCGCTCGAAGGAACTAACGAACACAGAGCACTTGCCAGATCGTAATTGTGATGATGCAAAGTGTCCATCGCGTGAAACAACGTAATGTCCCGGCTGGCCGCCGCCGCCGACATGTGCAACGAGGGCTGTTTCACACTCGAACTGCAGTCCAGGGCGCGGGCAAACGTTCCCACCGATCGCGAAACGACTAAAAACTGATCTATTTGTCGGTCGGTGAGATTGTGGTCCGGAGTCCAGATTAGGGTTTCGAGTTCGGAGAGGTCGCGTTCGTCACTTTCGCCCTCTTTTAGCAGAGGTGTTATATCGCACTGGTACCGGCTACCTACACGGATTTCACCCTTATCGGCCAATAGCGTCTTTTGGGTCGGATCGAACACCAGACAGTAGAAAAACATGTCATCTTTGCCCAGATAGGAACTGAGCGATTCTGTCTCATTAAACAACGTCACAGAACACTTGCCTCGGATGTGAGTGGCCGGTAGCGTTTCCACCTGACGGGATAGGAACAACTCGCGGTGTTTCATTTGGTGCCTCTGCTTTGGATTTAAAGATTCGCAACCTCTGCTGCCCGAATCCGACACCGGGCTGCCGTTTGACTCGTCTAAGGCACCTGATGACAATACATTTACGATTTTGAGTCAGAAATAACCAAAGTTCTATTAAATAAATTCACTTTCAAACCCAAATATTATGTACCAGGTGATTCAAGTTTCATCCTAAGCTCCTAACATAAAACAATTTGCAGAAAAAACATAACAATGTCTTTTTTCTACGACCATATACGAAACTAGATCATAACGCACAATTACATATGTGCGAAAATTGGCAATATCGTACGAGGTCAAAAACCTGTGCGATTTGTTTTCGCACTGTGTGTTAGAAATCTAACACACAATTCACACTCGAATGTTTTGTATTTTTTCATTCAACGTATTTTTTTTATATACATTATAAAAAATAAATCGTTATTCAACGTATTTTTGTATCCATTATAAAAAATAAATCGTTATGAAAAAAAAATATGTTCGTAATAAAATTATTTATGGTCGTAGGAAAAACCGTGTACAAAACTTGCAGGAAAGTGTCTAACGCACTCGCGGTATTGCCTGCACTCGGCTAACGCCTCGTACGCAACTTTCCCGCTTGTGCGTTATTTATCACTTTCCGTGCTCGTTATGTAATATACAGTGCGATCAAAAAGTCTGTCTATTAAGCAAGCGTAGAAATTTAAAACGTATGTCTGTGGAAGATAAAATGTCACAATGACAAATGAGAAATGTCAAAATATTTTTTATGTAAATTATGGCAGGAAACCGTGGTGAACGATTTTTCTGAATAAACACCAACAAGATCTCATTTTAGTTTGTTTTGAGACGTTTAATAGATAATTCAATTTAATTAGCTCAATGTTTTAATTTTTATAAAATAAATTTTTGTCATCTAGTTAACATACGAACTGCCATGCAACATACGTCCTCAACTAGGACGCCTACTTGATAGAAAGACTTTTTGATCGCACTGTACTATTACAAAAGTGATTTGCATTACTTTGATAAAATTTTGGAATTAAATCACTTTTCATAGATAATTTATGACGTGTTAATATTTCGCGACTCTTCCATATTTATTTCTAAAAAATTAATTGCTTTGATGTCCAAGTTATGTAGTTTCAGACTTCTACAAACAAATTAGAAAAGAATAAAAGTGAGAATACTTTTTTCCACTTATTAAACTTAAAAGTTTTTGGAACATACATATAATTTACAAAAAGACGCATTTTATTGGAGAATTAACGACAGGCCACATTTGATATCACGGCCTACTTTAATTTTTTACTATTTAATGTAAGGCAAGTCGCAAGTGTTTGAAAATACTGAAAATAATGATTATTACAAATTTATACTCAAAAATAGAAAAAGTTCAGCTACAAAAAAATAACAGAAGATTACATTAAAAACAGTAATTAACTAAACATTTTCGATTAAAAATAAAAACTCATTCTGATCATAGGGTTTAGTGCCACGATAATTAATAAAAAAACTCTAACAATTTACTGACAAATGCAACATATGCGCAGATTATTTTAAATATGTATGTGTGTATTTTCAAGTATTGACTAAAACTAAGTACATGAACCCATTTGTAATTCATGACATAGAAAATAACATAGCTCGTGCGACCGTTTCTTGTTCCTTTTGCCTCTCGCTACATCCAAAATGGAATTTAGTTGACAAAGCGGAAAATTATGCATACACTATGCATTATATCAATTTATTTAAAAATCATGTATCCACAAAAATACTTAATTTCACGAAACAACGCTGGTTGCTTTTTATAAATTACACAGTCTGGTTCGCAAACTCAGAGAGTTCAAAGGTTTATTTACACGATTACGTAAACAAAAACCACAAATTTATATTTCACTAAAACATAAAAGATCTTATCAATGTTTAATCAAAATGTCGATAACAGAAATTTGCAAGTACAAGTAAATGAATATTTCCAAATTTGATAGAGGTTTAATAACGATTGTAATTTTTGTTAACATATTTTAAACATAAGTAGCATGTTTGTTCCAGCATAATCACGTGATCTTTAAACTATGTATTAACTACGAAATTCTAAAAAAAACAGAGATAAAAGTGAAACTCACTTCTAGAAAGCAATCAATTTAAGGTGGTAATTAAGTAAGAGGCATTAAATACATATCTATACAGTAGATATTATTAATCTTCTATGCTGTTTCATTTTAATTTTTTCACAAAAAGTTAGAATGATAGAAAATAATAAATAAACATATAAATGTTTGTTTTAAATCATGATACAGAATGTATACAGGGTGTTTAAAAAATGCCGCACTAAAACTATGGTATGCTGTCCAGAAGCATACACCTACCTAGAGTTCCTATATTAGAAGAGTTGGGACACTGAATGTCACCTACCTTGAGAAAATCAAGAGAGTTGCCATGGAATCATCCAATTCTTAAATTTATAGTTACCTTTAAACATTGGCGCATCGATTTTTGCATAATTATCGATAATTTAGAAGAGGTAAATCGCATTGAATGTTAAAGACCACAGACATTGCGTTACCTTCCATTTTGCATGTTTTAATTGCATTTTGAGTGTTATTTAGTAATAATCAGTACAACTAACAACGTTTGAAGATTCTTACACAAAACCCCCACTATGCAGAAAAATAAAAACCAAGATTTTTTTTAAATATTTTTCCCTCACTAATCAAATAATTCTAGGTACCGTACCACACACACCCTGTATATTCAAACAAAAAGCAGCTATAAATAAGAGTAAGTAAAAAAGAGCACATAAAACTAGCTTGCATATATACATAATGAATAAAATATTGACTTTTACTTACATACACGTACTTATCGTGTTCATATTTGAACTACAAGATTAATTTGTTTAATTAGTATCAACAAATTCTCATAGAACAAATGCAAAATTTTGAAAAACATAATACAGACTAGTTTCATCAGGTTCAATCTTTAGTACATGATATATTGTTTGCGAAATAGCAGTAAATAATAGTTCGACGAGTTTGAGTGTAAATCGGACGGATTATTTCACCGAGTGGGTTATTAAACCACGAGTGTAACGTGTGGTTTATCATCCACGAGGTGGAATAAAGTGTCCGATTTACACTCAAACGAGTTGAATACAACATTTTATTCTTCGAATTAGACTCAATAAGGCTTAAACTTGCTTTAAATCTGTTAAAAATAATCTGACGTTTCGGATTGAGAAATGCCAAACAGTTGTCAAAACTTCCACGGGAGAAAAACCGTAAATTTTGACAGTGTCAAAGAATAAATAATATGTATTAGCTAGTATTATAATGACTTCAAGCTATTGTGCCGCTGTTTAGAGTTGACGTACCCAGATTTTATCAAAACAAAATACCAATGGTTCCATTTTCCGTACATTTATAGGTACCAGTGTACCACTAGTTATTAATTAATGCACAAAGTGTCAATTGTCTGAAGTGTTTCAATAATTTCTTTTTAGAAAATTTTACGTGGCAACATTTTCTAATAATAAAAGAAGTAATTTATAATTCGTACCTTGTATGTAACATATGATCTCTAGAATAATTTAAAAACGAAAAAAATTATGTACGTCATACAACAGTTGCAATTTTTACGAACAGAGCGACTAGAACATCACTCTGCTAGTCTACTAACAGGTAACAAACATTATTATTTTGATATTAATGATAATAATGTAACCTCGTTTAATAGTGAACCATAAAAAAATATAACGGTATTTACATAGTTATGAGTATGATCACCTTCAAAATCAAAGAAATAAAGAGTTCTTGTACGCTGAGCAAAAACACAAAGTTGCCCAGTTTGAATTTAACGTTTACAAGTTACGCTGGTCAGTGTCACTAACCTTGAAACAGAACAGAGCCAACGGCAAGATTTTATATTTTATATATTTATATATTTTTCCCTATTAACTTATTTTTTTGCTTTTATATTTTTTGTTACAACTCAGTTACTTAAAAACAAAGAAATATTTTTTTAGTTTTTGTGAAATAATTATTTATTTTCCCCTTCAAGAGCAGAGATTATAATGGAGAAAAAAAATATCATTAACAATTTACTAATTGAATTCAGAAGTCACCTATACAGGATGTTTCACATAACTTTACGAGGCTTGCGCCTAATGTACGCACCTAAATATACAAATGCACAGAACACTGGATACAAAAAATACACATTTAATTATTTAATTTTTGGAAACCCATGACAGTAGTTGTCAAACTAATCACTGTTTCATTGATAGTCAAAAAACTGCCGTTTTTCAGAAACAATTATCATTTGTCCTATCAAGAGACGGCATGAATATGACTGTAGTTTATCTATCTTAATCACTAACTAACTAAAAACGTTGTCATTTTTGAAAGGGTGAACAAACTAGAGAAGATTATGCAATTTTTCAAAATTGTAATCGAGTTCGTATCGGAATATGTATTATTGATTGCATCTTACAGGCGCAGGCCTCGTAAAATTATATGAAACACCCTGTAGTTTCCGTGTGTCGATGAATTTTACCATATTATGATCATTTATTTTTTTTAATGTGGTTACAAAACAAAAGTATGTTTTTCCGAAAAAATATTTTAATCAAATGTTTTACCTATAAACATTTCGTCAATAAATTATGTTTAGATTTTTATGTTGAAATGTTCTTAAAATTTTTGGATTTTATACACAGACTTCAAATAAGTTGTTATAGGCAAAAATAAGCTTCTCGCTACAACAATTTTAGTAAAAAAGAGTATCTACAGAAAAAGGTTTTCTACTCCGAAGGCAATAAATTTTGTGTAATTTATTTGAAATAAGTTCGAAATTGAAGTAGATATTAAATGCTTCGTCAGTATTAATTTAAAACTGCACTTCTTTGAATGTGGTGAAACCAGATACCCTTATTGAATTGTCTTCTTTCTCATTCACGATTGTTTTGCATTATCGTCAATTTCATGCTAAAAATTAGATTAGATTTGTAATGCAGCTTTGTTAAAAATGAAAATCAGATCATTTTTAACAAAGCTGCATTACAAATTGCGTCCAAAAAGGTGGTCTTTTATGACTTGCGTCGTCACATTATTCAAGACAAATATGTTTAGACGCTTTGCCAATTGCCAATGACAGTAAAAAAAACAACGTGGTTCGCAAATATTATTTTACATACAGGGTAAGTCGTTTATAATAGAGATAATAACCGATTTTCAGACGCAACCCCAAATACATTGTCACAGACAACTTGGCTTTGAAAAATTTATATTAATAAATTTACATCAAAGTGGTTATTAATACGTCATTTATTAAATTTGACAGTATCATCAATTCTACTTTTTTCCTTTAAATTTCCTAATGTACTCAAACGACAAAAAAACTAACATGATGTCGATATATGGAAAATGCCACAAAAATGCTGTTGCTGAATCTGTACCGTCAAAAGTATACTCTTTTTCATATTAATGTGCATCAAGTAGGTTTAATTTAAAGTCCGATTTACACAAAAAGGGTCATTAATGTCATTCAAAACAAATTTAATCACATCAATAATGACAAAAATCATTGTTTCCTATCCTATGTTGATTACGTTGTTAATTTTAACTAATTTTTGCTACATGGGGTACACCTTTATTTGAAAAAACAATTTTTAGGGAAAATTGAGTTTAGGATTGTTTGAATTTTCGCATGGTTGCCACCTTTCAACGACTACTTCGATGCACATTAATATGAAAACGAGTATACACGCCAATCTACTCGGCAATTTTGAAAACTGTCAAAGCTATCAGGGATATTTATTTTATCAAATTTCAGACAGTAAATCAATTAACGCATAGTGGTATCTGAGAATGTATTTTAGACTGGGTCTGAAAATCGGTTAGGGTCTTTATTAGATATAGGTATAGTATGTTCCCGGACTGAAAAAAATTCTTTGATTTTACGCCAAAACTACAAAAGAAAAACATTTTTTGCTTCACCTGAAACGAGCAAATCTAAAATTAAATTTGCTTTAATCTGATTCATTGGAAAGAAAAGTTCATTTTTCTCTTGATTTTAGACTTGTAATAATTTTTCCCTGCGTTTTAAATTTCATCACATTGGTGGTTTTATTTATTTTTTGACAACGATGTCACTTTGAACATATGAGTTTACGCAAGTTAAATAACAAAAATGTTTGTGAAAAACATAATTTTAATAAATGGCAACTCAAAGAAACAGCTTTAAGATTAAAAAAACAAACACATTTTTAACAAGAACAATCCTTATTTCATTAATTGTCAAAGTGATATCGTTGTCAAAAAAAAAATAAAACCGTCAACGTGATGGGATTTAGAAAGCATTTACAGAAAAAAATTACAAGTCCAAAATCCACTGTATGTACAGAGGTTATTTTCATTAAATGCATAACAATAAAAATCCTTTTTTTCAGATAGTGTTATGTGACAATTATTCCAACCAGACCAGTTTGTCCCAGCCTCCCCTAATGACTCAAAACTAACAGATGTCTTTAATAAATAAAAATCTCACAGGTATAAAGAATAAAACTAATAAACACGAGAGGGATGTTATTTTTTAATCACCTCTGAAATGAATTTAAATTCTGTAAAAAATTTTAAATAAAACAATGGACCCAGACGAATATGGGATTCGAATTATTTTAAAAAGCGAAAAACTGGGGGCATGGATTAAAATAGTAATTTAATGAAATGAATACCTGCCGATGACAAGAATCGTCCCGGCTTCAAGCATCAGGTTTCGTTATTCGTTATCTACTTTTTGTGTGTAATTATAAAAGTACAGTCTTGCATAAAAGAACAAGCATCTCGCAGTTGTCATAGCGACGCGGTCTGATCGAGTACAGTTGCGGCAGGATTTCGCGAAACAACACCACGGACGGTGACAAGACAGGTACAGTCAGCGAATATCGATCGCCTAATCAAGACTTTTGCCCCTCCACTCATTTAGAATGCGTGAAAAGCGAGAATGTCGTCCCCCCGAAATACCAACGAAAAACGATTCCGGAACAGGCGGAAATCGCGTACAATCGACAATCGGCCCACTTGACTTACATTGGTGTTTGTCGGCGAGCTGGATCAGCTGGCTGGGCAGATCTCTTCGACGGTAGAAGCACATCACCTTCGCTTCAACATTGCCCGATGCCGTCTTATTCAGCTCTTCGATACGTCGAATTTGGTACGGGGACGTCGATGACGTCTCAAAGTACACGTAATCTAAAAAAAACGGAAACGTAAACAATAACAGTGGACATCCTCCTCGCCTAACGCACGGACAACTGGGAAAAATGACCTCTCGGCCCGTAATCAACTTGGCAGGAGTTTTACCAACTTTGATTTTCAATAAGCGAAATGTAATAATTAGATTGGTGAAAAGCAGCCACTTTTGTTTGATTAAAAGATACCAGGTAAGATAAAAGGTTGTGAACGAGGTGAGCACCTGGCGTCACGACGGGATACTCCAAAATAATTACCAAAGTATAAAATTACTATCGGATGACTTTATTAACAGTACTTGTCGTTTCAAACAAAAATCTGATACCCGATCCAGAGGAAGCAGCGGCGCGAAAAATCACCACAATTAGATCCACCTATCGAACCCCGATGGCAATTATTAAACTGGACTACTCGAGAGAAAGACTTCCTCTTGAGCGAAGCCGGTTAATTAAATCACCAAACACTCACCTCCGACACGATACATGTTAGCTGTCATCTTCAAACACAAAAACAATTTACTCCTAACAGTAATACTACGTTAATACGACACACATTTTAAATAATTTCGTAGAATTTCTTCAATGTTTTGTCAGTGCACTAAACACCATCAAGCCAACAGACGCCATTTTCTCAAATCAAACTCCCTGTTGGCGTCTGAGCAAAGAATCACACACGATTGTTAACAGCAGCGCCAAAAGAACTCTTAGCGGACAGTAGCAGAAACATTGCGACGATAAAACAGAAACACGCAAAAAATACGCAAAAAACTGTATCACGTGTGTGACAGTATGACATTTCTCCACATAACCTCACAAAATGGACAAGAAACGAAAACTTAAAACTGAAAACGACGAGTATGAATTCGACCCCACGCCCAAACACCTGACCCAGACCCATCTCAAAAATCACGAAAAACGACTCATTATTATCCTCGAAGGGGCGCAACTCGAGACAGTCAAGGTGGGCAACAAATTCGAATTACTCAACTGTGACGACCATGTGGGCATTTTGAAAAATTCGGGGCGTTCTCAGTCTCTCTACCGGCCGGATATAACGCACCAGTGTCTCTTAATGCTGTTTGATAGCCCCTTGAATAGGGCCGGACTGTTGCAAGTTTACGTCCACACAGAAAACAACGTGCTCATTGAAATCAACCCCCAGACTCGCATACCAAGGACTTTCAAACGATTCGCCGGTCTTATGGTACAGTTATTACACAAATACTCGATACGAGCCGAAAGCGGTCCCAAATTACTCAAAGTTATCAAAAATCCGGTCACCGATCACCTTCCTGTTGGCATAAAGAAGTACGCAATGTCTTTCTCGTCAAAGAAATCAGTGAAGTGTGCAGAGCTCGTCCCGAAAAATGAGGACCCTGTTGCGGTGGTGGTGGGTGCTATGGCTCGAGGAAGTGTGAATATGGACTATACTGAAGAGACTTTTTCTATTAGTAACTATCCACTTTCAGCGGCACTTACATGCACAAAACTTTGCTCAGCGTTTGAGGAACAATGGGGTGTGCACTAATATTTACTTTTAAGGAACAATATTTTAAAAATTGTATTTTGCAAAAAAATATATAATTACAAATGATCATCGTAGTATTTCTTTTCAATAAACAAGTTTGTTAACCACTCAATTGGACAAATACGCTTACCGTCTTTAGGGCACAACTGATCAATATAAAACAACGCAAAAACTACAATTATGAAAACGAAGAAAAACAAACAAATATAACATTTAGTTCTTGTAGGCGAGCTTTGTCTGAAACAGAAAAAGTAATAACTTTAAAAAAAGAACCCAAATTGCAAACCTTAATTGAGGCACTATTAGTACATTTTCATTTACATTCAAAATTTCATTTACATCTTCCTTTTTATTGTCTAACTCAAGAGGTGATTCTGTTTCAAGATTTTCATTAGTCCTGCCACAAGACCTACAAAAATTGTTTTAATACAGTAAGTAAAAATCTAGTAAAAAACCTACAAGAAGCTTACTCTTTGCTTTGCTTATTTTCTTGAGTCAAAATCGCAACATAATTTATTACTAACTTCCAGCAATTCGCCATACGTTTTTCATAATGGAGAACACCACACTCAACGGCACATTTAACAAGCTTTTCACCGGTTTCCTTCACCTGCTGCAAATAATTCAAGACTGTTTTGTGGCTTCTTTTGTTTTTAGAAGAGGACAACTTCTTCATAATATCCATACTACAATTCAGGTACGTGAAGAAGCTCAAAATCAGTTGATTAAACTTTTCTTCTTCATTCAAGCATCGCTTTTTTGACGTTGCAACATCCACAGTTAACGTTAACGCAAGACTTGCGAATTTTTCCTCAATCTCTTTGTGGGACAATTGCCTAAAACACTGTTTTACCAAAACTGCACATTCTATGTCGCTTTACAAACTTTAAATCGACCTCTTCTAACTCTAAATTATCCAAAAATGAGTCGTATTGCAGGGGGAGTATTGCTTCAAACATATCCTAAAATCCAAACTACTAATTTTTGATTTCACAAAATGAAATACGCACCTGTTCACTGTGAGAAATTTGACTGGTACAAGAAAGAAACGTGTCCTCCAGAAGCTCCTGGTTCATGGAAATTTCTTGCAATTTATCGAAAGCTTCATCGGAGTCCTCACTGTATGAAACGTAACTTTGACTCGAAAATAAATGAAAAACTTACCTTTGTTCAGTTGATTGATTTTGATTTAATTCTGATAAAGATTTAATGAGTTTGATGTTATTGTTCAAAAGAACCATTTCTTTTTCTATATCTAGGACAAATTCTGCGTTTGTTACACCCTCTTCTTCCTCTAGCACACCACGATCACAATTGAAATGATCGAAAATATCTAAGATTGCACTGAAATCATAAAAATTGACTCCATCGTTCATGTTACATATTTTTAACTTACCATCTTAACTCTCTATTACTTGTAGACAAAAACGCATCAATATTCATATCCTCAATCTGCTTTCGCAAATTCCTTATTTCATTGGTTTTCTCAGATAGCTCATCGCACAACTTCGCAATCGCCAGATCACATGTCATTCTCGTATTTATAATTTGGTTCTTCAATTTACCTTCCTTGGCAATTCTGCCTGTGATATTTTTCTCCAAATCCTGGTTCTTCTCGACCAAGAAACTGATTTCTGTCCGCAGATTACTCGTCATAGTCGCTTCTACTAAAAGTTTATTCATGTAATCGCGTAGATTCTCATTCAAGTTGTGATTCTCCTTCGCCAGGCTCAATGTCTCATCTCTCAGTTGATTGTTTTCGGTTTGTAGAATTTCAGCTCCTGTTTCCATTACTCCTAAACTATCAAACAAAGCTTTTTTCGAAGCGATCAACTCTTCAATCGTTTTCGTCTGGTTGCAAATTTTCTCACGGCACAGAACGAGGTCATTTGCGAGTATCTCTTTCTCAGTGCACATTTTTTCATACTTTGACATTAGTTTTGTATTGATACATTTTTCTCTAACGAGTTCTTTCTCCGTCTTTTCTTGTTTCTCCAACATTCGCTCAAGTCGCATTTGCTGTTTGGCAAAGTTTGTCTTCTTGGGATCGGTTGATTCGCTAACGATGGGCACATGCCACATGCATTCCTCACTGAAGGTTGCGGTTGCTTTGTCAACGGTGGACTTTTGGCACAATTTAGCTCGCAAATTTGAATTCAAAATTTGCTCTTTTCTGAGTTTCAGCTTTAGAGTTTTTATTGTTTCAAAAGCATTTTTGAGTTTGTCTGACACCTCCCAGTGCAGTTGATTACTTAAAACAGCAAGATTTTCTTGAATCTCATCATCTATAGAGAGTTGTTCGCGTAAATTAGTGTCAACTTTAGACAATTCTGCCGCAACAACTTGAATCAAGTTATTATAATCCGCTTTCGCAGCTTTTTGTGTGATATTATCTAATTCAACTTTTAGATTTTTAATAATCTCATCTTTTTCGTTAAGTGCATTTATAAGATTAGTAAGTTCTTTCTTATTATCACGCAGAACCTCGTTCTCACAACACAATTCCTTCATATTTTGCCAAAGATTATTTTTGATTTCCTCTTGGTCCTTCACCAATTTATATAAGCGTGTCACTTCTTCCCCTTCGTCAACTTTCTCAGAATTAATTTCTGCTAATTCTTGTTGGAGACTTTTCCGAGGACTTCGTAACGTTACAACACCAATATTTGAGATATCATAGATGCTACAATTAGTACTTTCCATGGAAGAATTAATTGGACTGCTACTGGCGCAATCTTTTAAATTTATCGGACTGTTTGATAATCTGGGAGTAACTGGGTGTGCCAGTTGATTTAACAATTTTGGAGAATTAAATGTGGATTTGGATGACCGTTTCAAATCATTTTCTAGTAACACAGGTTTGTTACTACGAGGTGTGTTGTTACGAATTAAATCTTCCAAATTATGAATTCTCTGTTTAGCTAAGTTTTGCTCTTTGGTGTAAAAATTGACCAACTCTACTTTTTCCTCTAACTGAGAGTTCAAATTATCGATAACTTCCCTTAAAGTCGTTATTTCTGCATCTTTTAGTTCTAGATCATCTTGTAGATCTATCATGGTTGTTTTATTTTTTTTGTTTACTTTTTCACATGTTGTTAATTTCTGTTTTAACACTTGATTCTAAAAATAATGGTTTTCAATATAATTGTACTAAAATGAATTTTCTAAAAAATGTTTTACCTCACTTTCAAGTACATTAATTTGAGCCAAATAAAGTTTTTGTTGCTTCTCGTAGTTTGCCCGAAGTTTTTGTAGCTGTTCGCGCTCTTTCATAGCCGCATTTACTTCCTCATCTTTCTCATAATTGTCACTTGTATCCGCACAAGACTGCTCACTCACATGTTGTTCACTGTAAGTGTACAGTTGTACTATTTTTTAGAAAAACAAAGATAAAAACTTGCCGTTGTTGCATTTTGTGTAACGACTTTAAGTCAGCAATCAATCCTTCATTTTGTTCTTCTGATGCAGCTAATTGCTGCTTGACAAGATCTAATTCAGAAACAGCTTTATTTAACTGGTATTTTAAATCCCAAATTTGTTCCTCTAAATTCACATTACCTAAAATTTTGACCATTACAAAAACAATTAAATAATAAATGCATAAGTTACATGTGTTGTTGTTATTTGACTTAATAGATTCATTTTGGGACAGACTAAAGTTCTGGCTGAGACTACAATGGAGTTCTGATAAACCTGAGTTGATATTATCGCCCTGCATTTTTTTAATCCAATCGCTCATAACACTTTCAAAAAATGAGTATCCAATATGAGGATTTACAGAGTCGGGATCTAGTTGTGATTTCAACTCATTAAGTTCACTTCTAGAACAAAAATTACTTACCGATAATTTACTCCAGTGTGCAATAAATACTTACAAATTATTGGGCATATAAGGGTTAATAAAATCAATCAACGATGAAACTGAAACTAAATTTTTGTTGTTTTCATCACAAGACTTGTAAATACACTCGATTATGTTATCCATATTCAATCACTTAAAAACGCTTTCTTGGTATTAATCAAAAAGGAAGTTATGGTGAAAAGAAGACAAAAAGTTTTTAGAACCACAAAAATTCATATCAATTCGTGATAACGAAAAACTCAACTGAAAAACTTTTTGATTTGAACTGATTGAAGGATGGTGGAATCATTTCAATACCAACTGTTATGCAATACGATTGCGAAGAAAATCCCTAAATCAAGCATTGGCGGGTTTTCTTATCGAGGGAGTATTAAGGTCACTTTTTTAATCAAAGTTTAAAACTCAAAAATATGGTTTAATTACAACCGTGAAATCAATAATTTGTATCATCATTTTTTTGTCATGTTGGTATTTGTCAATATTATTAAAAAATATATATAAATCATTATTCATTCATATTAATTCTATTACTACGAAGTGATCCAGAAAGACTGACTCTGTTGGCAACAGATTTGAAAGTATTTTTGTTAATAATTTGTAACCGGATACGGTTTTGCTTCACAAATACTTGACGTACAACCCCACAAGATTATTGAATTGTTCTTAATCAAAAGCGGTAAGCTTAAATTTGGGTCAGGATTGCCAATATATTCATTCATTGTGGATCACTTTGTAATTTTCAATGAAGGTATATAGCAGGGTGTAAAGTAGCTTAGAAGGTTAGTTATTTTAAACTGAATCTTTTTGCCGATTTTTGAATTTGTGTTATCAGTGAAAAAGAAACAACCAGGTCGATTATTTTATGTGTGTATTTGAATGTACAATATACACTGTAGAGTTTAATCAATCATAGAAATACAAGTATAAATACTCAGTTCAAGGGTTGGACTCTTGTAATTACACAAGTTTCAATATTTACTCATATCACAATAAGTTAAGTGCCAATAAATGTTATAAAGTGTTAAATGTTATTAACATGAAAATAAAACAAGGCAACTAAATGATCTCAAAAGAGTTAATACTCGCTTTGGCATTAAAAATAATTATAACTGTAATCATAAGTTATCCTTAACGTAATTTAGTTATAAATCGCACCATTAAAAATACATTATTTTGAAGAACATTATGTTAATAGCAAATGGCACAAAAACATGTTGAATACTCTACATAATAATTATATTAAATATGAAGAAATAAATCTATAAATATCCTGACTATAAATAGAGTCTCCTAATTAAAAAAAATATATTTTACATAGACCTATCTATTGTCTTTTAAAGATTACACGTTGAATCTTTTCAAAAAGAATGAACCGTACGAAAATAGTTATTTATACAAATTTGTTATCTTAGTGGTAAAATGTCACACGTAAATATTTACACAACTTAGTTTCTCAAAATTACATTTTTCAACCATAAGTAAAAATAAGGAACTTGAACAATTCATAAAAATAATTTGAAGATTGTACTGCATAAGTATAAAACGAATAGCTTTAAATTTGTAATTGCCAAAATACATTTACTCCTGGGGCTGTTCATACATGCCTTAACCTTGGACTAGTGCAATAACTGAAAACAAACAAAAGGGTTATAATAACAATATGTTGAAAACTTTTATAACCCTTGCATTAACTGTTTAAAAGTGAAAAACAATTATCTCTTAATTTTTTTCAATTTCTTCCAAGATTTCAAATATTACATAAGTTTGTTCTAATTAATATCACTTTTGTCATTAATAAAGACTAGTAACATGTTGACGAATTAATGCGGTAAAAAGACGAATTGTTCTAGACCCTCATATTCTATCAAAAAAGAGGATTCCAATGCAAAGGCAAGTACGAGCAAAATAGCAACACACTGATAAATTAACATATGTTCTAAAATATAATTAGGTAATATTTACAAAAATAACAAAAATGACTGTTGATATATACATTTGGCGATTAAACAGAAAATATATAAAACTAACCATTAAAATATACCAAATAAAACAGAAGCGAATTTAGAAAATTTGGATACACCTCCAATCATAATAACACTTTTTGCTTGTTCAGCTGTCAATTGCACAATCGTATGCTTTAAAGCTATAAATATTTACTATTTTTACACATGAAAACCACACAGTTTTTTCTAATTTTTTTCGTTTTTTTATTTTTTCCAAAACAACAAAATATTTACCCACAAAGTATGTATCACACAACAAAATAACATCGAAATAATGAAAAATTTTTTGAATGCCGTCTTGTTCCTTCGTTTAATAGAACGATATGAGGATAAAAATTATTTTAATATAAAAATATTGATATATGTAGTTGTAACAAATGGAAGGCACGTGTCCGGTTCAACCGGCGTGTTTAGACAGATTCAACGGCATATCTGCAAATAAAAATAGTCAATTCAATCAATGCACGAGTAATTCATTTGTGAGATTTGTGTGAAATTAAAGAGAAAACAAATCTCACAAACATTTAGTTAGAGAAAAACTAGTTACCTGTTATATTATCATCCCTACGTTCCAAGTCCCTGGGAGGATCCGCTGCCCAAGAACAGGAAGGAGTATCATGACGCATCGCTATGGACATTGGGGGAGCATGGTAGACAGGCGGCATTACGTAACCTCTTCCGTAAACGCCGGGGCCATAGTATGGTGAGAGAGGGTAAGGGTACATCAAATGGGGTAAGTATGAAGGATGAGGATAAGGAGGATAACCTCTTTTATCGGCCTGCTGAAAGAAAAAAAGAAAACACACATGTATCAGTTTAAACTAAACGAGCTTATAAATTACAACTAGCTGTAATTGTTGGTTTCTTGCTACTTACCAGAAAAAATCAAAGTTAATTAGTTTTTTAGGCAAAACAATGAACAAAACAAAACAACTGTCGAATAGCAAAACTGTAATGAATTTTATTGTGAACCTAAATTCGTATGTATTTTTTAGTTTTACCACGAAAAGACTATTAATATTTTTTCAACTTTTTCGTTTTAAATTTCTTCTTTTTTAAAAAAAAAAAATTTTTATGACGTTTTTTACCTCAAAAAACGCAAATGTTATCATTATTGTGCAGATAGAAAAGTAATGATTCAAGTGAGTTAATTTTATTGCATTCACTATTCTAGAGTAAATTTTATCATTTTGGTCTGGGTACACTAGCGGACACGGAATTTTGGACGATTTGTTATTCGAGTGACATAAAAATGTAAAACGGGCCTTAGACAACTAACCTCACTTTCGGTTTTTGTAATTTTTATCCTGATAGCTAGAGAAAAAATGACAACAAATCAAAATAATTTATTGAACTGATATAAAAACACGTATTGCTGGCATTATTGTTTCGTAAAATCGATGCCAAACAACAAAGATTTTCAAATTTTAGTTTCAAACGTCAATCATAATGACAATAAAGCGTGACTTACATTGACATTTTTTGAACTAACATGTCCAAAATTCAGTATCCGCCAGTGTATTGTCATAAAAACAATTTCTAATATTTTTTAACCATTTAAGTGATCGCAAGTTGTTGTTTGCAATCGAAATGATAGTTTAAAAAAAAAACAAAGAAAGTTTTAGTATCAAATCAGTTAAGTGCACCAAACTTATGCGTTTTCTTAGTTGCCTACTAACTAATACTCAGGCTTCAAAGTATAGAAAATGACATGAGTCACAAAAATATAGTTTCTGTCTAGAAATCTAAAGCGTGATTTAAGAAAGACCATATTTAGCAAATTTGAAACAAAGTAAAACTGCAATAATCGGACTTCTTTTGAATTTGTGTAAATATTAGCGAGAATTCGCCATACAGTATGCAATTTCCGCATGACACATGAGTACATATTAAGTGAACCGAATCGACAATTAAAGCAGATAAAATCATTTCATTCCATATACATCGCAACGGTGTTATAATTGCGTACAAGAAAAAGTCGGGAAGTGTTTATTTCATCACACTACACTTAACATAAGATTTCTCATCCTGTATTTTCCAAACGCAATCATCGTGAATATGAGAATTAGACCGTATCAAGTGCTTGAACCGTGTCCTTTTAAAAACCAACCAACACTAAGACAAAATTCAAAACTAATTAGTCATAGCAATCTTGAACTTTTCCTTCAACAAAAAACCAATTATACGAAAAATAACTTACTGAGAGTTCAATGGAACGCAACCTATCAACGCTTTCCGAATACCACCTATCCTCTGAGGAAGGCGAACAGTACTGCGGTTGCGTCACAGTATTAAAGTGACTAGGAGAGCTGCTAGGTGACCGTTTAACGTTACGATCTTCAGCCAACAAGGAAGTGATGCTGTAGCTGCAATTGCGCGCCGGCTTCACATCTTCTGTAACCCCGTTCGCGCTGACCGGACTGCCAATTTTCGCAGTCACCTGGGGCGTCTTGTTCCTGCTCCTCTTCTGACAACCGTCCTCCGATTGCACCTTGTCCTTTTCCATTTCGCGCAAGAAGCGTTTTCGCGGAGAGACAACAACATCGCTGCGACTCGCGCCGCCGCCCGTCGACGACTTCTCCGACAGGTTTTGCACGATGTCGAGCAAGGAAGCACGCACGCGACTTTTGCAATTGTTATTTGACACCTCATCTTTCGAAGTCCTTTCATTCACAACACTCACTTCGTCGATTTCTGTGTACGGACGACGTGACTTTCCAATTTTACTAAAAGAACGTTTGTGTTTCGGCCGCCAGAAGAAGAACACCAACTCTTTCGACTGGTTGCGACGGGGCGACGGCTGCTTCCACGAGTGGTCGCGCTGCCAAGGGGACGATTGGATCGAACTATTGTCATCTGAAACTAATCACAAAATGTTCACAATTTCAAAAAGATGTACAAAAAACAATTAAAAAAATTTGTCATATTTTCAGCATCATTTATCTCTTTAATTGCTTTAAAATTATTATTGATTTTAAAGTTCAAAAATGCGGTCATTGTGACATTTATTTTGTTATTATTATGTTATTATGTTATTATTATGTTATAATTATTTTGTTGAAAAAATTGTTGTTTTTTAAGAGGCTCTTAAGACACAAGTAGCAGTTATGCGGATTTATTAAGTAAGCACTGCTTCTACTGACTATTATTTAAAAAAAAGTTTTAAAACCAATAAGATGGACAAATTAGTATGTGGTTTCATGCATAACCCCTTCAAAAGCTTCTTCAAGAACATACTAACAAACACAAAGTTTAAATTTTAAATTCTTTATATTCAGATTTTCAGTAACTTCTTCTTTTCTTATGGAAAATCATTTGCTAAATACGTTTTTTCGTTTGCATGTAAGCATAATTTATGTTAAAATTAAATTTGTAAAAAGTGAATCAATTGATTTTGTGTTGGTTTTTAAATTTACAGTTATAACAATGAAACACTACATTTTCTATTTTTTTATATTTTGTTTAATAACAAAGATATGAACCGTGAAAAACTTAATTGAAACATCCAAGTCTACTAAAAAATACCAACTTTGATAAAGAAAATGGAAATAATAAAACGTGAAAAACGTTTTGTTCACACTCCTCATCCTGATATTAAAATTGAATAAATTTTGGAAAAATCGGAAAAATACCTTTAGCAAAACTCATCATGTGCTATGTATTCTATGTAGCTAACACGTTTGTTTTAATGGTTTTAATACAATTGGCCACAAAATATTAGCACTTTCTAAGAATAAAGACCCTTTAATATGTTAAATATTTTGGATTATTAATAATGAACTCAAATTGTCTAAGTTTTTAGAAAACATGAATTAGGACTCAAATTAAAAAGCAAGAAATGTCTTAAGAATTAAATTTTTAAAATATCTTTCCCTCATTTTATATTCCTATAAAAGCTTTTGATGGAAATATTCAAAAAGACTACAAACACACTTTTTTCCATTTTTCTCAAGATTTTCTAAAATAAATTCAAAATAGTATTTTCATTAGATGCGGAAATGGTTATTAAACAATTAATGATTTGAGTTGACTATTATTTATACTTTATTTAGACAACCATTTGACAACTCTATGTAGGTACGTGACAGCTGACATTTGTATTTATCAAGGCTAACTTAAATGTAACTGCAATTTTTTTATTATAATAAAACGCCCAAAATTGAAATTGTTTAAATTGACTTAAAATTGCAACTTACCACTCAATGAAGCACTGCTTTCTTGCCTGTATGACGGTGTGGAGGCGGCAGTGCCTTGAGGTGGCCAAAATGTTTTCCTCGGAACGGAGACCCATGAGACCCGTTCGCCCTCTCTGGCCCTTTCCAATTCCAGAATAAATTTTCCATCTAAAATCGTGCTTGTGTGCATTTCGCATAATGTAAAAGAACGTATTTACCTTTGAAAAACTTGAGTCGTCCTCCCTGCACATAACTGGTCTTCGGAGGCTCGTCTTTAATAACCCCATCAGCATTTCCATTCATGCCATGTCTTTTGTGCTTCTCTTCTGTCATTTTTGAACATTTTGTCAAGATGGTGTTTGAAGACTGGCGTGATTCGGATATATGCATCTCATAGCGTTTCCTGCGGAATTCGGGTCCATACGTTGCAAGTTACCATCTTTAAATTGCCCAATTCTTCGAATGTGATGTTTCATTCCATTCCACCTGCTGACACTACCGCGAACCGTTGCCGTAATTTCACCTCCACTACGCCTGCTGATGGTAAACGCTCGAGATCACATCGTACTGAACACGTCTTCCTCATATTTTGGACATTATTTACGCTACACACCACTTGTTTATTCCACACCAACGAACGACAACATCTACAAACGTACACCAGCTTGCCTCCTTACGATCCGTCGTCGAAATTTTGATGATGTAGTCGATGGCTCGGTCGGTTTCGTAAAAAGTTCATTCACTTGACCGGCGATAACTTACACACCGGATTTACACCATTTAACCAAGTTTTTCCTTCAATTTCACCAAAGAAGCAATCTTTAGCGACGATCTTTTAGCCTATGGCCGTTTTGCAAGTTTAAATAACCACGGAATGTTTAAATAAACACTACTTATTTGTTATCATTCAAAAAGCGCGCTCACCGTGAAAAGGATCGATCGATAACGTAGAACATTTTTGACAGACGTTAGGACGCTCAAATGTGCCACCAAGTTTGTTATTGTATTAAATTAAATTTAAAAGTTGATGAATATTTTAACATACTTTTAATGACGAGGAATTGCGAAAGCTTGATTTTAGTCAGCAAAGGTTTATTGACTTTGATTTTAATTCAAAAAGTTTTTACATGGGGGTTACACAGCAGAATCAAATTGTAAACAATTATTTATGAACTTATAATATCGGCAGTTTTAAAGGTGTGTTAATTAACAGGAAAGAAAACAACTTAGAATAGAGAAATACGCAAGAGGAAACAGAACATAACCATATGACCTTGATTTTCACAATATTTGAGGAGGCTTTCACACATATGACACACTTTTTTATCATGAGAACATAATTGTCTTTATTTTCAAAAAAAGTAGCATTTTTTATCAATTATGGAATATTATTTAACTTTTTACGTTCTTTAGTAGAAACTTTCTTAGATCTTCTCTCCAGGTGCTTTTGTAACTTGTTAGTCTTTTTCAACTGTTCAAATTTGCTAATTAATCCTTCCAGTCGTTTCACAGCTGTAACAAAATAACAAACAATTTAATCCAATAGAAGAATGCAATAAAATTGATGATGGAACCCCCAGTTCAAAACCTGTTTGACTTTAGGTGTTTGGAAACCAATATTACAATCCCTGAACGTTTTGTACGTTTTTTGTAATAAAAAAACTTACATCTCTTTTTAAAATGAACTTTTTCTCCCGCCTTCAACTTTATCTTAAGTTCAGACTTCTCCTTACTTTCTTCTTGTTCTACGCGCTCTTTCTTTTCATCTTCACGAATTTGATTTTCCTAGAAACATAAGTTATATCAGTTTTAATATGCTATAATTGTCAACTTACTAATCTTTGTATCACAAATTTTAACTTGTTTTTTTCTGCAGGATCAGCTGTTTCCTTCAGCTGCTTTTGTAACTGAATTTTTTCTTGTTTTCTCAAGTCATTTACAAACTTATAGTCTTTTTTGAATGTTTTCTTATCGAAAGTGCCACACATGGGTTCAAATCTTGGATCTCTGTTTAAAACGTGTTTCACGGGAATTACGTTGTTTTCCAATCTGGTTGGCCTTTTTGAACTCATTTCTCTGGGCCTATTTTTATTAGCCCGTTTGAATGTTGTTTTATTTCCTTGTGATTTAGTTTGGAAGACTGTTTCATTGTACAGTTTTGCCCCTATTTTCTGCTTCATTTTTTGCAATTCTTCAAAACTCAAGTTACTCAAACGCTCTTTAATTTTCTCCTAAAAACGTGGGGATAAACATAGAAATGTTTATAACAGTCTCACCCTTTCTTCACTCCCAATTTCATCGTTATCGCTGTTATTACTTTCTAAATCACTCATTATTAATTGTATTTTAAAACCACATTTATTTTTAAATGTTAAAAACAATTATTCTACTCAACGACTCAACTCGAAAAGTGAGGTTATGTCTTAGTTGAAAAAGAGCTTTCAGTAGTGACAAAGCTAAAACGTAATAGGTGATAAGTGGAGGACATTGACAGGACGGAACAAAAGAAGAAGGTGATTTTTAAATAAGCTGAAAGAGTAAATCATATTCATTTTTAGTTACACAGAAATGAGTACCCAAAAAGATGTTAAAAATTGCCACACACTACATAGCGGCATATTCAACCCAACTCTTCGAAAATGGCAAAGTCTCCAAACTGAGTTAGGCTCCGACAATTTCATGTACCCCATTTTCATTGTTGAAAACGATTACGCTGTCCAACCTATTGCCTCCATGCCTGGAGTTTCCCGCTATGGCATTAACAAATTAAAAGATCATTTGGGACCACTAGTTGAAAAGGGCTTATCGTCAGTGCTCCTTTTCGGTGTGACCGAAAAACTCCCAAAAGACGACATAGGTAGCCACGCCGACAGCCCCCAAAATCCCGTAATTCGGGCCCTCCCAAAGTTGATCTCCTGGTTTCCTTCTCTGACGATCGCTTGCGACGTTTGTCTTTGCCCTTACACCTCTCATGGCCATTGCGGAATTTTATTTCCGGACGGTTCTATTAATAACATGGAAAGCATAAAACGCATTGCTGAGATAGCAGCGTCGTATGCCAAAGCGGGTGCCCATATTGTGGCCCCTTCAGACATGATGGATGGCCGGATTGGAGCAATAAAAGACAAATTAGCGGAATGCCAATTAAGACACAAAACTGCAGTGTTGTCTTACACGGCGAAATTCGCGTCAGGCTTCTATGGCCCCTTCAGAGACGCCGCTAAGTCGAAACCGGCTTTTGGCGATAGGAAATGTTACCAATTGCCCCCAGGTAGTTCGGGAATTGCTTTGCGTGCGGCCGCTAGGGATGTAGCTGAGGGGGCTGACATGCTTATGGTGAAACCTGTAATGAGCTACATGGACGTTTTAAGGGACGTTAAAAGGGCTTACCCCGAGTATCCAATGTTCGTATATCAAGTCTCAGGAGAGTATGCTATGATTTATCACGCCGCGAAAGCAGGGGCCTTAGATTTTAAAACAGCACTTTGCGAGATTTTGGTGTCTTTGAGACGAGCAGGGGCTGATGTAATTATTTCGTATTATACCCCCGTTGTTTTAGACTGGTTGCAAACGAAAAGTAAGCTGTGAATTTAGCATGACATTAGCAAAATTGTAATTTTCAAAGTTATTTGTTGCTTTTTTGGGAAATATATTTTATGTTGGTTATAAAACTGTCTTAATAGAGCCCCTTACTGATTATTTTAGTCGCAAATTTTAAAATTTGAAAAAATAATTGCGCCATCTGGTGGTTTTTGATTTTTTCTACGTTCAGCGTTAAGAAAACTTCACTAGCGCCATCTTTCACGGACGCCATGTTTTTCGTCAAATGTCAAAAACGCTAAAAATCGTCGCGTGCAAACAATATACAGACGAAAAAAGTTATTAAAAACTAGGGAAGGTGAAAACTAAGTGTTAAATTTATCTCAACGCTTCAATAAAACCGTTGGACGTCGTATAAGTGGCCAAACGGTCCCAAAAATGCAAATACCTTATTGAAAGACAGTTGCCCCAAGTGTTGTGCATCAGTGAACTAGACATTAATTAAGTTGTTTTAAAGTTTATTTCAACAAGCATTGTCTTCTTCGACGGAAGCAATGGCAACAGCAAAACCTTCAAACCGCAATGCGGCGTTTGAAGACTTATCCAACGTCGAGTTCGAAACCAGCGAAGATGTCGAAGTCATCGAACAATTTAAGAATATGCACCTGAAAGAAGAGCTTCTTCGTGGTGTCTTTGCATATGGTAAGAGGAAAATGTAGGTCAGTGAGGTTAGGATTGAGGTCATTGCTTTCAGGTTTTGAGAAACCTTCCGCTATCCAACAGAGGTCTATTAAGCCCATAATAAAGGGTAGAGATGTCATCGCCCAAGCCCAATCAGGTACCGGCAAAACGGCTACATTTTCAATCGCTATTTTGCAATCTCTTGATTTGCAAACGCGCGAAACCCAAGTACTTTGCTTGTCGCCAACGAGAGAATTGGCGGTGCAGATTCAGAAAGTTATTCTGGCTTTGGGGGATTTTATGAACGTGCAGTGTCATGCCTGTATTGGGGGGACCAACCTTGGCGAAGATATAAGAAAGTTGGATTATGGACAGCATGTTGTTAGTGGAACACCAGGACGAGTTTATGGTACCTATAATGAAGCCTTATAATTAATTTTTCTTACTCAAAAAATTAAAATTGCAGACATGATCAGAAGAAGAGCCCTTAGGACCAGATCTGTGAAAATGCTGGTCTTGGACGAAGCTGACGAAATGTTAAACAAAGGCTTCAAGGAACAAATCTATGACGTTTACAGATTTCTCCCACCCTCCACTCAAGTCGTTTTAATTTCTGCGACTTTGCCCCACGAAATTTTGGAAATCACGTCTAAATTCATGACAGACCCGATTCGTATTTTGGTAAAGCGCGATGAATTGACTCTTGAAGGAATCAAACAATTCTTCGTCGCCGTTGAACGTGAGGAGTGGAAATTTGATACACTTTGCGACTTGTATGATACGTTGACAATCACCCAAGCTGTTATCTTTTGTAACACTAAACGTAAAGTCGATTGGTTGACTGAAAAAATGCGTGAAAACAATTTCACCGTCAGTTCAATGCATGGTGATATGCCCCAAAAAGAAAGGGATAACATTATGAAGGAGTTTAGGTCGGGCCAAAGTCGTGTACTTATAACGACAGATGTGTGGGCGAGAGGTATTGATGTCCAGCAAGTCAGTTTGGTTATTAATTACGATTTGCCGAATAACCGTGAATTGTACATTCACCGTATTGGTCGGTCTGGGAGGTTTGGTAGAAAGGGTGTTGCTATCAATTTCGTCAAGTCGGATGATATCAGAATTTTGAGGGATATTGAACAGTATTATTCCACACAGATTGACGAAATGCCGATGAATGTCGCCGATTTAATTTAAACAAATAATCATTTTTTATGTTCTTATATTGTGTAAGAAGAATTTGTGTAATAATTAATATGGGAAGTAATAAACTATTAAATGATTTTTTCCTAGTTCTAATATTTTTATCGCCAAATTAATTACATCATAAATCAATTATTACCTCAATTAAAAAATTAGCACGACAAATATTCACACCATAGAAATGCATTAAAACTTGAATTCTTTGTATTTTTTCGTTTGTTTCGTGTCTTGCTGTTGGCGCTTGCGTTTATTCTAAAACAAAAGCGATTTTTATTAATCAATAGTTTGAATAGAAGAGAATATATTACCTTTTGTTTCGCCACGTGCTCAGCTAACATATCACTGAGATCTTCCTTCTGCAATTGTGACTGATTTTCCCTCATTTGTTGTTCATAACGAACTGCCATTGCGTCACTGTCCATATCCAATTCAGATGGATCAAGAGCCAACTCCACCATACCTTCTTTATCCCCTGGTTTGCGACTGGTTGCTGGGGCTGCCCCAACAGCAGACATGTCGTAAACATGGCTACTGCCCATCATTGAACCGCCTATTCTCTCATTGCGTTTCTCGGGAATTACATGATACAAGATCGGATTTTCTGTTCTGTGAAACAAAAGTTAAGATTCCGTTAAACACAACTTGGTAATTCTTACTGTTCCATCTCGCTCTCAATCTTCTTTTTCCGCAATTCAATAGCTTCAGGCGTTTCCATACCAGTTGGAACGCTCGTGAGACCGCTAGGTGTCACTAATCCTTCAGCTGGAGTGACGAGACCAGATTCATCAGCAGCGTTTTGTTGGTTATCTTGGTCTTCCTCTTCTTCTTCATCCTCCTCCTCGGATTCGGATTCGAGCTCGCCCCAAAGGGTGCGATCGACGGAAGGGTCCTCGCCGATATCCTAAAAAATTACCATTGAAATATCTTTTGAGAAAATGAAATAAAAATATTAAATGCTTACATCTATGTTGGTAACATTTGTTCCAAACACATCACCATACAATGGTTTTCCATTTTCGTCTACTGGCGGCTTCCCCCACCCACCAGCATGGTACCCAAAGGCACAACCGTCAGGAATAGGGGCATTCAATCCCGGAATTTTCAAATTGGGGTAACTGGGTGGAGGACCATAACGTTGCATGGCGATCAACCATGGTGGTGGTACTTTATGGGCGTTAGGACCCACAGGCATCCCTAATGCCGTTCTCAATTCTTCTGTTAAATCTCCAGGCTTTTTTTCCTTTAGTCTTGTCTCAAATTCCTTGCCTTCGTAATAGAGGTCGCCATGGATGGTCATTTTGGGTTTAGTTTGCCACCTAAAAATGACTATTTCAGCTATTTCCAATAAAAAATAAAAAACATACTTGAAAAAGGCATCATGTAATTTCTGATAATCAATATCAATTTTTCCAAGTTTAGGTCTGGTTTTTTCCCGCATTTTAGCTTTGAGTGTTTTCGATTCATCTTTATCTTGTAATGACGCACGCATCTCCATAATTCCAGTCCTTTTAATGAAATCTGGAAGATTAAAAGGTGGTTTCTCTATACCACGTTTACCTTGTAAGTACTTCCGTTTGAAACACCAATGACGGGGTACCTACAAAACTCTTTCATTATTTTTAATAATACAAAAACAAATACGGACCTGAACAGTATTCCTGTGAGCCTTTAATTGTACCAAAAGTTTTGGGTCTCTGGCTGTTACATCATGCATTTCTACAACGTCCGGCCTACTTACAAGTTGTTTAAGCTCAGCAACGCTAAGTCGGGTCAGTTTTTTAAGTTTTCTTTTGGACATTTTCGACTTATCGTCCATTTTTTTCTGAAAGAGAAAAGTTAATATTTCCAATCCCGAATGTAAATCAGAACTTACGTCTTCCCCATCTTCCATTTCATCCTGAAAGTGGTCTCCCACGGTATTTAGCATTGATTTACTCGATAATGATGTTGGAGTTGCTAGTACTGGGGGTGGGATATCATGCTTTTGATCAGATATTTTAAATACATCAAAAATACTATAAAACTGCCTGTATTGTGGTGCCAATTCAAGAAGACCAATTGTCTCTTGAACATACCTTTAAAAAAAGAAAAATATTAATTTGATTAAATAAACAGAAAAATCACTTACTCGACTTCCACATCTGCATTCCCATTCTCGTGTACATCCTTTTTCTCCTCCTCAGCCTCCTTATGTTGTTCATTCTCCCTATTTTTCTTGTTCTTCTTCCTTTTCTTCTTCTTTTTATTTTTACTGATTTTAGTGGTCTCCTTAACTTGGTTTTCTTCTTCATTTTCAGCCACAGTTTCCTAAAAAAAAAACAATTTGTATTAAACATATTTAAGAGCAAATTTTAACAATATTACAATATTATCATCTTTCTCCCAAAGCGCCTCTCTAGCAGGCGGCTGTTGTACTGCTGTTTCCGTTTCTTCTCTTTCCAGTTCCCGTGCTCTCTGATTTTTCAACGCCAACACCTCTTCCAACACTTGAGGTAAAACCACTTCAGTTGGTGGCGTTTCTATCATTTGTTCAGGAGGGTCCACTTTTAGGGATAATAACGATGGAAGTTGTTTTTCATTTACAGCACCCTGGGGGAGTCCACTCCCTATAAGAGTAAAACCAAAGATAAACAATCTGGTTGAAAACACACAATTACCATATTCTTCATCAGCCCACCCTTGCATACCTGAGCTAAAGATTCCCTCTGGATGGGGTACAGGATGCTCCGGGACACCCTCTTGCAGCTGATCCTGGTTCATTTTTTTGGGAAAAACACTACTTGTTGCAATTGTATCTGAAATGAAAGCAATTTATTGCACAACACAGATTTCTAGAACGATTTTAAGACTAAAAAATACTGTTTACACAATTTATAAAGATTTTAATATAACCTTTTCTCAATGTTTTTTGTAAAATTGTCCAAAAAATGTTTGAATTAAAGCAAGAAGAGAACTTACAATAATAAATAGAGTTAAATTTAATCCCCAATGCGGTTTTTAGCGTCAAAATTATAGTTTTCTAATTATTTAACGCTGCATGGACGTTCCTGTGTTTAGGACAAGTGCGTAGTGCGTCCGTAGTTAAAATAACTCGATGTCCTGCAATAGCGAAAACATTTTCAAGTACCAATCCTAAAAAAATGGAATAAATATTTGATTTATTACAAAATTACTAAATTGTTTTTGGTCATTATGTATTAAATTATTAAAAGTCTTATTATACGTACATTTATTAATAAATATTTAAGAGTCTTCAGTGCTTTTATTAACTAATTAAATTTTTAAACGTCATGCCAATCTAAATATGGACCAATCACGGACGCTTCTTTCTCCAATGTCAAATTCAAAAAAACCGTTGTTTAGCTGTCACGCTCATAACATAACGTTTGAGTGTCTATGTGGTTTGTCTTGAAAATCATCAATAAAGTTGGATGTTATATGTCTAATGCAACGTTAAAGGTAAAACAACTTTTCTAAATACAAAGATTGTATAGAAATTGTTTTTTAGCTCGTACTAAAATGTCAGTGAGGTCTAGCAGACGTTTAAATAAAAAATTATCTACACCTGAAGTGGAAAATAAAAATGCCCCTTTAAACAGCACCAAAAAAACAAGAAGTGCACGAAAAATCAGAAAAACCAATGATTTGCTTTACTTCAGTTTTAATGATTCAGTTGTTGAAAAGGAAAAGAAAAATACCAAGTCACCAACACAGAATCTCCCTATCTTAGATAAGAGTGGAAAAAGCGAAGAAAAGTTGTTTTCTTTCAAAGAAGTTGAAAATTCAAAGATAAAGTCCCCGCCGTCACCTGCTCCAAAAGAAAAAAATTATAAAGTAAAGCAAAGAAAATTTGTCAAAGCTAAGAGAATTCTTAGAGGTACCAAGCATTATGAAGTAGACAACTGCAATGAAGAGACATTGAATGTCATTACAAAAAATTCTAATTTTAAGGAGAAATCAATTAGAGAAGAACTGTCAGAAAATTGCAAGAATTCTGTAAGCGACAGTGAGGGAAGTTCAATGTCCATCAAAGTCAAGAAAACGAGTACACAAAATGGACGTATTACAGAGAAGATCTCCCCTACCATCAGTTTTAATGCTTCAACAGCTGAAAAAGAAGATAAAAGTACCAGAACACCAAAGGTCAAAGATTCTTTGTCGGTCTTTGAGTCTTTTTCCTTTAGAGAAATTGAAAATTGTAAGATAAAGTCGCCGTCATCACCTGTCCCAGAAGAAAAAAATGATAATAAACTAAAGAAAAGAAAAGTCGTCAAAGCTAAGAAAGTTCTTAGAAGTACGAAGCATTATGAAGTAGAAGATAAGTGCAATGAAGACACATTTAATGCCATTATGAAAAGTTTTAATTTTAATAAAGAGGAATCAATTAGACAAGAAATGTCAGAAAATTGTAAGAATCCAGTAAGTGATGGTGAAGGAAGTCCAATTCACATCAAAGTCAAGAAGAAGAAGGCACAAGTTGGACGTATCACAGAGAAGATCTCTCCTAGCGTCCGTTTTGATGCTTCAACAACAGAAAAAGAAGATAAAAGTACCAAAACACCAAAGGTCAACAAACAGAAACTTTCGTTGGATAAGAGTAGTAATCAAGAATCCTTTTCAAGAAGAGAAATTAAAAATTATAAGACAAAAGCGTCACCGTCACCTGTGCCTTTTGACTTGCCTGGACCAAATGCAAGAAATGATAATATTGAGAAAAACATCGTCAAAAAAATGAGAATTCTTCGAAACACCAAGCATTGTGAAATAGACGAGTCCAGTGATGGAGAAAATGACGAGACATTTAATGTTATTTCAAATAACTCTGATTGGAAGGAGAATTCTGTTGGAGAACTGTCGGAAAATTGCAAGACTGTTTTTAGTGAGAATGAGGGAAGTTCAAACTGCATAGAAGTGAGGGACAGCACTATACAAAATAAAAACTGGATTACAAAGAAGATCAATGAAACGACAATATCTGGCCAGTTAAGTGAAAAGAAAGACTCTTTTGGTTCAAACTTGCTTTTTAGTGAATTACCAAGTCCAATATCAGCTTCAACACAAAGTTTAAAAGATGAAGCTTCACCATATTTATCTGTATATTCAGAGAAGATCTGTTCTACCATCAGTTTTGATGCTTCAACAACGGAAAAAGAAGATAAAAGAGTCAAACGAAAGGTCAAAAAACAGAATTTGTCCGTCTTCCAGTTGGATGAGAGTGGAAATAGTGGTAATGAAAGATCCTTTTCAATCAGGAAAATTAAAAATTCAAAGATAAAATCGCCGCCGTCACCTGTGCCACTGCCCTCGCCTGTTCCAAATGAAAAAAATGATGAAGTTGAGATGAACATCACCAAAAAAATTAAAAATCTTCAAAGCGCCAAGCATTGTGAAATAGACGACAAGAACAGTACTGAAGAAAATGACGAGACATTTAATGTTATTTCAAATAACTCTGATTGGAAGGAGAATTCTGTTGGAGAACTGTTGGAAAATTGCAAGACTGTTTTTAGTGAGYATGAGGYAAYTTCAAACTGCATAGAAGTGAGGGACAGCACTATACAAAATAAAAACTGGATTACAAAGAAGATCAATGAAACGACAATCTCTGAACAATTAAGTGAAAAGAAAGACTCTTTTGGTTCAAACTTGCTTTTTAGTGAATTACCAAGTCCAATATCAGCTTCAACACAAAGTTTAAAAGATGAAGCTTCACCATATTTATCTGTATATTCAGAGAAGATCTGTTCTACCATCAGTTTTGATGCTTCAGCAACGGAAAAAGAAGATAAAAGAGTCAAACGAAAGGTCAAAAAACAGAATTTGTCCGTCTTCCAGTTGGATGAGAGTGGAAGTAGTGGTAATGAAAGATCCTTTTCAATCAGGAAAATTAAAAATTCACAGATAAAATCGCCGCCGTCGCCTGTGCCACTGCCCTCGCCTGTTCCAAATGAAAAAAATGATGAAGTTGAGATGAACATCACCAGAAAAATTAAAAATCTTCAAAGCGCCAAGCATTGTGAAATAGACGGCGAGAACGGTACTGAAGAAAATGACGAGACATTTAATGCTATTTCAAATACTTCTGATTGGAAGGAAAATTCTGTTGGAGAACTGTCGGAAAATTGCAATACTGTTTTAAGTTTGATTTCCGTACATGATGAGGGAAGTTCAAGTTGCATAGAAGTGAGGGATAGCACTATACAAAATGAAAATTGGATTCCAAACAAGGTCAATGAAACGACTATCTCTGACCAGTTAAGTGAAAAGAAAGACTCTCTTGGTTCAAACTTGGTTATCAGTGAATTACCCAGTCCAATATCGCCATCAACTCAAAGTTTAAAAGAGGAAACTTCACCATATTTGTCTGTACATTCAGCTAAAGAACCAATACAGCCATCTTTGAACGGAAGCAGTGATGAGACATCTATCAGAAGGAGAACATATGAACTTGAAAATAGTGTTAATGATGTATCACTCTTGAAATCACTATCAGAGAAAGATTTAAGCAAATCATCATCTAGTGACGATAAATCAGAAGAGTCTGTAACTCCCAAATTGTTTTCTAAAGTGACTCGTAGAAAAAAGTGGAACAAGGTGCACAATACACCGTTTCAAATAAAGGGTAGCCCAAGTTGGATTAACGCTCCACAGCCCTCAACATCCAATTCCAGACACAGCACTCCAGACGTTAAGTTTCGAAATTTGCCAAAATTGATGTCAAGTGCTCCCAGACATTCAGCGAAAAAACCTCTTTCTAATATTAAAATGCCAAATTTTGCGGCTATTCACAAAAGAGCTATGGAAAAGACAGAAAATATTGTTGAGTATAAACAAAGAAAGGAAGAAAGAGCGAAAATGTTACTATCAGGGAAGAAGCCACAAAATGAAGTTGCTACATCTGAGAAAAATGGGAAAAAACGGTTGAGGTTTGCTCCAGGCACAGCTGAAAGAACTCAATCGATGACTTTTATTCCCTTGCCCTCAACACCATTGCCAAAGAGTGTGAAAAATAACTTTAATGACAGTCTTGTGGATGAGGACGACAAATGTGAAGTGAAGACCCGGACTCCTGTCTTCAAATTCAATAAACCAACTTACACATTTGAAAATAAAGTACAATCGCCTGTTTTCAAATTTACTAAACCAACATTTACAATTGAACAGAGAGATATATTAGTGAAGAAAGCCAATAAAATGTTTGCAAGTCACATTCCACTGATGAAGAAAACCAATTTTGGATCTCTTACAAGTGAAACAAGTGTTGAAAAGAGAGTCCTGATGGAGAAGAATGGTAACGTCAACACCTTTGGTGCTTCTAATCCATTAAACTTCAACCTGAAAGGTACAAAAGCACGTACTAGACATGAAGAAATTAAAAGTATCATCAATAAAAAACAACCCAGTAAAAATACACTTGAAGCACGAAAATGTACCATCAAGGGAGTGAGATCAAATAGAAGATTTGAATTACTGATGAACATGAGAAAGGGAAAGTAGTTTTAAGCTTTTATGTTTTATATTTTAACATTTGTACTCAGTTATTTTTACATATTGAATAAAAACCCATTTAGTGACAATTTTTTTTTAACACTTAATTGTTGATTCATCAAAATATTTGTTAAATTTCTTCCATAGGGGCCTCTTCTTTGGGTCCTTGTGGCTGTTCTCAGGTTTCAAATTCGGCATAAGCCCTATAAAAAATGTGAAGGTTTAATCGCCAACACCTAAACCAACGTACCCGCTTTGTGTGCCATTGTAACAAGAGATGACATCCGTTTTTGCTGTTTCTTACATAAACCAGTTACTCTTCGTGGTAACATACACCCATCGGAACGGACAAATTGGCTTAATATTAAAACATCAGTGTGTTTTATGTCCAAACCGGATGCACAAATGGGACAACACGAAGAGTGTGCATTCTGCAAAAGGTAGGGTTCTCGTCCAGAGGGTAAAATTTGAGCACTGATTGTTATATTTTTATCAGTTTGAACTTCCTCAACTATAAAATAAAAGATAGTTGCCACTGTGTAATTTAAAAATTGGTACTTACTCTGTTTAATTTGCAGTTTGGGACACAATGATAGACTCCTGTTTTGTAATCTAAAGACAGCTCTGAAGGCTTCACTTGGGTTCAAAATTCTTAAAACGGACATTGCTTAAATGCAAGACACACTAATAAATAAATGGGGCCCGTGATGAAAAGTTTTTTTTACACAATTTTAAGGTTAGATTATATGACATATAGGTTGAGGTCAAAAAACGTCATTTTTTGCGCTCGCAGTCCAATGCCCAAATTGTCTTATTAAATAAGAAAAATCGCGGGACAATTGTTTTTTAGTTTTGAATATTTCATTATTTTACAAGGTCAAGGTAGTTACACAAAATACACAATCTGTTTTTAAACCTGTACTTAAGCAGTAACGAGGTAACATAATTTGATTAATATAAAATAATGTGAAATTATTCCCTTATAAAAGTTACAATAAGACAAATCCATCCTTATGTTTGTTTAGTTTTTGATTTTGATGTTGGTTAAATTTCTTCTTGTAATCCTTTTTGGCAAGATTTGGAGGTCCCTTAGACCTGTCTCTTTGTCTGCCCCCTTTGTCAGTTTTAAATGTAACATCTTGTGCGACCTGTCCTTGAGCTTGGTCTGGTTTTTCATCTTTGACAGCATTCACCCTCAAGTAGTAGATTAAGAGTTGATCATTACTTACGAACCCATTAACAGCATCAGTATTGATACAAATACAAGAATCATCTCCAAACAATTGACTGTTTTCAAGCTCGATGCTCTGACAATAATCACTCAAAAGAATTTTCTTCTTGGTCTTTCCAGGCTTAAAAATTTCAATTTCATAATAATAACCCTCAGCTTCAGCCGCATTCCCAATGTACTGCACAGCCCAATACAACTTATTCTTTGTAAGTTTACACTTGAACCAAAACAGCCTATCATAAGCATTCACCATGTTGACATAATAAGACTCAGATTTCATTTTGGTGTGGCAAACATTGCTCTTGTGGTATGGCTTGCTGGACATTTTCTTTGAAGCCCAATGTGCGGCAAGATCCTCTAGTCTGCCCACCCATGTGCACTTCTCCATGGCGCATTTGAAGCCTTTAAGGGCGCACCGCAGTTCGTGGGTCTCGCGTTCCGTGTATGTGAGTTTCGCAGTGCATCCTGACACTTTGTTAATGCATGGATAACGCATCTTCACCGCTAGCGCCTCCAAGGAATGGTTACGGCATTCAGTGAAATTTCCCTGGCACAAAGCACACTTGGGGAGCTTTTTACGACAGGCGTCGCAAACGCTGTGCCCCGTGGCGCACTGTCGGATCGGCGGGGACATGTAATTGGTGCAAATGGGGCACTCGAGCTCCACCAGGAGCTCGTCATAAAGATGCTCTTCCATAACTAAAAATGGCAGATTGTTAATTGCGTTGTTTATTCGCATAAGAGTGACTGGAAAGTCCAAAGTTAATTTATTGACGTATTTAGTTACACAAAGATGCACCAATATGTTATTAAACAATAATTGGAAAATTGAAATAATTAAAAAATAGTAATTAAGATTTAATTTTAAATATGTATAATAGAAAATCAACACTTACTTTGTGTTAATTGGTCCTTTGTTGTCCTTCTACAAATACAGAAAGAGAAAATGCGTCAAAAACAGATGTTTTGCATATTTTCACTCAGATAAAAATGTGAAAATGAAATTACTAAAAAAATATCAACACTGATGCAGTTGGCAACACGTAACAAGTGCCATTAAAATGTGGAGGTAAATTTAAATTTAAGGAGAAAAATAAATTTTGTAATGTACTAATTAAAACTACATATCTTTGCACTTTTTACAAGATATACTGCATTATTTTAATTAATTAAAAAAAAACAAGTTTAATGTCAAAGATCATTTCGCAAACCAAAAATAAATAAAACGCTGATACAAAAGTAAATAGAAACTATATTTAAATAAAACAAATCAATTATTAAAACCAAACGTTTATTGAAATACATTTCTCTAATTACATCGGAAAAAAAAGTAAAGAATAAATTTCCTGATTTCACCATTATTAATTTTTTGATAAAACTTTTGGTTTCAAAACCTTTTTTTATGCCACTAAATAATTTCAAAATATATTTATTTATTTATTTATTTATTTACATAAATACAGTGCAATGCAGTAAATATAAAAATATATCACTTACGTATACAAACAATACAAACACTATTACCTACTGTTAACTTATTAAAATATCTTTAATTAAGAAACATATCACATATCAATAATATCGCAACAGATATTTCAGTTTCTTTACGACGAAGTTGAAACATCCACAGTTGATCTCTCTTCGTCATCATTCTCGTTCACAATTTGGTTGTAATTTTCAGTCGTTGTAACGTTTCTCACCAGAATAATTCCTCTGAAAAATTTTAGAAAATTAATTTATCACACTTTATAACAAACGCACATTGCTAACAAGATTTCAACGATATAAACGCCAGCAGCTACGAAATTAAAAATCCCTGCATCAGTCGAAATCGTAGCATTGTAAATAGCAGTAAATATCGGGGATCCCCCCATTCCGATCAAAGATTCCGAAGCGACAATCAACGCAAAAACTTTCCCGATTTCTTCATTTGGCACTATTTTGGATACCAACGATCGAACCATCGGACTCAAAACTCCACCCAAGGCACGCGAAAAAGCAGCTAAAACATTATTTGAAGTGCAAAATCTTATTTTGTCAATTATTACCAGCATAAATCTGCCAACTGTATATAGCTAGACCCATAACAACGGCCCCAATAAACATTGAAATAAAACCAATCACAATCATTATAGTTTCTGGAATTTTTAACAACTTGTGTAACAAATAAATTCCGACAGCAGTGCCCAAAACCCAGGTCAAGCTATGAGCAGCACTGAATAGGGTGTATTGTTCTAAAGACCAGTGAAACTTTTCTCTTAAAAATAGGAAAATCAAAGCTCCGTCTCCATTTATTACAAGAATAAAAATTGTCAACATTAGGACACAAGAGAGGACAACACAGCGGTCGTAATTTCTTCGTTTTTTGAATGTAGTTTTGACCAAATCTGTGACATTTTCGAATTGAAACAGGCCTTTGAGACGACCCTGGAATTAAAGTAGAAGGTCTATAAAACAACTGGTTTTTGACTAACCTCTGATTCGGGTGTTGTAATAGATTCCGGTATAAAAAATATTGTAAACAATAAATTGAGCATACAGAACGCTGATGATATTAGGAAAACAGTGGGGTAGTTAGTGGCTTCAAAGACGTAGGAACTTGAAACATTTCCTAGGAATATTCCTAGAGCTAGAAGAGCCTCAAAAACGCCCATTCTCATTCCGCGGTTGCTCTCGTTGGTGACATCAGTGATGTAGCATAGAAGCACAGTGAGATATGAAGAGAGTCCTCCAGTTGCAAGTACAGGAATAGAGCACAGAAGGAAGTACCAAGGAGATAAGTTTTCCAAAACGGCAAGAAGGGCAAGGAGCATATATGATACAACATATCCTAAAAATAATAATTTGGAAGGGTCAGATCTTGTATTATTATAATAACCTAACACTGGAATAATAAGAACTGGTCTTCGACCAAATCGGTCTGACCAAGGACCTATGACTAAACAGGTCACTGCTGAAACTCCTCCATCTAGTAATGAGCCAACCATATTCATTAAAGCCACGTAAGGTTCAACAATTTTTTCTAATTTGGCCGTATTGTTGTCGGGGTGTTTGCTTCCAAGTAAGGCACATTCTGATTTGTTGTAATCCAATGTGACATAGCAGGTTCGAAAGATGACGAGGTTGGTCTTAATTGAATCTGCAATTGGACTAACTGAAGGAAAATGTGTCTGAAATTATTGGGGGCTTACCAGAAAGAAGAAAAGCAAAAAATATGAGGATTAAAGGCACTTCTATGTGAATTTTTGTGTTTCCGATTATGCATTCTGGCATCTTGGATTTCAATCGTTTAGTGGATGTAACGTATCATCTATAAATAGGTACACATTTGATACAAAACAATTTTTCGAAAATAAAATTTTAATCAAAGCAAATTAAATATGTACCTATCCTATATTGAAAAAAAACCAAATGCTATAAGGTCGTATCAAGTTGGGGCTCAGACTGTTTGACCCAGAAATAAATGCAGAATAACAATTTTAACGTTTTTTAATACTCTTAAAAAAATTAAAAATGCATCTAGTGTGTATTTTGATTTAAATAATTATAAAGTTATTCAACTTTTGGATAATATTATAAAATTGTGGTTTCCTCTGCGATTACTGAGTCTGATATTTCAGATAGAAAAATAATGTGAATTTGTAGAAATAAACAAAATTCATTGTTCATTAGATATTATTTCAGAAACCAATAAATAAGAAATATGTCTATATAAACTTTAAATTTCATGCAATTTTAAATTCTCAAGAATATAAATTATCAAATATATAAAAAACTTAAAAACCTCATCATAAGCTTTATTATTAAGCAGGTTGCATAAAAAGTTAAAATTAATTAATACGCTGCGCACAAAAAGTTTAAATTTATTAGTAGTTTTAATGACAAATAAAAAAAATAGCAACTGTGACATCAACATTATTTATTCCATAAAGCTACGAAAATTAACAAAGTTTTTATAAACAACTTTTTGTGGGCAGCGTATACATACATACAGGATGTTTCAGAACTCACGTGCCAAAGAAAAATGCCAAGTAAGGAACATGGAAAAAATGTTTTAAAAAATCTATCTATGTAGAACAATATCGAGATTATGGGGAGTTTAAATTTTGCAGATTGACTCTATTTATTTCTTTGGAAAAATTATTGTACATGTTTTAGTAGAGGAAACATAGAAATTATAGGTAGGTATCCTGAATTGTAACAATGATTTTAACGTTATTTGTGGTTTTTATTGGCAGAGTTTTTGTGCCTTTACTATATAATTATGAACAAACGTGAAACACCCTATATAGATTGTTAAATTAAAATTCTACAAGTTTTAATACTTTAAACAGTTTTAAAGAGTTAAAGTAATTAAAAATATATTAATTTAAAAAAGTATTGTTCACTTAACACTTATTATCTCTTGATACAATACATATTTCAAGGACGTTACTGTGCAGTTTTAATTTTGTTACAGTTTTTATAGTAATTTAATTAATGACATTGTAATACTTACTTACCTAATTGTAAAAGTAATTAAAAAGTAGATTAAGTACCTACTATACTAAAGACTCCATCGGAAAAAAAATATCAGAATAAAACTATTTCTATTCAAACCAATTAGTAAACACAAAGAACTGACAGAGTCATAATAATAATAGCAAAATTTTCTAACCTTGTCTGTGTAAAAAAATTAAAAATCAGATGCGCAAACGCGTTATCTTATTACGTTTGCTCGTATTATGTAATCTCTGTTTTGTATTGAGGGTGGTCTACCTTCTTTCGAGTAAAATTATAACTCATTTTTCGAGTATGTATTGTACATACATACTCTACCTGCACTAGTATTTTAACGATTAACACTTGAAACTGTTATCACATTGGACAATTTGATGCATTAATCTAATTATTGCATCAGAATTTAAATTAAAGTCTTCCTTAATTGATAACATTGTATATAAATTTCAAGGATCCAAGACTTGGTTTCTGGTTCATCTGGTTTTCTTTAAATACTTTTTTTTCAATTAAAATTTAAAAAAGACCAGCAAAAGTAGAAAAACGTGTTAACATCTGTTAAAGTGTTCAAAAAAAATGGTTGTTATAATAATACGGAGTATACGGACAAGTGAATACAAGCCTCCAAAATTAACCGGAAATCCTTCAAAGTGAGTTTCCTGATTTTAATGAATTTTAAATTTTCAGATTTTTGAAGAGACATATTTATTATAAAAACGACAATAGAATTATTGATTTTCATTTCATAAAAACTAGATAAAGAGCAATTTATTTATTTATTTATTTATTTATTTATTTATTTATTTATTTATTTATTTACCCCGTTTTAGCTATTATTATCTTACTTAGTCTTCAGATTTAATAATTATAATAATATACTCATACATAATTGCGAGTACCTATAATAGTTATCGGAGACAGAAGACCGTGGCGTTTTCGATCCAACAAAACGAGCTATTTGTAACAAACAATGTGTAACTTACCCTTCTCTCCCCTATAATCACAAATATCCACTTACTTGTTATCAAAAAATTAAATCAGAACCTATGTCCAGTATCAAAAAATTTCAAATGATTATAGGTAGTGTAGCTAGTTCCAACATAAAATCAATAGTCTTTAAGTCTCTCTCTGTGAATTCTAACTAAAAATGATCAAATTTCCCAAAGTTAAACCCTATTTTACCAGTCATCACGACACCCTACACAATATTTACACCTCAATGAAGCCTATCTATGGCATTTGCAAGCTAATTGGTTTGAATACGATTCGAATAGGACGCAAGGGTGAATTAAAACAGCAAAAATCTGATTACTTTTATTTCAGTTTTTATATCATTTTGTACACACTTTTGAGTGTTTATTCACTTTTTCAAATTGCAACCAACGAGAATAATGAACTGGTGATCAGCAAACACCTGGTTTTTGTCGAGTGTTTTGTAATGATGGCCCTTACTTTAATTGTTACTCTTTTCACGTTTCTGGTTCGAGGCACTTTGATTAAGTCTTTTGATATGTTATCACACGTGGATGTTTCTTTTATTAAGGCTGGTTTCCGATTGGAGTACAAGCAGCTTTTGAAAAAAAGTTACCTAATTATGAGCTTTGTACTTTTTTCTTTATTGGCTCGTGTCCCTTTGATGCTAATGACAATTTCAGCCGATTTCATCCAACAAATTATGCTATTCATCTCAGCTTTGATTAAAGCTTTCTCAAAATACCAATTTGTGGTCTTTGTTGTACAACTTCAACACCGTTTTGGTAAAATTAACAGTATCATGCGATCCTTTTATATTGACAACAACCAAAATGATAAAACTCCACCAATTTCTGATCATTTGTACTTCTTGTGCCGACTTCATTATAAACTAACCAGTGTTTTGCAAAAAATCAATTCTGCATTCGCAGTGCAATTATTAGTCTCCATTGCTGTTTCTCTTTTTAACGTACTTTTTCAAGCTTACTATTTGTATTATGTGGCCACGGGTAAAGCTTCTTTTGTCACTGTACCAATGATAGTGTGTCCCGTTGTTTGGTTGATGGATGAAGTCGTCGAAATTTACCTCTTGGTGCATGCCTGTGCAAGCACCTGCGAATATGCAAATGATACTCCGACTATCTTACACGAATTGAGAAACAGCTACTTCAACATGGACTTAGAAAACAATGTAATGTTTATTTTCTAATATTAGAGTTTGTAAAGTAATTACATCTTTTGTAGATTCAAAGTTATTCATTGCAGTTGTTGCACCAGAAGGTGCAGTTCTCGGTGTTGGGTTTTTTCGTCGTGGATTATACGTTGGTTTACTCGGTATGTTTAATTAAAGACTCATTTTTTGTAAATATAGTTTCCGTTCCAGATTGTTGGAGCTGTTACAACGTATTTGGTCATTTTTATACAATTTGACCAATCTTCAAACAGTCAGAATTCCTATGTTGTCACAAACAATAACACTAACCCAATTAATTAAAAGCGGACTAAATTTATTAACAAAACTAGTAAATCAAATAAAATAACAATTCGCATTATCATATTTTAAATGAAAAAACAAATAGTTATCATATGCTACAATTCTCCAAAAAGTGATAAACTGTTTCTCCTAGATCTAGTTCCGTTTTTGTGGGGAAAAATACTTTTGGGACTAAAAGTAACAAAAGTATTTTTACCTCCAAAAAGTTAACATCAAATCTATATAGCCTTAAAATTGCCAGGTAGAATAAGTTAGAAGAAGATAGTATTTCTTTTCGTTCAAAAAAATAGTCGCTTTTGTCGCTTTCTTATTTAAAATGTTATTATAAATGGAGATTTTTGATGGTCGCAAGTATTGAAAACTCATGTTTTCCAATAGTTATCTAATTTAATTTGATATTTGACGGCTACATTGGTTAGCTAGTTTGTAGTTCAGATAATTCGTGAGAATATTCTAATTCAATTTGAACAAATAGATATTTGAAATTGAGATGTAGATGTTAATAAAGTAGATCCAGAATTATTTGAAAACAGTCAAGTACTTTTATTGCTCTTACAGCGAGACGTAAATACCCTTATTAGGTAACATTCAAAAAAATGTCGACTCTGCGAAGGGTTTAGAAAACGTTATTGAATGACGCACTGTATTGTTTGTTATAAGATAAGAGATTTAAACAAATCTAAGATCATGATGATTAAACAAAAAACAATTTTTAAAATAGGAACTTATGGAATGATATTAAAAAATTAAATTGAGCATGAATACATGAAACATGAATAATTTGACTACAATTATTATTGATAAATATTAGTCACGACGAAAATAAGAACTAAATACACATATCAAGTTAGAAAAAATCTATTTTAATAATTTTATTTTGTAATAGCATACATAATTAACAACTTCATGTTAACTTCTGTACTTAGCAACAAATAATAAGAATTCATATTTTAGCTAGAAACAGACTACCTACTGCAACGAATAAAATAGTTTGTAAATTTTATTATTGTGGTAAAAAACGCCTGAATTGATTGTTTAAATCTAATACACAGTTAGGACGAATGCTTTTTATATTGTTTCAGTTAAAAAATAAAAGATGTTTCTCTTAAAAAGCAGACAAAATTATTTATTTACCTACTTGACCTTATTTTTTTTATTTACATGTTTGCTAATAAAACTTCTAATATTGGGATTTTACGTGCATAATGAACTTCAAAAGTTACTTAATCTTTCGATTGTGCAAAATTACATAATCTTTGGTAGCACACTACAAACTAGATTTTTTCGAGATGGAACATTTGGATGTTAAACCTTTTTTATCAATTTAATTCATCGAGTTGATTGTCTGAAGCCATGACACCTTTCATGTACGGTCATAACACCTCAATTATTTTCTTGGAATCTTTATGACCAACCTTGGTCTCTATTAAATTACATAATTACGTATGTCTGCACTGTGCGTCAATGAGGTCTTTGAATAAAAAACAGCAAATTTCAAATTTCGTCAATCATTTATTCGAACACATTGTCTTAAAATACATCATTCTTAATTCATCAATAAGTACAATAAGTATATCACGAGATCCCTTCATCGTGATACACTGTTCCCAGAACAATATTAATTACAAATACAAACTTATCAACAAATTATTAACAATACGGTAATTCTCATATGACTGCTAAAATCAATAGCACATACCGTGACCGTATCTCCGGTATAACTTGGGTATAATTTCATTTTTTTAACCTTTGATCACAATTAAGATCACTTGTTCATTTTTGCTCAATCACCCCGGGAGTTCCAAGACAGGTCTTGGAAATTCCTCAATGGTGCACTCGTAAAAGTCTGTCAATTCTTGTTCTGACGGCGAAAGAGGGGGATCCTGTCGTCCCTCCATGTCTTTGGTTATAACAGCGCAGGGACATTCCATTCGTGACCCCAATCCGCAATATTGTGCTAGTTTTTCACTACTATCAACCTGTAATAACCAGCACAAATTAGTATTCATACTTGTTACCACCTCAAGGGTATTTACCTGAATGACAGGGATATAATTCTCGAAGCAGAAAGCCTGAAGTAGGACAGTCTGCATGTGAGTGGTAGCATCCCCAGGTCTGGTTTGAGGAAGAACGCAGAGAAGGACATCCTCCAAAGAGTTCTCCAGACAGGAGATGGCTGGAAGGAGGCCACAGATCAATCGACCCTCTGTTCTAGCCTCAGTCAGGACACCCTGAAGGGCCCTTCCAAGTTTATGTCTGCAAGAAAAATCAAACTTGGGTTGTAGATCCATGTCACAATTTTCACTCAACAATTGCAAACAAGCAATTGAAATGTCAATAGTACCTGTTGATCATTTTGCATTTATCCACGTTTTTCAATTTGAGGATACACATGTTTGTTCAATTTCTTGAGCTTTTCACTATCAAATTCACTTTTGAACACTGATCACTCCGTAATCCTGAATGGAACAGTATTTCGACACCGTTTTCAAAACGTTGTGTAATAGTTAAACTTTTGGCTCTCACATGTACCAAACAACACCAGTTTTTGCTTTGCAATGACGTAAAATGCGCCGGTTTGCCTTTTATACCTGCGCCAGAGCCGCGCAAAGTGGGGGATAAAAGGAACTCGAGATGTGAGTTTCGAGGAATCCCCAGCTCCAATATTTGATTACTCATTCTGAAAGTACGCTAGATTTTTTCAATTACGAAAGATAAGTGGATATTCCGCCGGAATTGCAGGGAATTTACTGATTGTGATCCGGTGAAATGAGAGCATCCTGAAGGCAAGGCCGAAGAGACTTTGGCCAGGTGTTCAAGGGTGATTTTAGCCATTCATGGAAAGAACGGTCAATGTGTTTCGTTAGAATTCAAATTCAAAGAGTATTGGCAGTTGCGAGGTTTCAACGGAACTTGTATAAACTCGTTTTTGCTTCACATAATAAACAATGGTTTGTGCATTTCGTGGCAGGTTGAAACACGTTATTTGAACGCACTTCATTAATCCAGCGTGTAACAAGTCTCAACCTGATAACACCTTTTATGGATATTGACAAAAATGTTTTCAAAGTAAACCAATATTGGGATTATTTGTTTTGATTCGATGAAAAGCAATGGCACTTAATTTGTTAGATAAGAAGTAATCGTTACTATGAAATGTTTTTTAAATGAATATTATGATTGTGAATTGCGTTTTTCCTTATAAAGTAAAAATGATAAAAATGTTTTTTTATCAATATGTCTGGCATTTTAACGTGTTTTGATTCACTATAAATGTTCCGTGACAGGAATCAATTTGTACTGGAAATAGGATTTCGGATTCTGCAAACTTAGATCAATATTTCCGGTTATGAGGGATTAACGTCATTTAGTACGAAATTTTAAACTTTGACAGGATTCCGGGAGTTACAGGTGGGTGAATTTGGTCAAGGTTTTATTACATTGCAGTCTCTGATTAAATAACTGCTTTCAGTGTAGTGATAAGCCTTGATCCCGTGTATTTAAAGCGTGATTTCGATGACTGTCGAAATTGGGAATTTATTTTCGTATTTTTGTAATCATGAATTGCAGGAGAAATTTTTGCCAAACATTTTTACGGTAATAAACACATTATGGGATTAGAGCAGAAGTTTTATTGTTATCATTGTTTAGCAATTCCAGAAATCACAAGCTACTGTTTGTTCCGATTAAATACATTTTGTGTTTTGTGCAAAACAACAATACTAGCAAGGCGGAAATTTGACTGTTTGCGCTCTTATTGATTATCAAAATTCCCCAAACATTCTCTCCGGAATGAAATGGAACGTGCGTAAAAGCACTAACTGCATGTGTGGTGAAACTCGGATTTATTACATAATGCAGATTAACATTTACGTTTGCGTCAATGACTTTTTTTTTACTAACGCGATTAAAATTTCGTGTAGTAGATGCTTGCATTGATTATTTTTCATAGAATTTGTCAAAAAACAATTTCTCTAATTCCACTTACTTATTGTATTTGATTATTAAGTGATCGTAAACATTGGAAAAAATGAAGTTCTCTATTAAATAATAATGTTATACAATTATTATCGAGAAGACGACAAATTCTTCAACCTTTAACCTATGGAATCGCTCAATGGCTTCAAGGAAAATACTAGAGTAGGTACATAATTAAATATTCATTGCCAGCTGAAGGCGGGTATTTGTTATTTATCTACGTTATTTTACGTTCGGGGGAATTTCAAAACAATCGAAAATGGGAAATTTTACTTTATGAAATGGAACGAATAATAAACGACTGTTGATTTGCTGGAATTGGTTCTTTCCCCTCACACTCTTATTATGCGGGAATGCAAATGCATATCAGAGTGGGTTTTTTGAACGTGTCTTGTATTTACCACAGCAACCTACCGATAATAATACCGATAACACCGATAATAATAATTGCTAATTGGAGTATTCCCTAATTAAAATTAGTTGAGTCTGAATGTCTACAATAAATTTATTATTATTATTTCTACATACACTTGTTGTGTTTTTGTAAGGAAATTTTAAATTAGATGGAAACTTTTGTTATTATTGCGTTCAGTGATTCATTTATAATTACCTAAAATCAAGGTTATTAACCCATTTATTGTTAGAAATGTTATGTAGAAGTATTGTACAATACAATAATATAACAAACTGAAATTTTAATAATATAAAAATTATAAGAAATATATAAATTTTGTAGATCTGGTATGTATATGAAAGTTTTGAATTAAGTACCTACTTATATTCGTATATCGATGTTGTTTTTCAATAATTGTATAGAAAATATGAAAATAATAAACCTAGAAATTACAGCTTCCTGAAAGCTTGTTATACCCCGTACTAAAAAATGTAGTTTTCCCTAAACAATATAAATGGTAACAGGATTGTCGATCGATATCCTTCTACTAACTCCGTCTCAGGTGTTTCTCCTAATCTAATTAAATCTTTCCACCTAGAATTTAAAACGCAAACAAAACAGCAATCTCTTTATCTAATTTTCAGAAACACAGGAACAGAAACTCGTCCTGAAATCCCCATCAGAAATCATATAATTTTGTGCGGGTTGAAAACAATCAATTTTTTTTAGAGCAACACGTTTGTTGTTGTTATATGTATATGCAGGTAACATACGACAGGTCAATGATACTAAAGTTGAGTGTTACTGATAAGTTTTGTATGACGTAAACAAATACTTTTAACGCTCGTCGTTCGTTATATTGTAATTGTATCACTTGTCATGTGTTGTAGATTTTATGTTAAAACTAAAACAAGTATTGGGAACAGGAAAGACGTCAATCGCGTTCCGTTTGCAGAAAGTGAATGTGTTAAATATTCATTGCGAAACAGAAATCTCATTTAAACATTTAACAAAAGGTACAAACTGAATTTCTGAGACATCATTATGTTTAACTAACCAGTATTGCAGACAATTAATTTCATCAGTATTGGAACATAGTGTTTTCATTATCGATTTTTTTATCTTCGTTAACTCCATTCTCAACATTGAGCATAATACATATACAATATACGAACAATAATGGACATATTCAAAAAAATAAACTTTATTGTAAGTAGGTAGGTATATATAAAATAAAAGTTATTGATTTAGAACAAAGTAATATTTATTCTTCCAGTTTCCTCTTCTTTGGGCTTTTAACTATCGCCACATAGTCCTCCAGCCTCACCACTTTACCCCCACTTACTACCCTCAAATTCCCAGACCTGACATTGGGATTAATAAACGGATTATGAAGTTCCGTGATCTGTGTTGACGAAGCCGCTGCTGAATCACCACTACTTCCCAACTTTCCAATCCAAAATTCGTTTCCTGGCAAAGCATTTCCATCCCAGGCATACGAGACAACGAGCAATTTCCCTTCATCTTGTCCTGTTAGTTTAGTGTGAGGTTCTCTTTTGCAAATATGAATCCTGATTCCTTTCAAGGGATGTCCTTCAATAGGAATGATATCCCCGTGTTTGTAACTCAAACAAGCATTATGTTGGATGTACGCAAAACAGATATCACTGACACTGTGGAGATGCTTCCCTAGAGCAACAATTCGCTGGCCACAAGAATCCATGAAAAGTTTGTTTTGACACGGGTGCTTTTTCCATACACCGAGACCAATGCCAACGACGTGAATGTAAGCCGTAGTATTTTTCGCGAAAGCTCGTTGGTTGGCTTCAGTAAATAGGGTGTCCATTGTGAAAATAAGACGTTTGTGGTAGAGGAGATTGTCCAAAAGTTCGCCATTTTTTAACACAGTGTAGCGACTTGAGTGGTTTTTTTTCTTCTCCAGTATTTCTCCATATTCCAAGCATTCTTCACCGTACAGTTTAGCAAAAAGATGATGAATTGTTGGAGTGTCCGTTTTTCCATAGCCTTTACTTTTGGTGTTTTGGGATTCAGTGATGACCAATTCCTGGTATTCCATCACCTCGTCTTTTACCAATCTTGGGCCTATTATCCCCATGATGATTCCTTCGTCTTGAATTCCACTTCTGTTTGTTTCATATTTGGCCATGTTTTTGCGGTCCCCAACATTGACATAATAAGTGAAAGAACTGACTGATAAAAAAGCCGAAAGTTTTATTTCCTCATAACTCAGACAGTTTTTCAAAACTAGAGGTTCTTTCTCCGTCAAAGTGCCGATCTTTTCCCAATTGCCTCTTCCTTTTTTCCCGTTAAGGAGAGTGTAACTGTCTTGTTTACCCATAAATGTTGCAGCACGTTTTGTCAATAATCTATCAACGAACTGTAAGAGATTTATATTGTTGTAGAAGACTCTTTCTAAAGAATTTCCATTCTTCCGTTTATGAAGAATGAATTGAACATAGAACTGAAAAATATTCTCGTGTAAAATGGGGTAGGCAGAATTTATGTTTCTTTCAAGGATGTTTTTATCCACATTTGTTTGTAAAGTTTTACATCTGTTTGAATCAACAGGGAATTTGAGGGCAAAGTTGTCACTTTTTTCTAATAATGTCGATAATGTTGTGGAGTTTTGTTTTGCAGTTTCAGACATTAAAAGTGACTTTTCTTCTTCCGACCATTCTGGAGTTCGTGGTGACCATGTATTTGACATTATGGGACCTGCAAACAATTTCATACATATTAACCGTTGTAATATTTTGATAAAATTTCAGCCAAATTCCCAATGCAAGTTTTTATTCATAAAGTTTTGCGTGAAATGATTTTTGGAAACTAATCTTAAAAAAATAAAAAAATGCACATTTAAAATATTGTTACATTCATTTACTTTAGTTTTTTAAGTAAAAAAAAAGATTACATTAGATTTCACAATAGTTAAAAATAGGTTATTTTTAGCACAAAAGTATTTTCATTATTATACAAATCTTATTAAATTAATTTAAATCAAACTTACTGATGTTTTAAACTAAATGAAAGAGATGTCTGCTTGCACCACACTTTTTTTAGTTGCGAGTAGTTTGAGTGGTGTTGATGGTGTATACGTGTGTGCGCAATTTTACAGGTTTAAATGTGGATCTGGAAAATCCAATATCGCGAAGTGAATAATCTGAGAGTATTGTTGGTGGTCTATCTACATAACGCTGAATAAAAATTAATTTCTGGGAATCGGGGACATAAAGATTGTGGCATTGACATTACAATACTCTGCAACTAGGTATATTGTAGAAAAATAATAATATTTAACTGACAAATACAGTGAGGTTTCATTCAATTTGATGCAAAAACTGAAAACATAAGTAATATTTTTTTGATATGTATAAGTATAGGTACTCGTACATCCACAAAAAGTGTGTTATGTACTGCTATAATGTATAGATATTAAATAATATTATACTTTTTCTTTGCTAATGAAATAACCTTAGTGAACTGTGTGTTATCCATTTAGTTAGTTAATTGCTTAAAACAGTTAAAATTTTGATTTGTCTTGATAGATACAAACACTACAAATTTAAAAAGGCCGAAATCCTTTCAAATTTTAGCTTTTTTTTAATATACTTTTAAAACAGGACAAAGTCTTTAAATTTTTATCTTTTTAAGTAGGACAAAATCCTTGAAATTTTAATTTTTAAAACATATTTTAATAGTTATAAAATCGTTAGCGTTATTAATTGCTATCAAACGTCAGTTTAACTGTTCATGTGACTAAATTAAACCAACCAGAAAACCAGATGCTCAAATTCATGGGCTAATCGCACATTAACATTTAACAACGAATTAATTTTTAATTCGCCTTCTATGAACTAACCCTATTAGTAATAAATAAAAGATTAATCAATCATTTCTGGGGAAAGAATTCAATATTATTGTAAATTCAAACAAATTATGTTACAAAAATTGTGGAATATCTACTCGAGCAAACTTAATCTTCCTTCCAGTTATTTAATTTCCTTTTTTACCTAGTTATTATGAAGTTTCTATTTGAAATTTTTTCTGAATTGATTTGATAGATGGGTACTGTATTTATCTATGAATAAATTACGTACCTCGTGGGTTTTGACTGTTTTATTTTCATTTAAGTAGGAGCTGGTCCACTTATAGACTACTAAACATAACAAATATTATTCTAGAGTCAAATTTACAAATGCAAAACTTTAGATTTCGTCACTCCCGTCCTTGAAGCGACAAAAATCATTATCCAAATTACCACCCAATATAAATAATTGCCAGTATTAGAAACTAGGATTTCTTAATCGCATTCCAAAAGCTGCCCAATACATATTAATTTCCTCTTCCTTAAAATTTCATTGATTCTTAACCGAATTTCCGAACCTCTTATCCCCACTTGTTATTTTGTAATTGTTTAATCGTAGTGGACCTCACACTCCTCTCAGCTCAACAGGTGAGGTGAACCCCTCTCCACGTCGATATCACCTTCTTCAAGTAAAATTTCTCGATACAACTAGTACCGACTTAGAAAGTGTTTGAATCGTACTTGCGCGGAAAGACAGCGCGTTGTGGTGACTTCAACGAGTGGTCTAGTGGGATTTTCTTGTTACTGCGGCAGGTATGTGTGCTCTTTCGCCCAAAATTTTGCCACCAACACCGATTTGACCCTTATTTCGGGGATGACGCACATGGCGAATAACACGGAGGAATGTAGATTCAGAGTTTGAGTTACCTCCATTGACCAGTTGACCTTCGCCGGTTAATATTGGACCGAGTCACCTACCTTCAAAAGACCTCGTCATTCCGATGAAGATTTATTGCATATTTGCGCTTCAATTGCGCAATTTCGAGTAAACAATTTGTTAAAAGAGAGAAAGTATCGCGGATTGCGAAGATGCTGAACTCGTGGCGCAATTTTGGACCACCTATATCGAATTTTTCAAAAACAATCAGTGTGTGTATAGTCCACTTTTTTTCTGCAAAGAGAAATGCGTAATCGCCGAAGCGTTGCCAACGTAATACTTTATGTTGTTATCTCCAAATGCAGGAATTTACTTCCTTTCCTAATTGTTATACAAAGTTGAAATCAGGTACATATTAATCTGATTTTTTCATCAACAAGCTCCATTTTTTTTTAAGTTTTGTGCTAATTCGAAAAATCTCGGGCAAATTACAACCCAACACCATTCAGGCAGTGATAAGATCAGGATTCACAACAATTAGATACATTCTTGCAGTTTTCACTCAATCTTCATTGTTCCATTGAAACCATTCATGATATTGCACCGATCACTTATTCTTACCTACTTTTAATTTCTTCTGAATCTCGGGATTGCATAGCTTTGGGTCAGAGAGCATTGCACACGACTTTTAACGTCTTACTGATTGTTGTTTATTCATTAAACATTCATGGTTTTTCTCTTTAAACCACAGGAAGTGTCTGTTGTATCAGTCTACGGTATCTCAACCTTACACACACATATCTTACTCTTCATTCATGAGAATTCGCCGTAAACATTATCGGATGAATAATTTAGAAAAGTATATGAGAAAGTGTGTAATTTCTAATTAATCTCGTGTAGTGTCGGAAACAAAAATTTAGTTTTAATAGGGTTATTAACCGTTGCAAATTTTTTAATCAGTCGTGTAGAGAAATTTCAGCGAGAAATTCCACCATGAAGTACTTAATATATGACAGGATTTTGACTTAACGGTATTTGAGAGGAGCCGCACATCGCAATTAGCTTTATGTACCGACTGTTAACGATGATAATTGCTGGGTAATTAGTCCGTTTTTGAATTATCTTGTGCAAAATATTAGTTTTCTACGTGAGACAGAATGAAGAATGCACACCACAAATCACCGCTTCTGGTATAATGCATCTGCATTACAATGTTCAAATTCACTCAAGTGAATCGAAACCTGGCAAAAAGTATATTGTTTAAGACACTTACTGAATATACAGAAAATTGTAAAACTGTACTTTTTTATACTGTTTCTGATTATAGCAACATTTATTACACTGTTCTACAAAACACTATTCAGTGATTCACTAATTTGTTGCTTGTTGATTTTTATCACATTTAGCATTGTTTTAATGTTTATTATTGTTTTCAAATTTTGTACAAATGAATTTGATGGAGTGTTGGAACATTTCATTATTATTCTTGGGTTAACTATTGAGGTGTTAATTTTTATTTTAAATAAAGAATCTTCAACAAAGTGCGCTTTTAAGAATGTTGTGTTAAAGATATCACAGAAAATGAAAGTTTTTCACATATAGTTGTCAACGTAGTACAAGCCAGTGATCATAATAGGATATTGCTTCTTCCTTTGGATATTCTCACCAATTAAGTGAATACTAGTTCGTCATACGTTTAAACACTTTCACATATTTATGCTAAATTTGGTTATTGTTTAAGCTACAATTTAATTGTTTCTGGTGATAAATGCGAGTGGAATATTAGAAAATTATGCTTGGCAAAATTACAGAATATATTCATTGTTGAATTTTAATTGTAAATGTGTTTCGAGCAACTAAAGGAAATTTGTGAAATCGGCTCCCTTTTCCTTGTGTGGATCCTGTCATTGTCATTTACTTTTTACCATAATCAAAACTGTGAAAAAATTCAATTAAAAATTATGTGAAGTCATCGAAATCTTCTTTTTTGATGATTTGATGATGTCAAGATGTATGTACTTAAGATTATAAAACTCTGATGTCATTCGGCTTTGGAAGAACCGCATTCTTTTAATTTACCATTCCATTTTTTTATTAAAATATGTTGTTTTTCCTTTAAATCATTTAATTACGTTATTAATTTATTCAAAACCGCAGTTTGAAAACTTGTCTATCAACAATTATATTACATATTTGTATTTTTTGCTCATAAACTTAATTAGTTGTGTTTGTGTATTATCAGATTACATAATTCTAAATTATTTCTTGATGTATAAAACAAATACCGTTAAGAAAACTCGATATTTTCTCAGTAATACCTTTTTCCAGAAGTAAGATTTTTAAATTAACTTCCAGGGGCCGGACAGCATTGCCCATATACACGAACATTTCTCGAAACTTCCGAGGTTTTAAAGTTCCATAATTACTTAGTAAATTTTGATTTATTGATTAGTTTTTATAGATTACTTCGAATAAAGATCTTGCTTCAAATATCTAACTAGCCACCGCAGCTTATTGATAAACTCTTTTTGGAATAAAGCGATAAAGCAACGATGATTTCGTAGAAAACCAAAGTGACAGTTTTGTTGTTTTCATTATTTTCGTTTTTATAACAACCTACTTATTATTGTTAGTGTTTATTTTCTTGTATTGTAGTTAATGTACTCATGATGCTAGAGAAAGTCAAAAAACGATTTTTTCAATTTCAATATTTATTCAGGATGCATTTCTACGAAAAATGTTTTTCCGTTAATTAAATTTGTGAAACTTAAGTTCCTTATTTCTTTCAAAAATTTGTGTTTTAAACATACAAGAGAAATGAAAAAATAACTTTTGATGTGTTTAGATTTTTTTCTTTATAACTACATGTTATAAAAACAAATTTTTGCATTTGAAGCTGACCTTCATATTTATTCATTGATTTTTGATCTTTCAAGAGTAAAATAAATGAAAAAGTACTAACTGAAAATATAACAGAAATATTCTATTCACACGTAGATATCTTATATGTAGGTATGTATGTATTGTCATTCAGTTTTGTCAAGGATAAAATTTATTGTCTCAGGTGTTTTACATTTTCTCATGAACAAGTTCAGTACATATTTAATATATTATTATTGTGTTGTTGTAGAAATACTGAAAATCAAAGACATATCATATAATAGATATACGCTGTTGCCATACGAAGATGGCTTTTACATGCCAATAAAATTTGCTGTGATTTTATTAGAGGTCAATAAACCGGCATTGACTTCTTGGTCGAACATTTGCTCATTTGTCAATAGATTCTCGTCAGCCTAAAGCTATAACATATTTGGAGACATTCCATTTTCATACATAGTTATAGTTATAGTTTTGCCATTTTTTTTACCTACTTTGCAGACGATCACTTAAAAAAATACTATTTTATTCATTTTGGCAGATATAGTTGAATGGCACCTGCTTGGGCACCTACAAATTCCTGCGCATTAACGGTACCTTTACCGCACCATCGCCATACCACAGATGTGAAATGGTTCTTTAACTCTATAACGTTTCAGCATTGATTCACGAGATATGAGATAATTCAGACGAAGAAGTCGAACTTCCGCATTACCAACCTCAACAATTTGCGCTCGCGCTCCTTGTAAAACAATGTGACTTTCACTCATACTTCTAGAATCTGAATTGTTTCAGTTTTTCAGATGTGTTCAAGCCGTGCCTAAAATATCTTCTAATGACAACATGAATTCCACAATTTATTAAGTTCAGGTTGCACTCGAAAAGCATTTAAAAACTGGTTTCTTGCTCGATAATCTTGATATACCCAAAGGTGAAAAATAAATCGGTGAAATGCATGCAAAGTTGTCGTACGAATATACACTCTACATAATGCAATAATTGACTACCTGCGACTTAATAAGGCTGTAAGCACTTCCGTTACTGCTAAATCTATACCTCGTACGCACATAAAACTTGATTTACTGCTCCTCCCATGTAAGGAGCGTTTCTTTTGTTGAACATTTCTGTTTTTAGTGAGAGTCGGTATGTGGTTATCTCGCAAAAGTGGAAATAACTTTTCTATTAATACGGCTTCAGGTTTGTTTCATTCATGACGTGGCATTTAAACGCTCCAAATACAAATCGCAAGAGAAAATTATTTATATCGACTCTCTAGACTTTGAAAAGTAAAATCAGACCTAGTAAAAAGTACACTTGATGTGTAGAAATCTCATTTTTTCCAAAAAGGATCGCGAGCTTTCGAGTGAATTTTCCCATTTACAAAGATTCTTCCATTTAATTTTATGTTAAACTAACTAACAATAAATATGATAGCTTACACAAGACAAATTGGTAGCATTGTAGGAAGTAGGTATGGCATTGGGTGAAAAAAATTCGAGGTTGTGATGTCTAGTCGGGTGGAAATGACAAAAACTACGATTTTCAATAGTAATATTACAAACAATTTTGACGCTTAAAAAATATTTCCACTGGAAGAAATATTATTTATTGCAATGAAGAAGTTTTCTAAAACGTTTAAATACTCCCATTATTTAGTAAAAATTACATTGAAAGATGATTTGCAAACTACTGTTTTAATAATAGCTCTAAATAATAGCTATTTATGCAACAAGTTGCAAAATGAGCGTGTTTTTCACTAAACGTGAAGATTTGTGCAAAAAACAGCCATTTTGCATCGTGTTTCAAACAATATTTTTTTCCAATTACCTAGGTTGTGAAAAACATAGGCATCAAATTCGAATTTTAAATCTGTGATTCGTTGCGTTGCTATGAAAATAGTGTTATTTTTAGCCTATTTTAACACTGGTGATAAAATAATGTCATATTTTATATCTAGTGATAAAATTAAAACATTTGACAACTAAAATGACATCACAGTGGTTGCTTTTCACAACCAAATTAAAAAAAAAATATTACCAGCTGTTAAGAAGTTTTGCTCGTGTTATTGAAAAATTAAAGTTTGGATAGAATATGCTATTCTAATAAAAGACTTGCATAGGTACTATACTTTTTCTACGACTTAACTTTAGAAACAGTTTGAACCAAAAATTTGTATTTGTCAAGATAGTGTTACTTGTGACAATTCGAACACTACATAGTGTAAGAATATTTTTGCACAGTTTTAAAGAATATGAATATTTCTACAAAAAAGTTATAGAATTTTTTTATTATAAATCCTAGTCAATAAGTAAAAAAATGACAGATAAAAAAGCAGTAACTTCTCAAATTACAGACACAATAAGTTGGTTATTTTCACGTTAGGATAAAAACGGACAAACATTTAATGCGAGTATTAAAAGCAATGACATGTTAAACATGTGTTACATTGACACCTTTCCTCATATCTTACTTCCAATTCGTAAAAATTTTACCATTTCCTTGAAATATTCCGTCCACTATGTAAATTAGTTTAACGACGTAAAATCAGATAATTCGACCAATACGAAACGTTATCGTCATGAGATCACTATTCGTAATTAGTCGAAAATCCCCTTCAAAAAATATGTTCCTTGATTTCTGGCTTTTACCAAATTTTCCGAATTTTCGGCGCACCTATCCACTTTTCCAAGGAAGTTCTTGGTCTTCCCCCATCCCAAACCCAACAAGTCACCAATTCCGTCACGTCCCGGTCCTCGAGGCGGAACTTTCGTACAAGAAGAGAAATCGCGGTCGGCCGCCTTCCGGCGCTCCTCCACATGAAAATGCATGTAAGGTGCTGATGATCAGTCCCCCAGCAATTATCTAACGCGACCCTGATGGAATCTGGTGACGAAACATCTCACGCATGTACAAGATAAAAGTACACAGCGTGTCATTATGAAATGAACTTTCGCTACCCGTCGCCGCCTTTTCAGTCAACTTGCTGGCCCAGATGTTGTAAATGACGGTAACAGTTTCAAGTTTTCAATGCTCAAACTCGACAATGACGAGATGATGTCTAAAGACGAGAAAAATCCTGCCACCTGTGAGAGTAACGTCACAAATTGGTGCTCTCACAGCATTGCGACACTTCCAGATTTTCCAACTGTCCTGCATAATTGGTCGTTACGCAAATCGGGTCGCTTTTAATGAATGAATTATGAGAAATTATTTTTAATTAGATTAATCAGCGACACGAATTTCCAAGCAAAGTCAAGAAACTCGCAATTGATTTAAATTGTGGCAATCGCATTTAATTCGATCCGCTCTACCTCGTCTCTATCTGTTACAATCGAAATTCTTGAGTTGGAAAATCGGCAAAAAGCCAATAACATGTATCAAAGAACACCTAAGCAGTAGAAAATCGCCAAGTTGCGAAACCCCTTGCATAAGATACTTTAGACAATTAATTGGAAATCTTTTGCTATTCCTCTTGCTAAACAATGAACACACCCAATTCTTATCCTTTTTGAATTCTAATTTGGCCAATGGGAGGTGTTTCCACATTCATTATCACAACATTCTGCATTTTTATATAAAAGAACAAGGTCGTGAAACCTTGTGTCCTCTTTCTCTACTTAATTTTCAAAACAAGATTTTTTACAGGTATCACCAGTTATGTTTCTTCCGTGTTCAGCTTCGTGAAAAATGAGACCAAAGGCGTCCCTGCCAATTCTTCTTCTTGTGGGTGTCGTCTTTTTGGCGTCTTCTGCAGAAGGACATGTGGCACTTACGTTTCCGCCGGCCCGAAAATATGATCTCGACTTCTTAGACAGCTCTAGAACGAAAGCACCGTGTGGAATGCCTAAAGGTAAACCAATTAATTTTATAACATTGTTACATAAGAATTCGTTTTGACGCCTTAACTGTCTTCAAACGAGCCAATTTGTGTGAATCTTCTGAATGCAGATTTTCTCATAAATTCATCATTAGCTAAACACAATGTTTGTTTATAGCACTAGCGAGTTCATTGTTTATTATATTTTTAAGTAATTATTTATTTTGCGAAATGTATTATTTTTGCCTTTTAGCAAAATATAACAGGGTTTTACCCAACAGTGTTATTTATCAGTTAGTGACCTATATTTTCGAAAATTTATTATCACAAAGGTATCACAAATCAAGAGATGTAATAAAAAGCTTCTGCTCTTAAATATTATGTAATAATTTTCATTACATCCAAATCTAGAATCTTCAACTGGTCAATGAGAACAAGTGAGAGGACATCAAACATATTAATAATGTATCTAGTTAAGCTTTGATTATCTGATAATTGCGGTTGAAAAATGATTTGATTAACGAAACGTTATTTAAATATAGTTTTGATCCTTTCTAATCCAATATTTCAGAGGATTAAATCATCGCATTTATTGCCTACAATTTACATAAGTGAGTTTGTTTAAAATAATGAAAAATTGCAAATTAGGTGAAAGAAAACTCTTATATACATGTTTGTGCTTCGATATTGTTTGAAGTTTGTCCAACAAATGTTGAATGAACGTTTACTAAAGTTACACTAATTGAATAATTTTCAACTTACTGTCAATAAAACTTGTTGGAATTTCGGTACGTGAATATTTTACTGATAAAACCGTTTTTGCATTTTCATTTAAATTGCAAATTGCAACGCTTTTAGCCAATTTGCATACACTGCCCAAATATTTATTTTCAAGAATATTCACCGTGAAAAATTTAGAGAAAGTTCAGTTTGCACAATGTATATGGCTCATAGCCTCCAAAAAAAATGTAAACAAAACAAAATTGACAAGTTGTTTCACTGAAGGTTAATAAGTTTAGTAAACTTTTAATTATTGATTTTATGTTTGGTTTTAAGTGGATGTTACAGCAAGGGGGCAACAATTCGAAATTGTTTAATTTTTCATGAAAATCACGTACGGAAACTTGTACTATATAGTCATTTTATTCAGGTTACGTATAGCTGACATGTTCCTCGATATAAGCCATTTATTTTTTAAACGCATTATTAAGAGTAATGTAGTTTTCTAAGGCGGACGTAATAAAATTGTTATGTGTCTACAGCAAGTAATAATGACATAACTTTGGGAGAAAGGAGAAAATGTTAACAATAAATCTGCGAATTAAATTGTTCACATTATAAAAAAATTAAATAACAGAAAAGGTTATTATAAGAATTTTATTCTTATTGTTTTACGTTTTTAGCTTTTTTAGAAATTAAAAGTTGTCATTGTTTAACTTAGTGTATAAAAAAGATAAAATCTTCAATCAAGGAAGGATAAATAAAATAATAGAAAAGTTTAATACTATATTAGAAAACTTGTTTTTTTTTTTTTAGGTAATTTTGTCATTAAAACTTACCAAATACTAATCTAACAAAAATTCAAGGACGAAATCTTGTTGTATTTTTTTGCAACAAATTGGCCATCTTTAATTGTGACTTTATAGGATACAATGGGTCAAGTGAAAAATTATTTGGTTTCAGTAATCATTTAAAAATTATTTTAGTAATTTCTGCGGTCGAGGTAAGGTTTGATTGAAACTCACTATGAAAGTTAATTTTATGTTACGTAATAAAAATTGGAAATTAATAGGTATTACTACAAATATTTGTGTAATTTGTTTCACTCCTCATTTTTACTAATGGTTGTAAAAGAGACTTGATATTTGTCTGTTTGTGTTCTCTGTGGGTACAATTAAGCAGGCACTCGCAAAGTGTGTAATTATTTTCATTTTTAAGGACTTTAAACAAACACAAAGTACCAATTACAATTAAATAATTAAATTAGGAGTGCCTTTTTCCTACTTTCTCTTGGTTAAATACAGATGTCTAGCACGACAGATTCGTTTATTTGCTAAGTAATTTATCGATGATAGTAATCATTATTATAAAACATGACAAAATATTAAAAATGATTCTGCATGTAAAAAATAGAAGTAAAGTCATTATTCTGAAGTCATCAACCAGAGGCTGCAGACATAAATCAAGTCTAGAATACAATATGTAGTAAAATGATAATTTAAATATACCTCTCATACTATGGAATTTTCTCCATTTTACAGTAATGTGAGTTTATGGGTGCAGCTTATCGTGATATTTCACAATACAATAATTCACGGGATTCCAAATGCGATTTTTTGCTAAAAATTAGTTTTTACATAAATAAATCTGACGCATGCACTGTTACTTAAGGCAGCAATAATGCTAATTTTTCACATTCCGAATAAGTACACAGAGTACATGCACCGCCATAATGATTCAATCCGGAATTCAAGGCCAGTTAATGATGCTATAGCTGTGCTATAATGCTTGCCGGAGGTGGGCGTCTTGCGTTCCTGAAGCCGGATTCAGACTCACACTCATCAGTCCAGTGGGTTTGCAGAGGGTTGTCCCAAAATAATGCATTTAGAAATCGACAAACACATTGCGTTTATTTCACAACAAATGAGCAGGAATTTCATAAATTATTTATAGGGGGATTATATAGGCAAATCTTGCGCATCAGAGGCGGCTAATGATTAATTCAAGTTTATTGAACACAATGCAAACATTATCATATAAGAATTTTTTTCATTGGAATTACTTATGTGTTTTATTGCAAGGCTTATGTATGACCTCCATCTTGGATGAATTTTCATCTTGGGAGGGAAAACGGCGAAGGTAATAGCAAGTCACGAACCATGCATTATTACTGTAAATAATTGTTATTCAACTTAGAAGTCACTTTAAAACGGAATAATTACCACGTGGTAATATTTTGCGCATTGGCTGTAATTTAACACACAATTTCTACCCAAACACCAAACACTATGCGTTTCGACCACAAAGTAGTTATCCTCAGATGAGAATTAATTCGCCAAGACATCTAGAGGTCCAGAAGAAAATAAAAATATAAATTGTCATGTAAAAAAATTATAAACGAAAATAATTTATGTGTAAAACAACTCTTTAACTAATTAAAATAAATGGTGTAAACGTCATTCAAAAACTTAATATTGTTATTTTTTTGCAGGCAACATTAAAACCTCCTTTCTGAGTGGTGGCAAATTTAATGTGTCGTGGCATTTAGGATATCCTCATCGGGTAGGCCTCCTCTCAAATAAAAATGTAAAGATTCTAATCGTTGTTTTTAGGGCGGGTTTAAAATCCAACTTCTAGATCACCTCGAGAGACCAATTTTAGATTTAACTCCCACAATTCAAGGGTCGGAATTTGTTTCAAGTGATGCGACGTAAGTAAACTACGTTTTCTTGTTGCAAGTTTTTAATTATAAGTTCTTGGAGAATAGGGCCCAATCCTTCCAAGTGCAACTACCAAAAGACTTTACTTGTCTGAATTGTACATTAAGGTTAATCAGACAGGCGTTGGAATGGGGCGCCGATTACAAATTTTGGTCGTGTGCCGACGTCGACATAAAAACAAGTAAAATTTTCCGCTTTTGTGTATCGCTGTATTTTACATAATTTTCTTCAGGAAAAGACTTTAGGGAAGTGTGCAGCAATCACGGAAGGTACCTTTTAGGGAGGTGCAAATGTGACAGGCTTTATTATGGCACCTTTTGCGAATTTCGCGATGAATGTTTAGAGGACAGCGACTGCGGAAGTCACGGAAAGTGTGTAGATGTTCAAGCAACAACAGCCCCTCGAATGCAGTGTTATTGCCAGTTAGGCTGGTTCGGGCCCGGATGTAACAAACGTGAGTTGTTTGCTTATGACTAACACCTTTTCAAGATTATGAGTAAATAAAATTACAGGTTCTGCCGTTAAAAACACTGAAATTGATTTCGAATCGTACACTCATCGGAAGCTTAGCGATACCTTCAGATTGTACTGGAGGATTCTTAAAGAACACAAGGAAATTGAAGTTGTTATGGTCGTCAATGGAACCAGTTATGTTGGTCTTGGCTGGCGACCCCAATCTTTAACCAAATCTTGCAAAAATTTCCCTTTAATTGGAGTGACCGAATCACCGGTCACCGAAAGTAAAGCCGAACCGGAACCGGAAGCTAAAAGTGAACCGGAGCCCGAACCTACAAGTGAACCAGAGCCAACAAGCGAACCTGAACCCACCAGTGAACCCGAACCCACGAGCGAACCCGGGACGGAACCAGAACCCACCACCACAAAATACAAATCTAAAAAATCGCAATATTCCAGACGTTCGGCAATTCCACCACTGCAGAAAATTCACCCTAATGCTGACGTCGTTGAGACAAGTGTGTCGTTCCAGGTTAGCAAAAAGCAAGGTACGTGTGCTTGGTTGCAGTAAAACATTAACTTAGTTGCGCGGTTATTGCAGGACGAAGCCGACGAGAAGTCAGCGGTAAGTTAATTTTCTTCTTATTAACGCACTATCCGCGGTTAGTATGGCACTTAATCGAGGTGGCCGGTCTTATTTCCTTGTAGAACCTGTAGCGGAACCGGAAGCAGAACCAGAACCAACCACCGCTGAACCTAAGTCAGAACCAGAACCAGAGCCTAAATCTGAACCCGAACCTGAACCCACGTCAGAACCCGAACCTAAATTAGAACCCGCTCCTGAACCTAAGTCGGAACCGGAACCTGAACCCAAGTCAGAGCCAGAACCAAAACCAGAACCTAAATCTGAACCAGAACCTGAACCCAAATCGGAACCTAACCCTGAACCGCACTTAGAATCGGTTAAAGCTCACCCCAAACTACAAGTAGCACCCACTGGAAAGAAAGGTAAAGGCCTGTACATAAGAAGGTAGATAACTTTAAATAACTTTAAGTAGACTTAAGTATTAACTATTTCAGTAGAATATACTATATGCTGTAGTAATTTTTCCATTTCTTATTAACTGAATCTAGATTGGATTACAAGAACGTTTCTAATTATTTTTTTATTAACACCTGTAGATACTTTAAATCCATACACCCCTCGTCACGATTTTAACCCCATGGACTGTACCGACATTGTCATCGGTTCAGCTCGAGGAACAGCCAGTAGAATCGCCGATTATTACACTCGTGACAGGTCAACTCCCAGAAAAGACAACTTCTGGGGCGGCAAGAACGACTTAACTGCTGCCATGGGCTTCGAAAAAGATGGAATTACCACAATCGTCTTCCGAAAAAAACTACAAGCAATCGAACCAACAGACCATAGCATCGAAGACAAAATAATGCATGTCATTTTTGCCCAAGGACAAGAACCAGGGAAATACGTCCATGTCCCCAAATCCGGAGTGGAGACAGCAAAAGCATCTGTGAAAGATTTCTATAAACCTGACGAACTCAAATATCACGGACACAGATCCCAAAGAGGAGTTTCTACAATAAATTTTTTTGGTAATTAAACTACAAACTCATAATAAATCAATTTTATTGAACTGTATTCAGATGAGAAAAAGGCAATCCCTGTTGGCGGGTCACCTCTCCCAATCGAGTCAGGAGCCAATCAGACGGCGAGTCAAGGAATGAACCCGTCAGAATGTGGGGGAGAGTGGAGGTACCCTCGCAATTGCGACACTCTGAACAACACTTGTGAATACACAGCCAAGTGGGAAGTCCAGAGAAAAGACGAAATTCGGTTCACGATAACCACGAGTCATACTGACCTTTGGACGGGAATAGCGTTTTCGAATGATGAAAAAATGGTATGTCTTTGGTGGAAATTTTAAAATTTCTGTTAAATAAAGAATGTTAGAGTCAAACTGATGCAATCCTGGGATGGGTGGACAAGACCGGCCGACCTTTCCTGATGGACACCTGGATAAGTGGATACACCCAGCCATTCCTGGACAGTTCCCAAGGGATTTACAACAGTGAAGGACGCATAGTTGATGGGGTCACCACATTGTCGTTCACCAGAAAACGTATTTCAAACGACCCCAAAGACTTGTCTTTCACCGATGACCACTGCCTCTTCATGATGTTCCCGGTCAAAGGAGGTATCTTCAACAGTGTTAATAAAAAGATCCGGAAGCATGAAGCAGTTCCAGTCATTTCTTTGGAAAGAATTTGTATCAAGTCTTGCGGAAGTGGTAAAAAACACAACTCGAATGTTACAATATGTCATTGTTTTATTTTGTAGATGACGATGTTGTGACAACTACGGAAGCACCAGGTTTGAGCTACAACGTTGCTGTTAAAATTGTGGAATTGGGAGAGAATTTCATTATCCCCAAACCGGGCTCGCTGCAATATGATGATTTGTCTAATAGTATCAGCGATAATTTTAAACCGATATTTATGAAGATGCCAGGGTTTAGACGAGCCGTAATCGAGGATTTAAAAGAGTAGGTTAGAGGGGACTAGTAATGGAAAAGTGTTAATTGGTAATTTTAGGGAAGGTAATGATTTGGTTGCCACAATGAACGTCCAACTTGACAAAGCAATGGCCGAAAAAGGCCGTTCTTTATCAGACAGCCCCGAGTCTAACGACGAACAAGTTCACAAAATCCTGCAAGAAAGTGTAGGAAGCGGAAAAGTTGGTAATCTCAAAGTAGATCCAGCTTATTTAGTTTTTGAGCCTCAAAGCTGTAAGTCGGAATATTTGTCTCCTCACAACCTTTAATTTGAATTTGCAGTGACTTCAAACATCATCCAAGGTAGTTCTTCTAGAGAAGACAACAGTTTCTTCAATTTATCCGAAGCCAAGTTGTATATAGTTTTAGGCTGCATTGCAGCTTTGGTTCTAGTCGCTATAGTTCAGGCTAGTTGCACAATTTATAAAGCCGCCAGCAGAAGTTCGTCGAGTCATAAGGTAACATCACTGTGAGATCCCCACAGAGGGCAAGTAGGTTCATAACATTTTTGTTGTCTAATGCTTGAATGCTTAGTGTCAATAGCGGGGTAAAAGTTTCGCAAATAACATTGTCGCACGTGCCATGTTGATACCACAAGATAACTGGGAAAGTTCTGGGAAACATTAGACCGGCAAGAATGTGGTGAATTTGAAGCTTAGTCAATAAAAAAGTTGAAGGATTTTTAGAAATATATATTATGGCTGAAAAAACTTGTATTTTGGTTGATTCACAAAAGATATTGTTCTGGCTGTAATCTTATATTTTAAATAAATTAAAGTTTAAATAGAATAATCTATTAAAACATCAAAATCATCATCTAAAAATCTAAAAGATTTGACAAAATATAAAAAGACAAATACTGCTAAAAATGAGTATAATTTTAATAAATTGCGAATTTTAACCGATATATTCCGAAATATGCGTTTTTAGGTATCTAACAATTTTAAATGAACAAAATCAAATTAATTGAATCGCAATTTATAGTGTTTTAATATTTCTAAAAGTGTCTTTCTGGACTGGCGAAGGTGCAACTGCAATAATGTTTGTGTGCTTGTTGGTAGAGGGTATACAGTGTGCAGCTCGACCCCATATATTACCAGGGTGCATACCAAGGTCGCGAGACATTGCCCCACTGGGCTGTGGCCACCATCGAGCGCTCTAGGCACTGGTAGCCCTAGTCAGGGCCTAGTGGGGTGAGTTTTGTCAATTTGGTATAGCACGTTTTGCATTTGCACCAGGGGTCCGGTTTCGGTTCAAAACTCCTCAACCTCGAATCAAATCCCTAATTTCGACTTCTTCCAGGACCGTTTGATACCAAACTCTGCATGGAAAGACTACTCTGCCGCCAACACAAATTACGCATTCGACGCTTTCGAAGCCGAAGAGAAGAAACAGCAAATGAACGGCAAAGGACGCAGCGATACTCTCCCTCCGAAGAGTAACAATCGCATTCAGAGGCCTCAAGGCCGGCCCCCGTCCGTCCCTCCTCAGAACGCGAGTAATTACATGGGCGACACGAGGTCCTTGCAGCGGCCCAAAGGGGCCTATCCTGGTAATCTAGAAAGGACGACTTTCTCACTGCCAAGGACGACGTACGATAGACAGAGACCGATGCCGGACATGCAGCCAGACTTTTATTTTATGCCGTCCCAGAGGAAGTATTCGGGAGAAGTGGTTAGGGTCTACGTCGACTACAATAACCAGCCCAAGTGACTACGGGGCTGGGTCACGTCACGGGACGTGGGGCGATTTTTCAGTACCTTGAGTCTTAGATTTTAACGGTTTTAATTATTGAATTTTAAGCTGATTGCGTAATTTATTTTTGTACATATGGCGTATTTATTGTATTATAACTTATTCAAAGTCGCAGCCATTTGTACGAAAAATAAGCGTGGGGTAATTTTTCTGTGCGGAATGTATCCACTTAAATACTCAACCAAAGTTAGGTACAGCTACAGTAAGGTTTAGGCTATTGTATATTGTAAATTTCCAGGGCACCCCATAAGTGTTTTAGTTGTTATTTTTTAGAAGTTTAGCGCTGCAGGACTGGATACCCAACACAGAGCTTCAACTTTTATTTTGTGTCGCTTGTTGTAAATATTTACAATACTAAATAGATTTAAAACACTTAGTTAAGTGAATTCGCCCTAAGTCATGTTTAGTTTTAAATGAGTCAATTTTTATACGATTGTGCGGTGTGACACAAAGTAAAAGTGGAATAACAAATTACAATTTTAGAAACTTTTATATGTATATAAATCACATATCGAAAATTTATAGCAACAATAAAAAAAAGAGTATTACTTTTATCGAACACGTTTCTATTGACCTTCAATCACTTTCCACTTCAGTTGATCTCATTCTGTTTGAAAATGGTAATTTTTCTTGCCAAGTAGGCCAAGAATTTTTTAATTCATCAAATTAAAACTAGGTCGTAGTCTTTAACGGTACTGTTGATAATTAATATTCCATAATTTGTAAGTAAAACCGTTTATTACGAAAATAAATCGATTTATTATCCGTTCTGTACACAAAAACTCTTATATCTAAATATTTGGTATAAATATGGTAAAGATATGACGTTCGTGATTAAAACAAGAGATAAATTTTTCGATGAGAATATGGAATGTCAATGAGTAATTAATATAAATATGCAAAAACCAAATAAATAAAAATGGGACGGTTCTATGAGGTGTTCAATCCCAAATTTGATACATTACACAGGCTTGATGATGACTACTATATAAACAGAGTCGTTTGACTATTTTGTTTCATAAATAGCACCTACAGAAGTAACCTAGATATCACTAATCTCACGGTAACCAGATTTAACTAAACTTAAATCGTTAGAGCTTAAGGAGAGACAAAATTACAGCCGTTTTGAAACCGCTGATTAAAATAATTTGGCACAAGTAACCACATTAAGGCACTTGATTTTGCAAATATGATATTTGGACAGTCTCTTAATTATTTTAATCAGCCTAACACAATTTTAAGTTAACACGTGTCCATTTATAGGTACTGATTCAGGGTCTAACAATTCATCATCTCCTGAAAGCAGAATATCACTTTCCGAATCGCGTCTTCTAATTTTTTTCTTAATTGTTCTGTACTTGACTTTAGTTCGCGCCAAAAGAGTATTTTCAGCACTCGTCCTTCTCGCACGTCTTTTAGTGTGACTTTTATGCATAAGAAAGTTATCAGTGACCCAAAACATCAACATCTGTAAACATTAAAATTTATAAGCAATCATCTTGATGACAAAACTTACGTTTACGAAAAACGGTATGATGAGCATAACAAATGCTAGTTCCACCTTGGGATTATCAATAGGCGATAAAATAAAATCTTTAACGCCATCCCAAAAATCAAGCTGCATAAATAATGTTATTGACACTTTAACAATGGCCATAAGGCCCACATAAAGACAACACTGCGCCATCCACGCATTTGCCGACGGTGGCTTTCCATACTCCCCAAAATTAATCGCCTCCCAACCTTTCCTTTTCGATAAATGTTGACTTAAACGAATTCCTATGAATATAATAAACAACCCCAAGGAGGAATCCAAGAGGAAATTTATCAAGTACCAAGTACATGGATCGCCTAAGTATTGTCCTGCGAGCCATACATTGGCCAGATGTATAGCCATAGCCCCCATACCTTGCTTTGAGGTGTCATAGAACCAAATTAACCAAGAACGGCGTTCACTTCGTGGCTCACAAAACCTTTTAGCTGAAAATTTCTGTAAGAGGGTTTATAGGTGAAAAGTGACAGTTACCTATGAGACAGGTGAAGGCTAAACAGGCTAATAACACTTGAAGAAACCATCCGAAAACGTCAGTTAAGGCATCTTTGCTGCAATGCAAGCCCCCTTGCGAGGCTTTTAGCACGTTTTCTGAAGAATTCATAGCACTAGAAACACTTTACTATCTATTATCAATTATCATTCTTAGTTTTTAGGAACGTTTAATTAGATTTATATAGACTTCGAACATTTACTATAAACATGACAATACAATGACAGTTGACAGCAGTGACAGTGGCAGTGACGTATTTGGAAGTGCCTAATGCTACATGTAGAAAGTGAACAATTTTTGTTGTTTTATATGTAATTCAATAGTACTTTGACATCTTTTATGAAATAATTTTATAAAATGTAATAATGTGTGTTTTTTGTTATTTTGTTATTTTTAATTTTGAAACATTTTTGGTTTGAATTTGTTGCTGCGGCACTGCAGCCACTTCCTCTTTGAAATAAGCCGTGGAAGGTTGACCGTGGTTTGTTATTACATTACGAACAAATCCACAATCATCGGCCTTTTGAGTATTAATTTTTACTCAGAATTAGTTATAATAGATTAAAAAATGCCTCCAAAGTTCGATCCTAACGAAGTTAAATACGGTATGTTGTTATATGATATTTTTTGCATCACCTAACCTCACCTTTTTTTCACGTTTATGTAGTTTACCTTCGATGTGTTGGTGGTGAGGTTGGTGCAACATCTTCCTTGGCCCCAAAAATTGGTCCCTTGGGTTTGGTAAGTGGTTTTACAAAAAAAGAAGAAATATAAGCTCTAATGACAACATGTTACAGTCTCCCAAAAAAGTCGGTGACGATATTGCCAAAGGCACCGCTGATTGGAAAGGTCTTAAGATAACAGTTCAACTTAAGATCCAAAATCGTCAAGCTACTATTTCTGTTGTTCCATCAGCCGCCAGTTTGATTATTAAAGCCTTGAAAGAACCACCAAGAGACAGGAAGAAGCAGAAGAACAGTGAGTTTTATTATTTTTTTAAATGCATTTGTTAAGAACAGCAAGTTAATTATAATTTGTTGATATTAACTATATGCTATATTACCTTGCCTTTAATTGCAACCCATGCTTACGAATTACTAAGTATGTTACTTAAGGGGGCGTACAGAATAATTTTGATTTATTTATAAATCTTTTTCTAACGTTTTGTGTCTTTGCAGTTAAACACAGTGGCAACATTACTTTGGATGATGTTATCAGCATTGCCAGACAAATGAGGCCAAGATCAATGGCTAAAAATCTGTCTGGAACAGTTAAGGAGGTTTTAGGAACAGCCCAATCAGTAGGTTGTACCATTGATGGGAAGCTCCCACATGACGTTATTGATGAAGTAAATGATGGCTCTGTAGAAATACCTGAAGAGTAAAATTTATAAAATAAACTTTCTGATACATTTTTTATTATTAGTCTGTCCAAGTCACTAGCACATTTAGCCCCTTTTCGACGAGTTCTTGTCTCCCCGCTTTAGTTATTATTTCGCCGTTTTTTTTGACCACGATTATATTAGGAATAGTTGTAATCCCAAAAATTCTACGAAGTTGTCTACAAAAAAATAGATTCGCTATTATTTTTTAAATTCACATTTTCCTTATACTCGGCCAAATCATCTTGAAAGGGAACCGCAAACCATCCACCTTGTGTTTTATAAAACGCATCAAAGTCGTCAGGACTGGTGTCAGATGAAACATAAATCACCTCAATGCCCATATTTCTGCGAAGGTTTTCCTGTTTAAGTAAAAGTTTACAAGTGAAGCAGACGTCGGGTGTTCTTTACGTACCTACCTTGTGAAGCTCCTTCAATCTCTGAAGGATTACTTTACAGTCCGCTGATTTACACCACATAGCACCAAAGAAAAATATTATAATCGTCTTATTTTTCATTGCATCTTCTGCAGGGATAAGTTTTTTTATTTTATTTACCAGTTGTTTACCCTGAAGAAGGTCCATTATTTGGCAATTCGATGACATTTTGCGAGTTTGTGATCGTCAAACTAAATTTTAATTTAAATATGGCGCCATTAAAACTGTAACATGCATATGGTACAATTTCGGTAATAGCGAAAACATCTTTCTTAAACAAAAAAATATCTCAATTTCTATTTTTATTCTTTGTTGATTGGGTAAGTGTTTTTTTCAATGAAGTGAAGTTACAATATTGACATGATTTCGTTGTTAACAACAACAAGAATTCGCGATTTCCAGATTATGAGTAACAAAACTTGATGGTGTAGTGCAAATATATGGCATTATAACAACTTTTGCTCTTGTTTTGATAATTTATTAGTGTTGTGTTGGTTGTGAGTTATTTTTTAACTTAACAATATGGATGATGAAGCTGAAACGTATAAATTGTGGCGAATTCGCAAAACAGTCATGCAGGTACCCGACCTAACCTCACTTTTTCACTCTACCTAAACAAATTTATTCAGTTATGCCATGATCGGGGCTATTTAGTAACCCAAGACGAGTTGGACCAGACCTTGGAACAATTCAAAGAACAATGCGGCGACAAACCTAGCGAAAAACGGCCGTCACGAAACGATTTAACAATTCTCGTAGCTCACAATGATGACCCAACAGACCAAATGTTTGTTTTCTTTCCCGACGAGCCCAAAATTGGTATAAAAACAATCAAAACGTACTGTCAACGGATGCAAGACGAGAATATTCATAGAGCCATTATTGTGGTCCAACAAGGAATGACACCATCAGCCAAACAGTCTCTTGTTGATATGGCCCCCAAATATATCTTGGAACAGTTTTTAGAATCAGAATTACTGATTAATATTACAGAACACGAATTAGTCCCTGAGCACGTAGTGATGACCCCAGAGGAGAAGCAAGAATTATTGACTAGATAGTGAGTGATTTGAGGGTTTATTTGAGCAAATTAATTCTTTATTGCAGCAAATTGAAGGAAAATATGCTGATGAGAATACAGGCCGGGGATCCCGTGGCGCGGTATTTCGGGTTGAAGCGTGGACAGGTACCCATAATGCCATTTTTAATCAATTAAAATTATTCTCATCAATTTACGGTGTAAATGAGGTTATTTCACCATGTTGCCAGTTTTATTGAAACGGTGTTGGGATATAATTGCCATAGTGCGGCACTACTTGTTGCAAGTAACAGCTGAATAATTAGAAATTTTGTTCAATAATGTTAATTTATTAAAGTTTTTATGGCGTAAATGGTGGCTAAACTACTGGTTAAAAGTAATAACCGCCGTATTATTTTTTATAGTTGTATCCGAGGTGTGTTTCCCCGTGAAACATGCGGGTTGTAATGCAAATAAATTACGTTGTGTTCTTGCTTTGTTGCAGGTGGTTAAAATCATTCGGCCATCGGAAACCGCCGGACGTTACATTTCCTACAGGCTTGTCTGCTGAACTAATTTAAATTTAAACCGTCACATTGTCGTCGGAGGGAGCCGAACTCTATTCTTTTAGGTACACCTATTTGAATATCACATGTATCTGCTTGATCAATAAATTTTGTATTTGAAATGATTAAAAAGTCTTTTTCTCTTGCCCTTATCGGATATTGGATATCGCTTTCCGGTTGTGGCCGTAAATAATTGAAAGGGCTGTAAGTTGGCGTCGGGGTGATTGTATTCATTGATTAACTATTAAAGATGGTTTGCATAATTCGGTGTGTATACGGGCGGCCGAGGACGAGGGACTTGTCAGCCACCGCCGAATATTGATCTTGGCTCCCGGCCTGCCTGCCTGCCTCTGTCTGTTTTCCGATGTCATTCTCATGCAAGTATCGCCAATCAATGCGGGCGGACGCAATTACGCGATTTTCACCATTGGCCACCGCGTCGAAACTCGGCGACAGCCGCTGCGACGATGCTGTTTGACTACCGACGCCGATGATGCAACCAGCGACGTGGAAAACTATGTAGATAGAAACCGAAATTTAACGTTTCATTTCATCTACTGCGTAATGAACAATACGCAAATCTTAAACATCGACTTTTGCAGAAAAGGATTTTTTCATTGTGAAATAAAGATAACTGTAATTATAAGTAGGAGGCTGAAAGAAAAATTTGGATTTTTCATAATTTTTTGTGGGTACTAAGTGGTCTCAAGGATAATATTTTTATGTTTTCTCAGATAAAGGAACTACGCTACTTTCGTGGAAATAAAAATAATTGCCATAATTGTTCAGAATTGCGATTCTATACACTTAAAATTGCAAATAAGTGTAACATAAATGGAAGTAATGACGAACTGAAAGGAAAATATTTGATTGGTGTCTTTTGTTTCAAGTCTGCGGCAAATAACGTGACGAAAATTAGATACATATTCATAAAAAAAACTAAACGCGGATTATTTTAAAAATTACGAAGCATAGCAATAAGTATCAGTATTTAAGTTTTAATTATGTATAATACAATAACTGCTGCTGTGTGCGTTTTCATTGTGAACTGTGATAACTTGTGACGACAAACATATTCTACTTTTGTCCACACTAATCACTCGTGTATTATAATTTTATTATCGGACATAGTTAACGAACGAGCGGTAATTTTAGCCAAACATGATTTTAATTCTGTATGTGTAAATGACGTAAATTGAATACTAAAGTAAAAATATTGCTTTTTATATCACTTCAATAAATTATATGATTATAAGAGAAGCATTTGTGTAATAAGAATGTCATATGACGACTATTAATGCTCAATCTTGTGGTTTTTCCTACTAGATACCTATTAAAATTCAAATTTGTTTGATTGATTTGAACACATTTAACAATAAAAATGTAAATAGACTTTTGATTGTGTTAGTTAATCAATAATCATGTTTCTTTTAAAACAATGCAATATGCAGAAGAACAAGTTCATCATTGTTTCAGGGTCTTTTGGAGAATTTCTAAATGAGTTAACAAAAATGAGCAAAAACGTTCATAGTTAAAATTATGTATTTCTAGATAATTACACCAGGATAATTTTTTTTCACTGAAGTAAATGTATCTAATCTAGGCAATATTACTTATGAAAATTAAAAAAAATAATAATATTTCAAGTAAGATAAGCTACCAGGAATATGAAAAAAAAATTTTTAAAAATTCTATCTGTCAAATAATTTTGACATTTGACATTTTTTTATGTCCATTTAATAATACTGATAATTTTGTATGTTTTTTTTTTTCAATTATTGAGTAAAGGTACAAAAATTTTGCCAATAAAAGCCACAAATAACATTGAACAGAGTTACAATTTAGGATACAGCTTCTTTGTTTCCTCTTCTAATAGAAATCAGCAAAAAAACTTGGAAAATTATTTTTGTAACAGAAATAAATAGAGTCAAGGTGCAAATTCTAAACTCTTATAACTTCGAAATTTTTATAGGAATTTTTTTTTAACATTTTTGCCGTGTTCCTGGCATCTTGCCTTATATGGCATTTTTCTCTGGGACGTGAGTTCTGACGCATCCTGTAGAAATTAACATTATGAAGAATAAAGTGATTTTGAAGTTTTCTGTAGAACCATGTTTTATTTCTTGTATAGTTTTTTTTTTTAATATATTCATTACAGTTCTGAAAATTATAAATATGTATGTATAAAACCATTAAATTAGTTTTCGTTTTTTATTATTCAAATTATTTTATTAATAGAGTTGTAGGAACTTTTATGAACTCATTTTGTACAGTACTGTTTTTTAATTAAACTATATTAAAAATATTGGTTTATTTATAATAAACGTAAAGGATGACCTACTTATATTAGAGGGAACATTTTAACTAAAACAGAATTTATTTACTTTTTGTTAAATTCAGCACAAGGTCTTAGAAAATCTGGAAATTTGGTATTATTTGCGGATTAGCCCTTGTAAATAAAACGCTACATTATCCAAAACTTCGTGTTTTGTAAATTGTTAAATTTAAGTTATAGATTTTAAAATTTTGTTGTAATTCTTGGTAATAAAAGAAAATATATTTTTATGATAAGCTTATCATACGAGTAGGTAGGTATATTGATTTAAGTTTGAAAAGAATAAATAACTACGTATCTAAACAGCAAAGAATTCTACCAAAGAATTATTAGTAGTCAGTTGTTTATTAATTTTAAAAATAAAATAATCAAAGTTCAGATGCGAGTGAATTTTCAATTTTTTGATGTTGTTTTGGAGGCACCCTCAAATTAAGTCCAAAAACAGAAAAAAAAACAACACCAACTATGTACCAATATTTTGGAGTTAAATAACGTTCATAATAATAAAATAAGAACAATTCTGTGAGTTGTTTTCTCGGTTGCATGTTATATTAGAACACTATTTCTGCATTATTCTATTACCAGGTCAATTTTCAACATCAAAACCATAAATACTTTGTATAGTACCAAAGTATATTCCAAATTTAAAATAATTTGAAAGAAAAAAATTGCTTTGGCCGGACAATTCTACCACTTATTGGTTGAGGATAATTATTATTTGTTGATGCTCTTCTTGTCCTATTTATTTAAGAATTTATGTAAAGAAAAATTTTTAAATGTAATTTTACAAAGAATAATAAATATGTGGTTGAAAATGTACAGGGTGCTGCATTTTGAATGTCCGAATAGGGAATCTCCGAAACTAAGAAGTTTAGTTAAACGAGTAATACATTCTGCGGCTCATTTTTTGAGAAAATAATATTGGTTAAAACCGCATCCAGCTATCGTCTTTTGCTTTCGACTTTTAGACAATAATTGACATTTTAGCGAAATCTAAAAAAATTCATATCTTCGTTATTATAGAAGACAAATTTGAAATAAAGACATTATACAGGCACTTTTTTACGTAGAATTTGTAGTTAACATTTTTTTCAGTTGTTTGTTTAGCCGTAATAAAATAAATTTTTATTTTTTTAAATGGGAATCATAGATGGTTATGTCATTTTTAAAAAGTTTGTTTTTTTCTTATCTAAAAATATATGTTTGTAACAAATTATTATAATACTTTTTTAGCAAAAAATTATCTTTGACTTTTGTTCGCAGTTGGCAATGAAAAAATGTTGCATCTTCAACTAAAAGGATTTAAACTACGAGTATATTATTCAACTAGTGTCACTAATGAAAAAGTTTTCTAAGCACTAAGTAATGAAAATAATGCAAAATAAATCGTAAAGCAACTTATTGTCGACATTTCTTTGTTTTTAAACAAGCTAGCATTACAAATGTAACTTCTAGTGATACACAAAGTGTTTAAAAAAAAAAAACGCTTTAATTCTTCAATAAAATATATTTTATATGACAAAAAAATGACGATATGGCTATTCAAATACCCAAATTCCGTCTATATGGAACGTTATCCTACCTCCATTAGATCATCAAAAAAATGTTTTGCTAATTGTGTTGACTGTTGACACATTTGTTTTTCCTATTTCTGGATTTAAAAAAAAATATGTAGGTAATAATTTTGTTCTGAGGCACTCGCATATTTGTTCAATACTTCTAACGTATCGTATTTTTTTAATTTTTCTTATTATATCTATTTTTCCATCTATTTTACGGTTCACAAAACTCTTATTGATTATTATATATTTACACATTTGGAGTGAAATAGTTTTTCCATTGCCAACTCTTATGAAACAAAATATGTATTTCATTTTTTAAGTATAATTATAAAAAAAATATTCTGTTATAAATATATATTTTCAGATCAGAAAAAAATAAGCTTTTCAAAATTGCCATAGCCGCCTATGATTTCCATTTAAAAAAATACAAGTTTATCTTATTACGGCTAAACAAATAACTGAAAACAATAGTTAACTACATTATTAACTTCCTCGTAAAAAAGTGCCTGTATAATGTCTTTATTTCAAATCCGTATCTTCTATAATAACTAATAATAAGATATATTTTTTTTTAGATTTCTCCAAAATGTCAACTTTTGTCTGTAAGTCGAAAACAAAAGACGATAGCGGGAAGCGGTTTTAACCAATATTATTTTCTTGAAAAATGAGCCCCAGAATGTATCATTCGTTTTTGGCTAAACATCTTAGTTTCGGAGATTCCCTATTCGGACATCCAAAATGCAGCACCCTGTACAGAATATTTGGAACATTTTCTGTGTAAATAACATCCTCAATTATTTTCTTTCCTCGGTAATGTCAATTATCTCTGTTAAAAATATAACTGGCATAACTAGGAACAAAAATATAGTCCGTTAGGTCTTATATCTGGCTTAGTGCCTTTTAAAACGGACTCATTGGTTATTATCCCTCGATTAGTAATCACCTGCAATGCACCGTTGCACCGTCTGGCGTTGCATTTTCCCGGCGCCTATCCGCCTTACCTCCATCCCGTCTTGTCCGGTCTTCTATTTTTTTCGAGGTCAGTGTGCTTAGAGCGCGGTCCCTTCCCATGTGTGGGCCCCCATTCCACCGTCCTGGCGCCCCCTGCACCTTGCGCCATGTGGCGAACATAAACAAACGACATTACGCACGCGGGGGTCGAATCAGCTGTGCCTCGGTGGGGAGCGCGTGCGCCCCTCTGCCGCCTCTGTCGGCTGCGTTCAGTCAGTGAGAGT